CCCTATATCTAAATTAAAATTACAAAAAGCACAAGATTCAGAATATACAAAGTCTAAGTACAAAATAAATAAAACTAAGGAAACATAAAAGTTCTACATCAATATGAATTGAGTATAAGAGCTAATGATACGGCTAGTGAAAATTTCGGTCGTTTCGGTAAAAACGGGAAACGGTCGAAACCTCGAAAGGTATAATATTTTTCCGGAAAATTTCCACCGGAATGAACCGTTCTATTTGAATTCTCCCCGGAATTTTCGGGTTTTCCATACAAATGGTAAGCACTCATAGTTTCCTTAAAGAAAATGTGAAGTCGAGTAATACTGAAGATAAGGTGAAGACAACGAGAAGGGTGAAAAAACAACAGCAATAGATCCAATAAGCAAAAAAAAAAAACTTTCCAAGTGCAGCACACTCTTTTTTCTAATGTGCAAAAAACAGCTTCGCACGTGTAGCTCCAGCTCTTTCCCTGTTATTCAAGATATTGTAGACATTAAAATTTGGTGGAAAAAAAGACTCGGTTTTTTTTTCTCTTTAAAAAGTCCAGGCGGCCATTTGATTTACCGGGTACTTGTAATGCAAAATTTCACCTGAGCTGTAACATACTCCTTCCCCGACGGGGTTATGTAGGGCTATGTATGGTTATGTAGAGCTATGCTTGGCTATGTAGGGTTATGTATGGCTATGTAGGACTACGTATGGCTATGTAGGGCCATGTAGGACTATGTAGGGTTATGTAGGGCTGTGTATGGCTATGTAAGGTTGTGTAGGGCTATGTAGGTTGGTGCGTTCTAATTAACGTCAAACCACTATATGATGCTTACACCACCTTCTTACCCTTATTTCGTAAGACGCCGATAACTCTTCTGGTTGTGTTACCTACCTTACCGAGAGCGCTTAACCGTGGGGGATCACTTCGGGGATCACTTCGGGGTCGGGAATCATTTCGGGGTCGGGGATCACTTCGGGGACGAGGATCACTTTGGGGTCGGGGATCATTTCGGGGTCGAGGATCACTTTGGGGTCGGGGATCATTTCGGGGGCTGTACAGCTCGGCTTCGCAATTCCTCTGTCAAATGCGCACACTGACGATCCCGCCAGCTACGTAGGTAGGCTAGAGAAATAGCCAAAGCAACCACCATGCAAAGACTGTATGGCGCAGAAGTCGGGGCAAAAGACACTGGCGGCACACTGAAAGGCGTACAAGTATAACCTTTAATTGAAGCCACTCTAAAACAATTATGCTACAGTTAAAAATCTAATGCAGTGACAGGTAAATCGACTTGCAATTTTACTGGATACAGATGAGTGAATCAGTAAACAATTTGAGCGAGTCAAAGATTCATTGTGATCAAAACAAAAAACACAGCGACAGCAACTCAGCATTCCGAAATGGAAAAAATTGTTGTTAACAGAAGGCATGCTTATTAGAATGTATGAAACTTGGTTGGACACACATGGGAAATTGTTCTAACAAAGTGACAAAAACGACAAAATTACTTAAATAAAGATGCCTATAACATCAAAAATTGTTCTCTAGCTTAACTGGAAAGTCAACTCCGCAATTTAAAAAGAATTAGACTAACCGAATCCTACCTCGCCTATTACATGTACTGTTTGTGTCCTTCACAAATTAACTTCGCGACAATTTAGATTTTCATAACGCAAAAGGGAAAAATACTACTGACTAGGGTAACTAAGACTACTACGATTCGGAAACCAGCTATTATTGCGGGTAGGCTACAAAAACGTCTAATACACTGTCACGGTACAATTCAAACAGAATGTATGTGATGTAACTGGAACCGATTATTCCAAGTCCCCAAGCTAGTGAATATTACAAGATTAACACCAAAAATCAAGAACCAGCTTCCCCAGTGTCTCCAGTGCTTTTCTTTGTGTAAAGTTTTCCAGGGCTTTTGAATCCCTTTCCCCTGATCTTGGAGAGTTCCTTATCATTATCAGAAGAATCTACAGAATCCATCTGTCGAAAGAAAAACATTGAAGGTCAGTGTGGTTCAACATTGGACGATATAACGTTTTCATTGGGGGCCAGTTTGGAAAACAGTACTGAAGGGTTACTGACAAGACACTGTAAGTGACGAATTTGCCTTGGAATTGAATTTGCAAAGAAGACGAATTCATATAGTTAAACATTGAAGTCCAGTAAAAAGCAACATTGAAGAGGTTTATTCTCACGATATTTCTAAATGGTCACACTTCAGTTTTCAATCCACAACATTAATAATCGGGAATTTGTTAAAATTAGTTTTAAAAAAAAGGTTTATTTATTTGACTGAAGGTATGGACAATTTTTTTTTTTATAATTCAAGACAAAGATTACATAGACGTTAAGTACGTTGTTAAGGAGATGTACTTCTTGACAAATTTTAAGAGAAACTCTCGGGAAGGTTGCCCTACTTCAATGAAAACAAAGCCTCGGGAAAAAATGGCCTTTTATTTATTTAAGTTTTAAGGAAAAAGAAAAGCAAAATGCGGAACGACTGTATAGTGTCCCGTATGATCAAATAAATCTACAATTAATCTTTTAAAAAGGTACTTTTAAGTGCTGGTACTAAGTTTTATTACCAGTGAAGCTATAGTCTAAGCTAAGAGTTAAAAGAACTTGACATCAGTGGTCCAGTAGAAAGGTCAAATGCCTTACGGTGTTACCCATCTCTACCTTTATTGTAGCCCGTGTACAGAGGCCCCCTCCCATATAAAAAAAGAATCAGGAAGTGAGATTTTTTTGAGGGGGGGGGGGGGGGGGTGGGGGCGGGGGCTGTACACGGGCTACCTTAAAAATGGGGCCAAGTCATATCTCTAATTCGATCCCCCCATTCCCTAACGCTTGAGTTCAATAAGTTGGAAATCCAATAGCAAGGTCAGTCAAGTTTACAATAACATAAGAGTTCACAGTTAACGGACAGTGTCTCTTAAATGGGAGAATTGATACGTTTTGACAAAATTTGTACAACTTCCAGATAAGCTCAGCTTGTTTTAGACTTGACAAACATCTCTTAATCATTTAACAAACTGCAATATGCCTCAACCCTACAGCTTTTATGATTAGTAGAATTAACAACCTAAATAGGGCCTTAAAGGCATGCGTGGCTTAGTGCAGTCACTTTATTACAAGCTACCGACTATTATTTTGTCAGTTTAAATTTAATATTAAAAAAATCTTTTTGTTTAAGTTAGTTTTCTCTACTACAGACACTTTAAAAAAAATGACCAAGCAACAATTCTATTGAAGGGCTTAAGGTCCTTCAACAACATTGTAAATCATAAAAAAATCAACAAAACACAAACATAAAATGCCAAACCAAACAAGGAACAGAAAAAATAAAAGCAACTGCACATGAACCTGTTTCTAATGTGAATGCCATTCTCAACTGGAAGCTTGCTCAACCTAAAAACAATTACGGCAAGATGATAAGGATGTGATGAACATTCTACAATAATTACAACAACTGAAACAACCCGCTTATCTTAGGCGAATGTAACTAAACAGAAAGACTTCACCTATCCATTTTAAACCTCCAAAACAAGATGCTTTATGTGTTTGACAAGGCTAAGCATCACTAGTAGCTTTGAAAGCAAGTATCTTTAAATGAAAGGTCTTGTTAGAAATGACAAACCCTTCTAACGTTTCTCACACTCGTCACAAGTGAATGCCCAGACTGCACAAACAGCTCTCATCTCGAAGACACCTTACAATTGCCGACACCCTGATAATATTATGGACAGCAGCTACCTCCCCGGTGACTCCACTGCCAGTTTCCCTGCAAAATGATGTCTGAGGAAAGAGCACAGAAATGTCATACTGATTAAGTGTAACTACCAAGATCTGGGTACCGCTTCTGATTGGCTGAAGCAGATTTTCCTCATGGCACAACCAATCAGAGAAGTGTGGGTAGTTACACTTGATCAGTAAGAAATTTCTGCGCTGTTTTCTCACACATCATTTTGTGGGGAACCCTGTGGTGGTGCCGCAATATGTCCACTGTTTTCTCAGGCTACTATCAGTACTTGTGGACTCGAGGGTGTCTGGCAATAAATGTGGCTACCTGCAATTTAGGCAAAGTTAAATTGCAAGCCAATGTGGTCAGCGTTCTCCTGTTCAAGAGTACATGATCGGTGGGGTGACTGCAGGAACCTTTGCTAATCTTGTGACTTGAGCACTGAATTTCCCTCAGTGTGACGGTTGCAGTCGGCAGCTACATGCAAGGGTGGTTTGGTTCCCGCTCGCAGGGTTGTCATGGGTACCTCCTTGCTATGGCTGAGGTGCTTGGTTTAAATGGAGGTATATCTTTTAAGTTGTAAAATGATAGCTCAAAATATTATTATGACAGAGCTCCCGTAAAAATGAGGGCAAATTTGCTGACAGTAACCAGTATTTCTTTCCTTTTCTAAAAAAGATACACTGGATAACTAATATCATGTACAAGGGTTGAGTATGTTGAACTAAATGGACTCTAAATACAGGATACAAAATATTATAATTTGCAAACCTCATCATGAGCATCATTAACCATCTCCTCTGCTGCTTTTTGAAGATCAGAATCATTTAACATTAGCTGAAATATATAACAAGACATCGTTAGTGGGAAAGTTGAAAAATATAATAATAATTGAAGTGCCTGGAGAAAAGCTCCAAGTCAATTCTAATAAACTGCTAGTTTTTCCTTCTAGGTTGCCTTCTGTTTGCTTGTAAACAAAAGTGGGAATTTGGCAAGAGAATTAAAGTCACTTTGATTTCTCAACTGTAAGTGTTACCATAGTTTAAAAACTTTTTAGTATAGGTCAGAAACAAATACTCCAAAGATCTACTATCAGCTACCACAAATAAAATTCAAAACAATAAACCAACTTGAGGACTAAAGCGTGACCTTACAGTATTTTAGAACAATGACAACAAGCAGAGAACACAATTTAACCTTGTTGGGCTAAAAATCAAATTTAGGTATCTTGTCAATGTACTAGCCATGTACGAAGCACTTACTTTTTCAGACTCTCCATTCTCAATTGCTTGGAAAGTTGTTCCTTCTGATGTTATTATTCGTTGCGTAGTGGATGAAGAAGAGATGACTTGTTTGGAGGTTACAACACGGGTGGTGGTGGTAAATGAAGATGAACTTTCCATAGTTGAAGAGAAGGTACTGGACTCCTCACCAAACACTTTTTCTGGTGCTTCTTTCTCCTCGGATGTAGAGGACTGATGAGTGAATGATCTTTGCTCTGAGATAACAACCCTCTCTGTTACAGATGTTCCCCCTTCACCACTCACTACCACGGCAGCAGCATCATCTGCCTTGGCTACAAGCTCATCTTTCTTTTCCTCTGCCTCTTCCTTCTTTTCTTCAGCCTCTTCCTTCTTTTCTTCAGCCTCCTCTGACACAGCCGTCTCTACCTCTGTTGCAGTTGCTGCTACAGCAGCGGCTTCAAGTTTGGCTTTCTTCTTCTTTTCTTTTTTCTCTTTCTTTGCCTTTTTCTTTTCCTCATCCTTTTCATCATCTGATGATGAAGATGATGACGATGAGCTGGATGTTGAGCTCTTTCTTGACTTCTTTTCTTCTTCTTCAGCAACAGTCTCGGGTTCTGGCTCAGGTGGTCTCATTCCTTCAGCAAGTTCAAGCACGCAGTCTGGCTTCAACCTGCCAAAGTACAAACATAATCAAGCCAAGAGTTAATGAACCACTAGATTATAACATTGCACTGGCTGCAGGTTAGAATAGATGCTTAATTTAAATGTCAGCACCATCAAAGAGTTACTTTTCTGAGCATGTTTATGTTACCTCAAGTTAAAAGTTATTGTACATTTAACATACTTGTGCTTGTGTTACATGTAACTGAACATTCCCAAAGGAAATAAAATCAATATTGAAGCAACAAGAATACACTGTCAGGGTACAAAGAAAGTCAGTTTTACAGCTTGCCATTCAGGCAAGCTGTAGATAGCATGTACTGGCCCACAAGTCATTTCAACTAGCCCCAAAACCCTTTTTGATTAGCAGGATTGACAATCCTTCTGTAATTTGAATTTCCCCTAAAAACAGCACTTGCCTGTCGGGCAAGTTAAGAACAAAAAACACTAGCGCGATAGCAAAATCCACTAGCCCTGGGCTATTGGACACGACTTTCTTTGCACACTGACTGTATCAGTACTCCATCATTTCCCAAATAATAATAATAATAATAATAATAATAATAATAATAATGATAATAAAAAACAGCCAAGACCAATAAAGGGAAAAACTTACAAGTCTGTTGCAGAGAGTGTAAACCTTTGCATCTCACTTCGTGAGCTGAGATAGAACCCTTGACCACTGACTGAGAACACCAACGATTTAATGGCATCTACATCTGACTTCCTCATGGCTGATGCCTTGACTTGTACCTTCAAGTTGGGAAGAGAATACACGATCAGTTCTCCTTGGTTGCTCACACAAGCCAGGCAATGATACACCATTCCAGAATCATCGTTCTTGCTTCTGACGTTAATAAGGCCAATCTTGCGAACCCTGGAGCCATCAATAGCTGTAAGCTTTTCTTTGTTACGAGCCTTCAAGTGTGGCAGGCTGAACACCTTAAACTGTTCCTCAGAACAGATAACCAAAGAATGTGTTCCACTCATGTCTGGCTCTGCAACAGAAATAATACAGAGAACAATATGATATCAGGCAATTTTTGTTTGACCTTGAAATGACATGCATGAAGAAAACTAAAACAACAAAAACACAAGAATATGAAAAGTTGATTGTTATATCAAACAGACTAAATTCGTACAGCTGTTGCTTATTTTCAAGAAAATGCAATGCATTGCTGGCTGAAAAAAGATCACTATTAACCCTTTAAGCCCCAATATCCACATACAAATTCTCCACAGTGATCTCCATACATTTCCTTGAAGAATTAGTTGAGAGAATTTGATGAAAGATCATGGAATTTTCTCTATGGTGATCATTTTATTAATTCTCATAACTTTATCTCTTAACAGTGTATGGATATTGTTAGGAGAAAATTGATGTTGGTCACTATTGGGACTTAAAGGGTTAAGTAATTTTCCATAACTTTGGAGACCGGGAACTGGGGTATGGATTCACTCCAAACATGGCTAAATTTAATGGTAACAATACAGTGGACTTTCTGACCAGACTTGAAGTTAAGGCTGAATACTATGGCTCAGTCAAAAAAATTGCTTCTTGTCCATATTTCTATTACCTTTGCCTTGATCCTCTACGATATCACTAAGCAAGGGTGTGCCCTCTTTATCCACAACAAACATAGAAACCACAGGAGCTTTGTGTTTGAGTTTGATTTCCTTGCCGATCTCAACTTGAACTTCCTCCTCTGTTCTTTTTTCTCCTTCAGGGATGGTTAGGTAGCAGACAAAAATGTGCCCAGCATTGGTTCCTGCCCACAAGGAGGGACAATGGTGCACTCCTGAATGTAGACAGAGCAATGTTAGTGTTAATGATAACCTTGCATAGGCATTTTCACATGACATCACGGCGGCAATATTGGTGTTCCAAAACAATGAAACGACAGCCATGTTGGTGTTACAAGCCAACCCTATGCGAGTTAAACTCTTTTCTTATGTAGGCGCTTTCTTTTAAACCATATACGCATAGATGGTGACCACATGAGTGAAAATACTCTATACCTGGTTTAACAACGGTAACCTTTTGAACAGCAGTGTACCCAAAGCAAAGTTATGCGAAGACTGGACTACCATTGTTCAGGGGGGTAAAGGGGAGTCCTCTGCTTGTTTTACAGATGTTAAAAAGCACAAAAAAAACCACATCACATTGATTAAAATTCTGTGTTCACATTTCGAGGAAATTTCTGAAGTAAAAAAGAGAGATTTTGTATATTTACCTTTTACGAAAATTATGAACGCTTAATCCTGTAATCACACAGAGAACCCTTTTCATCCCCTCATTGTTACAAAAGTGAAGGCTTACCATCTTTGATATAAGTGTCCACAAAGTACAAACAGCGAACCATACTCAATACACTCTCATCAACACGACTTTCCTCCACAAGCCGTGACACAGGTGTTGCTACTGCTTCCTGTGTGGGGGATGCTGGGGCCTCTCCTTCTTTTTTGGGTGTTGCACCAGATCGGGATCCTTTGCGAGAACGCAAGCGGCGGAATGATCTACGGATGCTCTCTTTAAGGGATTTCTTTCTTGAGAGATGCTCTCCACTGTCAGTCTCTGCAAAAATAAAAGCTTTTAGTATCAGCATTACACAGTAACCCCCCCCCCCGTCCGCTGAAACTTTGAAAATCTTTCCAAACCTGCTGTGTCAATTTTTTTTGCTCAAGCTGACATTTTAAGCGAGAAAAAACCAAAAAGCATCTTTTTTGCAAAACAGAAACTGATTACATGTGCAAAACTTCGTGTACAAGACTTTCCGACTGGTAAGAATTTCTCTTTTAATCAGTGCCATGAGAAAGAGGTTGCTTTTTTCTCAAGAAAGTTAAGTTATGAAAGCAAAAGAAAACTTTTTTCCGTCATTTGCACATCCTGATATGAACACGAGAGGGGTTGGGAGAATTCTCAACTGTTATGCAAACCCTCGACGAATTCTCCAAACCCCTCTCGTGTTTATATCAGGCTATGCAAACAAAGAAAACGTTTTCTATTGCTTAAATGGTGAACAATGCTATATTTTTATAGTATCCTTCTCGATGTGAGAAAAAGTAGTTTATGTTCTGAATACAGAGTACTCCCTACCTTGACTAACAGTCCATTTGGATGTGACCATCTTCTTATTCAAGCAATCGTACACAACAAATCCATGGACAGTTCCAGCTGCGATGAGTCCCCAGCGTGTGTCCACTGCCAATGCACTAACTGGTGCAGCTGGTATAAGCTGCAGGCCTGTTTGCAGTTTGAAGCCAGCTGGAACTGTGATTGAGCCTTCCTTTGGAAGTAATGGACCATGTCCCTTCCACTGAAAGTTCTCCTTGTCTTCAGTGAAATCAAGCTCTTCCATCTATTTGGAAAACAAATGATTTACATTTTGACCATTAACTTAGTCATAGATGCTTTGGTAAAAGAAAAAATATTTCCTGCTGTCTGAGACCACAAAAATTGAGGGGCTGCATGTCAGGCAATAGAATATTAATGAGGCGGTATAAGCAACTTTACAGGGTGCAAAGAAAATCAGTTTTACAGCAGGATAACTAATTTATTTACAAGGGATAATTAATTACACCTTTAAGGTAATTAATCACTTGCTTTATTAATTCATTGCAGTTAGCTATGATTTAACAAAAGCTTCAGGAGTCTTGAGCCATGCTGACTAAAGCAACATTTTTTCCAACATTGTCTGCTGGTCTAGTTCCGGTGCTTCCAGAACACAATATGATTTCTGTTAAAAAAAATAACAAGTAGCAATAGATGTAACATCAAAGTGTACTATACCTGCACTTCCACGCTTGTCTCCTCTTCTGACAGATCAAAGGTGAGAACCTGACCTCCATTGCCGGCAACTGTCATGGTCTTATTAGACGCGCAAAAAACAATCTTGGTCACAGCAAATCGTGGATCATCTGAGTATGGGCAGTAGTTACCGACCTTCTTGAATGGAGGCCAAACTTCTTCCTCAGTCTCTCGCGCCTCAGAATCATGGCCTTCATGCTCCCCTACAAAATACTTGGCTGTGTTCAGTGTGTAGATGAGGCACATCTCAAGTTGGGAAACATCCCAAAAATTGACTGAACCATCTTCATGACTGAAAAAAAATAAATAAATAAATAAACAAAACAGAAAAGTGATTTCAGAAAAACAAACAAACAACCATTTAGAATGACAAATAAAATTGCACCAAGCAGGTGAGATTAAATCAGTTTGCCTTAAGGGCACTTCAGTTCAACTAGCCCTAAGCTATGAGAATCAAGCCAAATTTCTAACTATCAATTTAATATTTATTATTAATTTCAGATAAGGTTAACAAATTTGGCCTTCCTATCATGCAATGACTTGTATGTTGCCTCAGGCTACTGGAGAGTATTTTGTGATACGTCCAAGGGACTTTTTTGTTAACAGCTGTTTGTTTGCAATAACAAAGCACAAACAGAGTTAGAAACATTTTTCCCAACAAAAAAGACAACATTTCCCTTTTCCATGATGTTTTATTGGCAACATTGGCACCAAATCCAGCTTCAAATCCAAAGCAAAATAAGTTTTTACTTATCTGCTCCAGAAATTCTTCACAGAATGAAACCATTTCACTCCCAAAATAATAATACATATATGTATTATCAAAGTATTGTAGAGAAAATCTCAAGGTTTAATCTTTCAAATGATCTTTCATTACATTCTTAGCAAACTTCAGAATCACAAGGTCTTATAAGAGCAAGTGGGTGAAGCTCTTCTAAACCTGATCTTGATCCTGAGTATCAGCATACATGCTCTCTACACTTTTCTTAATATTTTTCATATGGCACTGAAACATGGAGAATCTGTTTAACAATCTGTTTATCAAGACCTGTTGCACTTGATGATCATTTCCTTTCCTTGTTGACCTTTACGCTTCTTTTAACAGCGTTACCAAAGGAGAAATTAAGAAATGGCAACTGTTTTTATTTTAACTTAGGGGTCAAAGGGTAATAAACCCATGTTAATCAGCTTACCCCGTTATCAGAAGGTCCTTTCCTTCAGGTTCTTCAATTAAAGTTTTTCCACCCGTAATGGGCCAGCTCTGCAAGGATAAACAAGATTAATCTAAGTAAATTTGCCTTTCTCACTCATTTTACTGTAACATGGTGACTGTATAAGCCCTTACTGCGCTTTTCACAAACATGCGAACTCTAAAGTTCATAAGCCGCCTTCACAATTGCGTTTTCCCCTGCCGTCAGTCATAATTACGATCACAAGCAACGAACCTTGAAACACAGAACACAAAACGGATCGAAATCCACCAATCACAAATCACAAACCATGACCTTTTGAACCCATTAAAGTAAAGTTTTGTTTCCTAAGAGGTCCACTAAGATGATTGCCAGCACGCAAAAACGCAATCATTAGTGGGCTTTTGAACTTCACAATTCGCATGTTTGTGAAAAGAGCAGTAATAAAAAAATGTAAGGCTATATTCACACTTTACCAGACAGCTTTTGCTGGGTACGGCTCCTGTTCACACACGAGAAAGGGGATTTTGGCACGTAACGGAGGAAATGCACCTGCACCACACAAATCTCTTAAGTCGAGAGACAAATAGTGGATAGGTGTTAATAATGTTGCTGGTTTGCACGTGACGTCACAGTGGCCATGTCTGTGGTCAAGAACAAAAGCATTTCTCTCCTCTGGGAACTCAACTCTATATTTTAAATTCTTGTATTGTAAATTCTTCAAGAAAAACTTTTTGACCCCCAACATGGCCCCCTTGTAACATGGTTGCAAACAAAGAATACCAGATGGCTATTTATGTCAGCACGAAGAAGCTATCCGGCAAAGTGCGAACATGCCTAAGAGTACACAAGGAGTAATTTCATGGCAAGGTTTTGTAAACCTTTTCCAGCACTAATGTTTTGTAACTTGGCAGCCTTTTGAGGAAATCATATCAAGCAAAAATGCACAGACAAATTTTCTAGATTTTTCCTTACTGAGTACGTATCACACTACAACCTACCTCCTGCGAGAAGTCTGTTGCCAGTTGTTTGGTTCCAGCATTTGCTATCTGGTCAAATAAGCTTGATGGGCAGTCATGGCTATGACTTGAGCAAGTGATGGGAGAAGAGTGCAGGCATACAAGGTAAGGCTTCATGAAGGTGGGAAACCTGTGCAAAGGATCACCTGCATCAACGACCTTTTTTTTTTACTTTCGCAAAATTAATGTGGTTCGCATCAATTTCACTACAACATGGTTGCCACAAGCAGAGGTTTCTGAAATTCCCTGACTTTTCCCCTGACAAATGTAAATTTTCCCTGACCAATCACAAATTAGTCCTGGAAATGGACTCAAACCTCTCCTCACAGCCATTTCTTTATTCTTTCAGCCATGTCAAGTCATGTTCTTGGTACATGAATATTGATAGTTCCTCGACAATATGTGCAATAAAGGATTGACTTTCTTGAAAACCCAACATCCGGTTTGTCATTCAATTTCATGAACAATATTTTTATTGATGCAACATGATTCATGTCCATAAAATGTACAAAAGAATTTTAGGTGTCACAAAACAATAAAAGTTGGGGGAAAAGAATAAATATGTACTCTCAAAATTTCCCTTTTCCCTGACATCTTTCCAAGACTTAAATTTTCCCTGACTTGGAAGTAAAATTCCCTGACTTTTCCCTGACTTTTCCCTGACCACGAAGAAAGTTTTTCCCTTCCTATTTCCCGACTCTGTGGCAACCATGTCCAAGTTTATTGTTATGAAAACTTATTCTTACCCTGCCTCCTTGGTCACAAGATCAATAACAACTAATTCCTCTTCACACAGCACCACAAGATAAGCTGGTTCTACACAAGAGAAAAGGACAAAAACAAGAAAAATCAGCTGGCCAGAAGGGCGATATTTTGTTTCAGATTACTAGTCTGAAAAGCAAGCCCAAACTAAACTATACAAGTCTCTTTGAAACAAACTTTGCTTGCCCAGCAGGTAACTGACCATGAAAAACATACAGGCCTCTCAGAAACCTCTATTTCATTGGCCTTTGAAAACTGATCAGCTATTGTTTAAAAACCACACAACAACTTTAAGTTAAGGATGTTATGACCATCAACAGTTGTACAGCTGGAATGTTCACTCACCCTCTCCTTCCTTTTTCACAGTGAAAAAGTCAACAACACGAGATGTAAAGTCAAATGCAACCTGGGGTGTGTTGTCACCTCCATCAACCAAGTTTGCGTCTTGAATGAGACAAACACAGTGCCGATCACCATAGCTGGCGCGAGGCATGCCACCACTGAAGAACACTGATGAACTACTCCATTCAACTTTTGTGATTGCTTTGCAGGGGAAAGGCCCCAGAGGAGTGACGGCTTTAGGTATTTCAGGTCCTCTTTCAAGACTCCATTTGGTGAGGCTGCCATCGCCATGAGCACTGATAAACTTTGTTCCATCAGAATGCCAGCTTACACTTTCTACTTCTTGAGGTTGTTCAGATGACTGGATGCTGAATGTGGCTTGAACACTACATTTAGCATGGTTCCACAGAACAACCAGGCCTTTCTTGTAGCCAATGAGAATCTGTTCAACAACATAACAAGTTATTTACATCAACAATGCTGTAGTTTTTGCTTTTCTATTAAGGTTACAGAGACTTAAAAGTGTCCCCCTTGATTAAGTGCCCTCCTTTTAGCCAAAATTTTTAATTGAAGTCTGTGCTTATTCAGGGAAATATGGCATGCAATTACATAGCTTCAAATAACAGCCAGACAGATGCTGGTCATGTTGTCAGGTCAAACAGGACACACTTAACTTGCAAGTTAAATTCATAACGTCTTAGGATTTTCGAAATTTGGCAGAAAAATCGTGGGACATTCAATGCATTGCAAATAACAATATTTTGTGTATATAAAAGTTTTCCTTCATCTAAAACAGACAGGATGTTGACTGAACCTTGCAATTCAGAGGTTAATAATAACACAGAAAATATTTGCATGCAGGCAAACAAATACAGACAAACTCTCTTTTTACATTTCTTGCTTTTTTTATTTTTTTAGTAGTAGTCAGAGACTTTTATTTTATAGTTACACTTGTGACTTTTTGTTACAATAAAAGGGTGGTCAGATTGACAGGTTTTGCGACTTCCGTTTGCTTTTCACAGTTTGCAACAACTGCTACACAGGGTATTCTAGGTGCTACGAGATTATTCTTTGTGAGGGTACTTTCCCATCAATCAATCAATCACTTTATTTAAGAGCCAAAGGTATCTAGACAAAGGTAAACCCTCTACTAATTGGGAGCACTTAAAGTAAACAAAATGGAAGACATGATGATTTGCCCTTGCGACAGGACCTTGATGACATCATGGAAATTTGCGACTACCAGGAATTCCTCAACGACCAATTTGTCTCATAATTTTGTCTCTTACCAAATAGTTAAAAATTAAAATTTCTTTGAACAAGGAAATGACTGGACAACATGCCCAGCAATCCAAGGATTAGACTGGTCAATACCCAATTCTGATCAGACATTGTCCGTTGACTGGCCACTATTCGAAGCCCTGAATTAGTTGGCAGGAAATTAAAAAGGTTAGAAGTTCTTTTGCCCATATTTTCCGTCTTTTTAAGATGAAAGCAGCAGGGGGCTGGTTATCCTTGCCCCCTGGCCCTTATTGACAGTCCTGGTCACTTACAGCAGTTTCAAGTACCGGTACACTAAATTTTCCACCCTTGAGTGACAAGAAAACTATCATCAGCAGTGATTTGTTACGAACATGTACCTCTGCATCCCGCACCCCTGACGCATTAAAATGCCTTAAGACACGAAACAATTCATGACATGCATCCCATAGGACATAAAGATTGATTGATCTATCTGAACATGTGTGTTTGTGGAAATACCTCATTTGTGTAATTTCTGTGCTATTGTTTAACAATGCCTTTGTTGTGCTTTAAAATAAAAGGACTATATTTTAATTTCAGTGTACTGTAATATAGAGTTTTGGAGTGTGTCTTGAGATTAACTGTCTTGTCACATAAAGTCATGATTTTTCACAAGATGAGTCCCAGGACTCACCATAACTATTTGTAACAAAATCACTGCCTCACTAATTTGTGTTCTAACCTTGTTTGAATCATCTGGGTGTTCTTGAATTGCTTCTACCGAGCCTGCATTTGTTTTGCTCTCTTCCTGCACACTACCAAAAGAAAATTATATACAGTTCTTGAAACAACTGCCAGACAGTTTACAAATTTATACTAACCAAAAGCCAAAAGATACAAATTTTTATTCTTTATGATTCAAAGTACCTTTGCATGACCACATCCTGATAGATAATGTATTCTTGGAGTTCAAAAGAATTGATATCCAACAAGTAGATGTTTCCACCCTCTGTTCCAAGGTAAAGGCGATTGCTTTTCATGGACAAGCAGCACACAGAGATCTTTTTCAGTCTACACACATTAACAAAAGACAACGGAAGTAAATACTCTATAATTAAAAATCAGAACACAGTGCTCTATGATACAGCCCAAAGCAATTGCAAGAATTATAGGTGTGTGCAATATGCTGGACTTATATCAGGGTTTTCAGTACGGTTATAATTAGTATGTGGCAAAAGCTTTGGAGTAGGCAGACAAGGAAAAAACTTGCGCCAAAGGCACAACTCGCAAGCGCTGAAGGTGCGAGTTTCTATGGGGGATCCTGGGGCAACTCCCCTTGAAACATTTTGATATCTGGGCCTCTTAGAATGCATTTCCAGCATTCTGGACCAAAACTTAGATTATTTGAAAAGAACACAGACATCATTAACTTTTGGCTTTTTATTCGGGGACAGCACATGAATACTGTATTTAAACTGGGGTATTTTCCAAAAAAGAGTAGGCAGTGAGTTCATCTAAAATAGCCAGCGCATTTCGCCAGCCGCTGGCTCTTAATTGAAAACCCTGATTATATGCAATTTAAACATACAAACATGTGTAATGCTGCAATTCCTTTGGTCTTAACTGTACATCACACCCTTCAAAGAGGATTAAAACTTTGTTGGCACTTCTTCAAGCTATGCTGAAAGCTTTCCTCAACCAATGGCAAAAATGAAATAGCAACAGTGGCCACATTAATGATCAGAAGTGTCTATTATCAACCAATTGTCTACAGCAATATTGATATATATAGGTCGGTTCATTTGCAGCACTCACATATAGCCATTGCATCTGCCTGTTGGAAATTTTTGCTGTTTTTAAACATGTAAGCTTTAAAACGATACCTCCAACAGGTAGAACTGAGGGCTACAATACAGTCATGTATGTTTTAAAAATGAATTAACCCCAAACTTATGAAAACAATAACAGGAGGCAGTGTGGCCGAGTGGTCAGCACGTTAGACTCATAATCCCCCGGTCCCAGGTTCAAGTCTGCATCTGGCCACTTGCTGTATTTGTTCTCGGTCGTCACGAGTTCAAATCCTTGGCTACACTTGTAAATAGCCAACTGGTTGCCTCCTGTCAGTTAGGGTTTTTAATCCTGCTATGTTATGTTTAAATTATTTGTTTCTAAGTATTTGAGTGCAGTGCCTGTAAAGTAGCTGCATAAGCTAAGTGTACTTTCCACCATAAACAACCCTTTAAACCTTTATTTTCTTTTTTTTTAATAACATCTGTCTTACCTTCCCTCTAATGTGCATGTCTTCACCTCTTCAAGAACAGATTTCCCCTCTTTTTTGTTTACCTCCCACAGATGAATGGTGTTCTGCTCACCATCATCACAAACACTGATGATTCGTCCCTAAAAATAGTCATAACAGACATCAGCTGAAGCAATAATTAAACAACAGGAAAGCACAAGAATAGCAATCAATAGAATCTGGTGGCATTTCATTGTGTCAGGGATGTCACTTAGAAATCAAGTTCACCGGGTAGATGCAGGGTTCTCATTAGGTGCCGGAACTAGCTAAAATACCCGGCTACTTTGAGGTCTGAGTCATCTACTGGTAAAGTGAGAGAGAGAAAGCCTGAAATTACCTTCAGGATTCGATTGCTAAGCCGCCTACTTTAACATCATAGCTGTCTACTTTAAAACCTAATGAGAACCCTGTAGATGCAATTAGCAATTGGGGAATTCTTATTTTAGAAAGTCATTTTGCTTTTATTTTCCCTTTGTTTCCTATGAAAGTAGTTGAGGGTTATGCTTATGGTAGTCACAGGAAATATTCGTGGCCCATGGATCTTAGAGGCAGCCCTGCATCATGGTCCTAAAAGAAGCATCTGCACTTTTATTCACCAGTACTGCTTGGTTTTTCTCCCTTAATTTCAAGGCTGTTTATTTTTCACCAAAATAGACATCATCACTTACTTAATTTTCCCAGCTAATTACATCTTGATGATCTCAATTTTAGGAATACATCATTTTTTTAATTTCATGATAAAAGAAGCTTTACAGGTTAGAACTCACTGCATGACCTGCCAAACTATTGTCTGCCATTCTAACCACTGAGTTTCCCAACAGATAATTTCAACCACTTTGTCTTGTAAACAAAGAAGATTCTTTATATGTTTTAGCAGCAGTCATAAATCTGTAATTGGGTCAGCCAGTATATTTTACGTTACAAACAAGGAATATGTTCTAATCCTGTAGGTTTGTGAACTAATGTACCAAAATTAGAAGCTTAATTAGCTAAATTTGCAGCTTTAAAGTTTTACAAACCATGATAACAGGGAATGGTTAATAGCACACAATACATCCCATTAGGCATAGCAGGAGAAAAAGGATCAAACAGAGCAAGAGACAAAATCATGCACTTATTTTGTCTTTTTCCCCTTCACTAGCTATTTCAAGACCACATACTGTCAAAAAGCAAGTGTCTAAAACATCCTTTACAAGATAATCAATGCCCAAGGAATGTAAATGTAGCAGCAAAGGTGTACAATGAGAAAGGTTTGGCAAGATGGCTGGATGCGTTACCACGTTGTCCGTTAATTTTGGCCTCCTGCTCTGCCTGTTTCTTATCTTGAATGGCATAAAACAAAACAAATCATCAACGAAGCCACTAAGCAATAGTAGCAACCTATATTTTGCTTCCCAAGAAGCTTGCAGGATTAAAATTCAATCTTTTCACTCTCTGGCACGGCGTCCAGCAAAACACCAAGCAGTCGGAGCTTTCCAGAAAGGCTTTATTACGTGCAAGCTTATACTTCATGGCTCTCTAGCCTTGGCTCTAATAGCGCTTGCCGGAGATGTTGAACTCAACCCTGGATATAAGAGTTTGGAGGATGTTAGGAGTTCACGAGGATTGAGGCTTGCTCATCTAAATATTCGAAGCTTGAGGAACAAATCAGACTCGCTGCGCCTGGAGGGTTTGGATAACAGAACGATCGATATTCTTACACTCAGTGAGACTTGGCTGGATGACTGCTATGAAGACTCTCATGTTATTATTCCAGGATATAATTGCATTCGCCTGGATAGGTCTGGAGCCAAAGAAGGTTTTGGTGGAGTAGCAATCTATGTAAAGGAAGGCTTGCCGTTTCGTGTTGGAATGATCTTTACTCAGCCGCAAATGAATGTCTATGGATTGAGCTATCGCGCACTAAATGTCGCCCAGTATTGATTTGTTGTGCATATAGAGCCCCGGTTTTGACTTTGCGAACTTTATTTCAAACTTGGAGATATCTATGACTTAAAGTTAACCTGGAAAAATGTGATTTCGTGCTTCTTGGCGACCTAAATGCAAATATGCTGCCATTTTCAAGAAAGAAAGAAAAACAAGAGCTTAAAAATTTGCAACTTCACACGATCTTACGCAACTCATTACTGAGGCCACCCGAGTGGCGGAAACCTGTCAATCCTTGCTTGACGTGATTTTAGTGAACAATGATCACCGCATCAATGACTCGGTGTTGTTCCTGTTTCGCTGAGTGATCACTACCTCGTCTATTGTGTTTTAAAAGCAGGTGTAATTAAGGCACCACCGAAGACAATTGAATACCGCTCTTATAAAAACTTTGATGCGAACACCTTCCTAGCGGACTTGAATAACGCCCCATGGCACATCATTGAAAACGAGGAAGACATCGACGACGCCGTGTTTATTTGGAATCACTTGTTTTCTGAAATAGCTGACCTGCATGCGCCCGTGAAAAGGCGAAGAATACGAGGTGTTCCGCTCCGTGGTTGAATGATACAATCAGTGAGGTGATGAAGGATCGTGATTTTCACCATCGTAAAGCCGTGAAAACCAATTCTGCTTTTCACTGGGCTCGCTATAGAAAGTTAAGAAATAGGGTCAATCGTGAAGTCAAGGCAGCAAAATCCAAGTATTATTGTGACTTGATTTTAGAGGCTAAAGGGATTCAGGAAAGATCTGGAAGGCGGTGAATGAGGTGTCTTGGCAAGAAGACTAAATCCTCGAGCCCACAATGTATCGTAGTTGATGGTGTTGAACACACCACCCCAGCCTCTATTGCATCCGTGCTCAACTGTTATTTCTCATCCATTGGCAGAAGTCTTGCAAATAAAATATCAGCTGCTGCTATGTTCCCAGTCAGATCGGCCACGATGCTACAGTCTTTCTCGCTTGAGCGAAGTTGATGAGAAAACAGTACTCAAGCATCTGCTTTCTCTAAAGACAAATAAAGCTATTGGCTTGGACAACATCAGTGCGAGACTTTTTTAAAGTGTGGTGGCGCGTGCTATTTGTCCCTCGATCACCAAGTTACTGAATCTCTCTATTCGCACTGGCAATTTTCCTGAAATATGGAAATGCTCGAAAGTGGCTGCACTTTTTCAAAACTGGAGATAGGAGAGATCGTCAAATTATCGCCCAATTTCTATTCTGCCAACAATGAGTAAAATTCTGGAAAAAGTCGTCCATTCCCAATTCTATGACTTTCTGAATTCAAATAATCTCCTTTCAAGCAAACAATTTGGCTTCCGTCCCAAACTGTCTACAACATCGGCTCTCACCAGTTTTGCAGATGAGGTCCTATTGCATATGGAGAGTGGAGAACTGTGCGGTGCAGTGTTCCTAGATCTGACCAAGGCATTCGATACCGTTGACCATACGATCTTGCTATCTAAATTGTCGGCTATCGGTGTCTCGCCCAGCACTCTACAGTGGTTCAAGTCTTACCTGAATCATCGTAAACAGCGGACTGCCTGTAGCGATGCTGTGTCTGACCCTCTCCCGATGACCTTTGGGGTGCCACAGGGGAGCATTCTAGGACCGCTTCTCTTCTTGGTTTATATTAATGACCTTCCGCTGGTTATAAAGAATTGCGAAGTGACTTTGTATGCTGATGACACGGTCCTGTACTACTTTGCTAAAGAGCCACACCTGTTAGAAGAGGCACTGAATGATGATCTCTTGAAAGTTGCCCAGTGGTTACATGGAAATAAGTTAACTTTAAATCTTACTAAGACGAAATCCATGATTATAGGCAGTAATAGGAAACTTGTTGGTATTTCCTCTTTCACGTTATCTATTTTTGACACTGATATAAATTCTGTAAGTAGTTTTAAATATTTGGGAGTTATGTTGTCTTCAACTTTCACATGGTCCGACCATATTGAGTATATTTCATGTAAGGTTAATAAAAACCTTGGTCTTCTACGTAGGATTAAGTATTATTTACCTTATGATGCCCGGTTACTTTTTTATAATAGCTTAGTGCTACCTATTTTTGATTATGCTGATTTAGTCTGGGGTGACAAGGACAATGTCTCACTTATGAAGGAATTGCAAATTCTCCAGAACAAAGCAGCTAAGTTGGTATTAGATAGATCACCTCACTCCTCATCCACCGATGCATTGATTGTCTTGAGATGGCTGAATCTTGAAGAACGTAGGAAATGTCATCGATGTATATATGCATACAAGTGTATTAATGGCCAACTTAATCATTCTTTGGACATTGTAAGAAAGAGTGATATACATTCCTACAATACGCGCAATAACGATACTATCAAGCTCCCCAAAATTAAATATAATTGGGGAAAACAACGTTCGCGGTACCACTGTTTCAAAGACTTTAATGAATTAGAGAGAACTGTAAGAAACTCACCAAGTTTTCCAATTTTTAAGAAGTGTCTTTTTTCTGCTTTTTATAATTGAGTACTTGTAGTGTGTATGTTTTAATTATTTCTGTAACTCGATTTTAGCTTGAATTTTATTTTATTTTATTTTATTTTATTTTTTTTTTGTATCATATATATCGATTTTAGCTTAACCTTTTTATATTTTAATTGTATTATATAATATACATCTCGTAATTAGGACCTCTATGTAAACCACTCTTGTGATGGAGCATCCTATTAAAAGATTGTTATTATTATTATAAAACAAAGAGAACTGTGACTGTCTGAGGGAAGAAAAGACAATTGGATTAGGCCTTGTTTTTAGCACTGCTTTATTGAGTTCCAACATCGTAGTTAGGATGAAGCAGACTGTTATGTAGTTTAATTCACTAAAAACTTGCTGGGGGAATTCGAGAGATGTTTTTTTCTTTAAATTGTGAGATCAATCACAAAATCCCTGAAATAGGTGTCTACCTGGCAAATAAAAAGGAATACTTCATGGAAATGGATCATATGTGCAAAGTATTTATGCACTAGTGCATACAAACAAAATTAAAGCAGCCAATTTACAATGCCGCAAAATAAACAAGGTTTAGGGTTTTGTGCACAACAGAAAGGGAATTTGGAAACACAGTTGAAGCTTTCTTAACAGACGTTCTTGTGAGCAGCCATGTCTACTTATTATGGCCCACAGTTGATGTTTTTTGTGTGTTTACAGGAGCCTGCCAGTGACAAATGGGAAAAAAATTGTTGCCAGATCATACATTTTGGTTGCCAACTTAATCAATATATAGCTTACATAAAAGCACGATTTAAATGTTCCTTCACATGCTACATCAGAGTCATAAAAAGCTAGAAACAAACAACATAAGAAAGACCTCTTACAACTGTGTGCAAAATGGACAATTTTTTTACATCACAAGAAGTGTAGTTTAGGATGAACACATTTTGATATCATCAAGGGGTTGAGCAACCTTTCTCTATAAGTGATTCATAGGACATTGCAGAAATGCCCAAAAATATTTACTGGTAGTGCAAGTTCTACTATACAATTACCAAGAACCACCAATCAGACAGTCTCTTCCACAAAATCATTGGCATTAAAAGCCTGTGGACAACTTCCCACTATCACAACGACTCCAAGTCACACAACATTGTGTTATATTCCTAATAAAGGCTAATAAATTGCGTACTTTGGTTTTTATTTGGAAATGGTTGACTGAGAAATGCAGCAAAATCTTCTAGATGTCACAAAGTTTTAAACCATTAAAATGTTAAAGAGATGGACTTTGCCCAGTCTCTAGTTTCCACTGCTGATACAGCCAATGTTGCATGCACAACTTTGCAGAAATTATAGCGACCCACGAACCACTTTGGTATGTGAGAATTTTCAACAAATTTTCAAGTAAAAGTGCCAGTAGACAGAGGGCATTGCAAACTTTTGTGAATCTCAGACTGCACACAACATATACATATGTTTCAACAGTTAACAACATTTTCTGCAGGCCTCAATCATAAGTCAAGATATATTTTGGCAAGCCTTTACCTACAAGCAGCCAACTTGCGTACATTCAGAAGAGGGGTCCCTTAAAGGAGATTTCATTTTAATTTCATTCATGATTTAATGCACTGCTTGGTTCTATAATACTGACGTCATTAACAACGTGTGCACATAAGTGTTCTCTGTGATATGAGAAAAATTAGAGTTCATAGAGATGAACATTTGGGACTACCATGGATTGAAAAAGGTTGAAAAAACAAAAATCAAATGGGAAAGGAAGTGGCCTCCAATTTAAATTTGCATAATTTTGCTTCAACATTTGACCATGGGCAAGATTCAAGAATAATATCACATGCAAACCAATACTTTCAAAACTATTGGAATTTCCAACAGTCATCTAGCAATAATCGGGGAGTTGATCTCTTGGAAACACCAAATATGATGGATGAATGTAACAAGGCTCTAATAGTTTATTCAGCGAAAGAGAATTTATTCACTTACAAACAAATGCCAATATCAGAATTTGAATTTTTTGCGTCAAAGAAATTTCGTTTTGTAACACAATTAAAATATCCAGATGAGACCACAATAAGTAGTTTAAAGGCAAGCTCGTTTGATTTTTAACAAGACCTTGACTAAAAACAATACAAGTCTTCGCACAATGTTATTCCAGTGGTTAAAATCAATACCTAAATTTATTCTAACTAAATGGCAGACAAAATAAATATAGACATGTATTGATTTCCTGTGCTAGAAAACCCTGGACGAAATGGATTACAACACAGATAAGAAACACAAAGTGGACTCCGTTCCATAACATGGGCAACTACTGATTTAGCCTCTAGCTGGGTCAGAAACTAGAATTTTCCCTTCGTAATTGAATTTAAAAGCCCCACCCTCGCAAACACACCCTCCATTTTCCCCTCTGTCGACAGAAGTTTACAAACATGAAACATGAAATATCAAGCTTTTTGTTGGTCACTTACCTGTTCAGGCAAAAAGTGCAACTCTTGGATGACTGTTTCGTTCTGATGGCTGGCAGAAAGCTCCACTCCAGGACGGCCATAGCTGGCAAACACGTCAAAGAAAAATTCGCGGGGGTTTCATGCATACAGAATACGTGGTAAACACTAGAAGTACCCGCGTGACTCAAATACCTAATGCACTTTTGCGAGTTTTGCCCTGCAGACTTAAATTGGTAAGGAGGTTATCCCATGGCAGGTGCGGTATACGATTAACAAAATGTAACGAGAAGACTTACTCCGGATACCTAACGCCAAGAGAAAAGGCAACACGGCGTTGCACTTAATTATGAATGAAATTATGTCGGCGAAATGAAATCGACGACCCGGAATTTTTTGTTTCATGTAAATTTCAGAAGTTTGTTTCAGTTTCACCTTAAAGAGCTAGGTGTTTATTTCTTTTGCTAACTCGGCTTGAGCCCAAATTAACTTTATCATTTAGAATTATTTAGAGGCAACAACATGCTGATTTTCGTTTTTCAAAATTAACATCTCCTTCTCGCATATTTCGACTCTTGAAATAAGAACCTGGTACCGCGATAGTTGTTGCTTCAAGGATCTTAATTTTGTGATCAAAGATCAGCTTCGTTTGAACAGCTAGCAAAAAATATCATCAGCCACTAAAAAATCCAGAAGGAACCTTATACAAATGCGAGGATACTTTCTACTAATGATAGCGACGCGGACGCGAGTTTACAAAACGTAACTTACGACTGGTCCACGTGCGTTCGAAGGGTAATCCACGTTGTTTATGCAAAATTTGAGCTCTTTCGCGTTGGCCCAGATACCTAATTTAGAAGCCGTGGCAATGGGTAATTCAGAGGCGATATCTTCAAGGTTTTCTTCTTTTAATCACGTCTGGTTTGCATGCAAATTCTACCCTCAAGAAAGATCCAATCCTGTTCAGAGCACGTAGGAGGTTTCCTGCAAGCCAATTCCACTTGAAACGACATCAAAACATTTCGGAAGGTGAAGTCACAAGACCTACTTGAAGTACATTGGAAGCGAAACAAAAACTTCTTTAACAAGACTACCAATGTTAAGCTGTGTTTGAGGCGAGCAACAAATTTACACTTGCTAGAGTGTTCGTGGCATTCCCAGATCGCTTTTAATCAAATCATGATCTACAACTTGCTGTCTGGGAGCTGATGTTTTCAGCTTAACTGTAGCTAATTCGCAGAAATGGCCCCATATCTCCGGATTTTTCGGAGCTAATAGTTGTCCTTTGAAGATGTTACAAAACTCTTCGAGGACAAAAACATAAGAATTGTCTGGAATGGAAAAGGGTGGGAGAGAGCAACCAAAAGTACTACGCATATTTACAACCAAAGGATACATCTTAAGCAATCCATTGCTTGTCCCAATAGCCAGTAAGTTTAGCTCTGAATCATGAGCAATTGCCGAAGGCTTCGGTGGAAATCCATGCTCTACAGCCTGCAACAAATTGAGGGTATTAATAGCGAGCACATGTCTACCGAACGATATTCTTTTCAAAGAACGAGCCAGAAAGCGCTAAAGCAAACCTTGTTGAAGAGAAACAGATCCTTGCCGAGTTTGTCCTTCAGATGTCCTGAGCTCCTGTCTCGTGTTCTTGAAAAAAACTTAAACATTGCTACAGCGGTCGCCTTCGAAGACAACTGAAATGCGGCGACTTTACAGGGACGAACAACTGATTAGGAAGGTCGAAGAGAGTATACCGAGAGACTCGTTAGAAAATCAATGCAATCACGCCTTTGAGAAATTGTGGTTGGGTCATGTGATACCCTGTCAATCAAACACCACTGCACCAATCAGAATGTGTATTGTGATTAAAAAGCGCGCCGAAAAAACAGTTCATCTGCTTTAGCTTGGCTTCCCAACCTGCTCAAACAAAATTAAAGCAAAAGAATGAACTGTCCCAAATCTTTCTTTCATCATGAATAAATTTAGTTTTGAACGTTCAAGTGGTGTCATCTGAGGTGAATATTTGTTTAGACGCGCGTGACGTGCATGTACTGCATGAGATTTTGGCAAGCTCGGATATTTATGCTAGATGCGTCCCGCAATCTCGTTTAATTTGAGGAGAAGATGTTAAATTATGGACCACATTTATTTATCTTCCATGCTGTGAACATTCTTTACTTATTAATCTTAGTTGTCCACAAAAATGTAACTATAAAAACTGATGATGGACCAAGAAAACTAAGATTTTGCAATTTTTGGCATCGAATTTATTGACCGTGTTGACGTGTCAGAGAAAAAACTCAAGCGTTTTAAATATGCATATTTTTAAGATCAAAAAGAAAAAATTTCAATGCCTGTTTTACACACAGGAAGTTACATTTGAGGTGAATAGGAACAAATTTGTTGATTTGTTCTTCATTTATATAGCCTGCTACCCTTATTCAAATTTCAGCCTGTCAGAGGAATTACAGGTGAATGAGAACTCCACCGACCATTTTTCAAAGTCCACCCGTTTTTTATTTTATTTTTTGTAAGCTAAAAAATGGGTTAGAACGCGTAACAACATTGTTTCAACTAATAATACTTCTACCTTGAGTTTCTGACGTACACAGATTCGAAGGTACAAAGATCCCTGGAGCTTGCCTTTGCAAATACAACGACGAAACGAGTCAAACAGTTAATAGCGATGACGCAAGATTTCAGCCACTTGGGTGAAAACTCCATGTTTTGTCTGTTTGCGGCGGGCTTGCATGACAGTATCCTAAAGTTTGCATCAAAATATAATAATTTGTTTAATTTAGGTTCCGTGAAGGACTTTTTTCTTTCAAAAAATAAAGGGACAGAGAATTTCCCAATATATCTTTGGTGATTTTCTTATGCGGGCGTCGAGACTTCCTGATTGTAGAAAACGCCTGCTTGGATTCTTGGAGGGTGGTATAATGATTTCACAATAAGGACTCATTGCAGTAGGACTGTGATAAATCTTTTGGCCTGACAGTCTAGCAGAACATGCTGGAGAGGAAACCTGTCTCGAGTTAAAACGGCGATTGACGTGATATTGAAAAAAACGGAAATATACTTCTGATTTGATATATTCGAAAACTCACAGGAAATCATATACAGTATATAACTAATTTTAACTTAAAGGTTTATCGTTAGATCTTCCAAAGCGTCTGTTTATACAATATTCGGAAATTTTACATGTAAATATTGACATTATCTGCGAAGATGATCTATCACTGAAATAATGTGTTAAGTGCCTTGCAAATCCCAATTGCTTCATATCCAATTAATGGTTTTCAATGCAATCAACTGCTTTCATCATTCAAAATTCTCTGTTAAGCGGCATCTTCTTACAGAAAGATAAACTTTCGAACGTCAGGGGATTTTTGTTTTTTATTTCTTCAAAGGGAGTTGAGCAGTTGTCATCAGTTCTGTATATAAATATCGGGTCCATCGGCTATTCTGTTCCTTTTTATCCGATTACGGACCTTGAAATGTTGAATATATTACAAAGTCTAACGTTATGATTAATATTCAGTCACGCCTGATATCCAGTCGCACATGACTATTAATAGAAGTTACAAAATTTCTCGATTTTGAAATCCGGCCATTGAGTCATAACAGAATTGAACCCGCTTTTCGGGAGACGTTTACCGTTTTTACAAGTTTTCCTTTGCAAAGTTACTCGGGACGTCACGCCACTGAATCACAACATTTAGAACGCTTTCCATTATTATCACGGATCGGTTTGTCTATTATTTGGGGTAAGATGAGTAGAAGTAATTTGTTTTTTTAACGAACAAAACCAAGTTGATTTAAAGAAAATAACGAATAAAGCCGACGATATGCTAACTGCGGTCACGTGCCGCTGTTGTTATTGCTTCATGAAAAGAAACTGACCAAATTAGCTTTCTACCTCCTTAAAACCGTTTTTCCGCCTAGCCGGCGTGCGAAAAGATGTCTGTAATAGGTCACTTGCATGATGGCGTCCTTTTACTACTACGACCAGAGTCGTTCGGGTTTTAGCTTTCTTGTGCAAATCAGCGCTTTTGTTATTTAAACCTCGCTAGGATTACCAAATTTAAATGTGAAAGGAAAAACGAAAAGAATTCTGGTCGTAGTAGTAGAATGACGCCATCGTGCAAATGGCCTATTAAGGCCGGGAATTAAGGACTGACTGCCTAAAAAAAACCTAATCAATCCTTTGAATCCTTGGAGTCAAATAATAGCTAAAAATAAAAAATTAAAAAAATAGTAATAATATAAAGTGTGCAAAACGCTTTTTGTGCGCTTTTCTCTCATCAAGGTAAAAATCGTGCGACTAAACAGTGACTAAAGGAGAAAGCCGCTCAAATAGAATTGAAAATAACCTTTCTTGGAAAATTTATTTGAAGTAGATTCACTCACTAGAAATTAGTGAAAATTCCTCGACGTTACGGGGTTTCCGGAAACCGCGAATAAGCCATAATTATTTCACGTTTGAAAGCACGTCCATCTTTAATTGACAATAGAAAATCTTTCAGCTTCTTGAACCTTCTGTTTAATCGCGCCCGTGATAGCTTTGCCAAAAACGACGAGGATCTACCAAAAAGGCAATGCTTGTACAGAAAACATTTTGATAATGAATTACACAGGGAGGGAGCCTTTTACGACTCCTCGCCGCTAGAAGCCTGTGTCCAGGCGCTCCCTCATCGAAACAAAGTTGACGGGCATCAGTAGAGACTGTTTTTGAGGAAGGGAAGCGGCTGTACACAGGCTCTCTAGCGGTGAAGACCGACGAAAGACGGCTGTATCGCAAGCTACATTTTCAATCTTCAAGGCCGTTTTTGTTGTCAAAGTTTGTGGTTTTCAAAATAGACCCTGACCCCAGATTTTAACCGCGGAATTACAATAATGATTGAGATCCGGTTCGATCCGGTACTCAGCACACTTCAGTCAAACGGCAGACGCGAATTTGTACCAGGTGACCAAGTTTTCCCTTTACTTGTCGTTTACTAATCATTAATTTGTACACATAAATTAGTAGTTTCACGCAATTTCGTTATGCATAGGAATGGTTTTGAACCGTTTTAGCTGCTCATTTTCTATTTTGAGAAATTCTCAGCTTGAATCTGACATTTGACGTTTGACGTTTGCCGTGTACGTGAAGCTTAACTCTCAAATATGATTTGGACACATTATAACTGCAGTTTATCCAAGTTCAAGAACATGAACACCATCGTTTTTTACTGATTCTATATAAGAATTAACCCTTGCAGACATATTTTAAAGATAACTTTCTTTTACAAAATTTATCTATTTTTAGTCTACGCCCTTGCCAGAAGGAAACGCAATTGTTGTTTGCCAAACTGTTAAGTGCCGTCTAAAAGTAGCCTCGGGTTCGGCATTGGCCAAGCGAATCCAAAAAAAGTTATCTTCTAAAACGGACCGGAAAAAGACTAAAACTAACGCGTTGTGGCAGGAAAATTGAGTTGCATGCCTTGGTATTAGAAGTTGAGAAGTTGCAACTGTGTTAAAGTTGCGCCGTATAACTTCCCTTATTGCACTGTCAAGGGGCAGAAGCTCCTGAAAAAGGTCATTATAATTGCCTAGTGGGTGACACGCTTATACTATACGGTAACGGCTACGAAAACGTCACTTAGAAAGCAAATTCGTCAGTGGCGCTGTTTCACACTTTATCGTTCAATATTCGTCAAATGTTGGCAAATTTTGTGGACTTAAATTCTAAAACACTGTACTGAAGTTCGGGAAAAGATAAAAGGAAGTCGTTGTCTTGCGGTTAACACCCTCCACGTCGCAGTCGTGTTGTGACGAGAAAAAAGCATGATCACGGAACGCGCAAAAATTGTTGTTTTGCCAATCTATTGCTTTTTTGACGTTTTCGTTTCCGTCACCGTCGTCGTTGCTTAAGCTCCCTAATGAGACCTAAAACACGAGTCAAACTTAGCAATTAATACTGGACGACTCTTGTCACATAGCCATTGGTTTGGATCCTCCCCCCTATGCCTTAAACCGGTGAAAATTGATAATTGCACACTGGCACTCCCGAAATTGAAAAGATTGATGTTGAAATATTCCCAAGCAGTCAAGTTTTGGACTCTCGCCTGCTTATCCCGATATCACGCCTGGTATCAAGGGAATACAAATTGCAAAATTGCCAAGCAAAATTTGCTCATTCACCAAGGACAATAACTTCTGGTTTCCTTAAATATACGACATGCAAGGCCGCAAAGACAATATTTATAGGAGGAAATAGCTGTATTTAATAGCTTGTCTGAAAGCGGATTCAGCAGACCATATTCAACAGAAAACTCTGGTGATTTCCTCGAAGTCTTTCGTACTCTGTCTCGCGCTTCGAACTCCGATCACATTTACTAAAGCCAGGTTTCCATATAACCTTTCGGATCTTCTCGAAGGTAGATTGGGTATGGATACGTTTCTGAGAAATTGCCCACCTACCCCTCCCTTAAGCCAATATTTTGCCCTAAGTGAGAAGTAAGTGTTAATGTTGGCTTATGGGAGGGGTAGGTGGGCAGTTTCCCAAAAACGTAGAATGCTCTGGGTATTGCGGTTCCTGAACGGGAAAAAAGTCCATGTCAAGCCTTCGTTGATTCGCAAAATATTTAAAAATGATCTCTTTTAAGAAACGGTCCAGATAAGAACGATAGCAACAACGGCAACGAACATGTTGGAATGCAAAAAAGGTGCTAACTTTTCTATTGTCTGTACTTACTTCTGATTGGCTTAAACAGCAAAAGTTAACAAAACTTCATAAAGCGCTACATATATTCATCCTTACTTTCCAACCATCTCTTCATATAACAAAATCTGGTATATGTTTGAATAACAAAGAAATCCTATGTGGGGAACATGTAAAATTGTAAACTTTTCTTGGCTATTGTTTTCAACTCTTGTGATTGGTCAAAATCTTTTAACACACAAAAAAAAAACCCTTTCAAAGTGGAGTGTAAATGCATTTTATTGCGTAAACGGCCTTCATGTAGGTTTATGCATTCTCTGTTTAAAAATAAGAACATTCCTATGTGGGGAAAGCACCGTTGCCGTATAACAAACGAAATTGCTATCCACCTTACCCGGATCATTACTTAAAGCGGCTTTTCGTTTCGGGAGAATCCGCATAGTGTGCCGAGGAGGCCATATTTCGGTTTTTGCGTTGCAATCTCGCGCCTAGAGAATTAATCTTAAGGCAAAACTTCTTAAGTATTGAATGATTTTTTTTTTTAAATTGTTGCATTGAATTAGTTTTAACTAGAATCAAATGTGTATACAGGAAAGCTTAATTTTAAGATTCTCGCTGCATAAGAAAAGATACCGGCATTTGCTAACCTGGGACCAGGCTCCGCAGCGGAGGGGGGAGAAGGGGGGCAGGCAAAAAAGAAAAATCAGCGAGCGAAGCGAGTTAGGGTTAGGGTTAGGGGGGATGAAAAACGAGCTCCCCTAAAAACGCCTGCGTGGGAGGCTACACGACTGAACAGTCAGAGAACTTCCAACCAAAAGACATAAGTCGGCTTCAAAGTTAGTTTATTCATACATGTCCATTATCCAGCCCACATGAATTCGCTTTCACGCGGGTTTTGTTAACCAAAGAGTTGCACGACTTTCTAATAAAGGTGTGTGCAGACCGGCTCTGAGGAAAATTGTTTTTTACCGATAAATCCACCTTAACAGATTTTGAAGTTGTGCTGCGAATACTGAAAACAGATTGGCTCTCCTATCACTCAATGTTCACAAGACATGCTGTCCAACTCTGCCATCTCTTGCGATGAGCCGTTCACTGATCATGCAGTTTCAGATTCTTACAAAGCAGGCATCAATATTTACGAAACGTTAACAGATGCCCAGTCATAGACTCCTGATCTGTTGCAAAAACCGTGAGCTTCCAGCATTAGGGCGTCTAAGATAGTACGACCGCGACGGCTACGAAAACGTCGCTTAAAAAGTGAATCTGCGTTCTTTCAATCTCTATCGCGATTAATCCAACTCATTTAATTTGTCAAATACAAGCGAAGTGTTTTTGAGCTGAATTCCTGACAACCACATTCAAGTTCAGAAAGAGAAAGAAAATTTAGCCCTCGCTTGTTTATGTCCTCCATAAAACGTGAAATTAGGCATTTTCCCGTCGTAGTGGTGCAGTGACGGCAAAAAAGTGTACAAAAAAAGCGCGATGCACGTGCAGAGTTGTTGCTTTGCCTATTCCAAAAAATTGCTTATTTTAACTCGTTGTCGTCGCCCTTGTGGCATCCTAAAGTCCCGATTATTTATCACTTTTCGTCAGTTCTTATTCGCTCAGATAAAGCTTCGATTCCAAATTGATTGTTTTCCTCAATGAACTCTTCCAGTACTTGGATGATATTTAACGCATCTTCAGAGCAAAGGGCGCGAGCTTCTAAAGTGGCGTTACGTAGTAAAATGGGTCCGTTGCCACACTTCAAGAGAAATACATACGACCTGAAAACAAACACAAAGAAAACACGAATGTCATAAATTAGACGGTCAGAGTCAGTTCAAAGAGGACAAAGATTGAAACAAAATAAAAGTTAAAGAAAGAGTGGCAATACTGAACGAAACACAACGGTGAAACTCGCGGAGTAAGATATTACCAAGAGAGGGATCTCTTTTGGTATTAGTTAACTTACGCAACAAGACGGTAGAGTAACGAAGAAGGCAAACCTCGTGTGCCAAGCGTGACAATCATTTTGTTTGAAATAACTTTTCGCCAAACTTCACTTTCATTTGAACGTATCTTTTTGTAAAGACCAGAAAACATAAATGTTGAGTGAAGATCACGACAAAACTCGTCGTGTCACGTTTGTCACACACAAGCGTTTTGCCGTCCTCTTCATCCTGCCGTCCTGTTGCGTACCAAAGTAAGCCGCGAGGGGGAGGGAGAAGGGAGACATGGGTTCTGCAAACCTCTTTAAGGCTATTATTTTCTAAAGAAAGTTTTTGTGGTGGAGAATAATATGTAAGCCAGCTTGTAAGCTTGTATGTTTTGTTATTTTTCCGGTACAATTTATGTGATATGGATAACTCAACGACCTGCGTTTCCTTCACGTGCGTATCACTCTATCACTCGACCTACAACATACAATCCAAAGAGTCCTAATGTTAAAAGCTCCATAGAAATCGCGCTTTTCAGAAACCTGGGACTGAATCCCAGGCTACCCCACGCACCACGCCTCTAGCCACCAACGCAGACGTTCTTTTGCCGGGTTCATCACGCACGCTGTACTCTGCAACATTGGGGAAAAGTAAGCCTATTAGGGTCGTCACACAATGTTCCTCCCCACAAAAGGCTAGCGAAGATGAGCGTTTCGTGACGACCCTAATTACGGCTGCGAGGGAGACTAGGGAGGAGTGTGCTACAAGCCAGAAATGGTCTGTATGAAAGTTTACAAAGTTTCCTGTATCATGAGGATCTCGCTTCCCACACTTACACCCTCCTACGTTCGACATCCCGTCGGCAATTACACTGTATAAACGCCCCCTTTTCTTTGAACCGTTAAACCTACATACAAGTTCCCCACACTGATCTCCACACATTTCTTTTAAGAATTGTTGAGAGAATTTGGCTTAAGATCAAAGTGTTCTCTCTTTGGTAATCAAGGTTTTTCTGTTTTCAGTCATTCTCATAACCTTTACTCTTGATGAACTGCTGATGCTGTTAGGAAAAAATTAATATTGGTCACTCCTGGGACTTGATATGCTTACTACAAGGAAACGGGGTACTCCCTCATATAAGCCATACAGGAATGTGCCCCCACGAAGGGTAGGGTTTTTGCGCTGTTTTAGTTTGAAGAGGGGTATAGACTTTGCCCATTATATTTTGGACTGGAATCAGTTCTGGTTTTCGAGGTAACTACGGCAGTGTATGAACGTATTTATCCTTTCGATTCCGAATGAGTAAGAAAAAAAGAGAAATGTGTAAATTAAGAAATGGTTTTTGTTGGTGTTCCAATCTAAATAATGACGACATAACTTCTTACAGGCCAGGTCTGAAAACGGGTGTGAAAAATGACATTTTTTGGTCTGAAATAGGGTCAGCATTTGGATACACCCCCACCCCAGGAGTACCCCCCCCGGATAACAGAATGCATGGCCACTTTGATCCACACCTTGTCGGAAAGCTTTTTGAACGATCCATAACACGAAGGGCATTATTGGATTCAATGAGACGTAGATAAGTGGCCCTGTAATCCTGCAGTTTACAAAAACAAGCGCCGCAAGGCAATTGACTGAACGAGAGAATGAGAAAAGAGCGAGCGTCTCTTGAATCTCTGCAAGTGATACAATCTGAAGCAGGAAAGAAGCACTTAGAAATATTCAGTTCAGTAATCTTTAAGCCAGAAACACGTTCCCACGAGTTATAGAATAGCACATTTGCGGCAACTGAGTGCATCGATCAGGGGGTTATCGTTTCGATACAAGTTTAATCAATCGAGTAGTAAATTGTTCCACGTACGAACAATATTGATCCAAAATGGTTTTCTTGCTCACGCACAAACTATACTTGAACTGTACGAAATTTTTGCGCAGTTTCAACTCTTGAGTTTGTATCAAAACGAGAAATCATTCCCGCGACAGCGTCAAGTATAAAGGACGAATGGTATAAAAAGCGAAAAGATTGCACGTCGATGTTGCAGTGATTCCAAAAATGGAAGTTATCCATTCAAGGTACAAGGGAGAGGGCGTAAGTGTAAACAGATCAAGAAAGTGCTCTTTTATCTTATATCAAAAAATAATACAAGTAATACAAATCATCCAACAATGGCTTACTTTAGGTCAATATTGCTGCTCCTACGCGTCAAAAAACATCACAGTCCGGAAACAGCTATTTAGACAGCATATCAATTAACCCATTTTCTTTAGTTTTCCTTGAGAAACAACTGTAAAAATAGCTGAGCAAACACGGATGAAAGAAAAAAACACTGGATCATGAGAAATTCACACTCAAATCTGCTGAATGCCAATGTTACCGAGGCAACGAGTCGGTAAGGTTACCCTGAGGTAAAACGTGTCTTTGCCAAAGACACTTGTGATATTGGTTTTATATTAGAAAACGGCTTTGTTCAGTTTTTTTCCTTTCCATTCATGGGACACCAGTGAAAAAGGCTAAAAAGTAACAGGCACCTTGGAGAGAACTCAATGATTTCTATAGCGACAAAAGCCGAACTAAGTTTTAATAAATGAAACTTTCAAAAAACTTCTTGTACGGAATTAGGTGTGTCATGAAGCGAATAAACCGCACGAATCGTTCTCCGAAAGCCAGTGCCATGTCATGTCATGTGAGCGAATTTCGTTCGCTTTTATAAAAAAAGCTGGATCCAAAAAGCTCTTGTTAGTGCAAAACTGTCGTACTCGTGTGCTGGCCGTGCGATTTGGCAACTCGTTTTTGAGCTAAAGGAGTGGAAATTTTGAACCCAACAGAATGCTGTGTCCACTAAACTGGGACGCGAAATGATTTCTATTACCTGTATAATGCGTAATGATCCGTCTCCGCTTGTCTCAAAAGTCTCTTTAATGTATTCATGTCGTGATTTACCTGCGAAGACAAAGAGAGACCTGATACAACGAAAGAAGAGATGACGTGTTCATCAAAAATATTACAAAAATAAAATCAAGCCGCTGCTAGAGTATTTTAAACAGAAATGTGCTTCATTTGTTTTCTGAGCCGGTACTGCAGGTAGAGGAACAGCCTGCGAGGACCGCCTGTGAGCAGGCTCAATCGTGTCATTTGTGATAGTTTGAGGAAAATTTCGGCGGTGCGCGCGAGAAAAAGTGAAAATATCACGAGGAAAAGTCTTTTCCTTGCGCACTGCTGGCTCCGCCGCCAAACTTTTCGCCGAACTCACAGAAGTGAGCCTGGTCGCAGGCTACCAGAGAAGAAACAAACCCGTCGAGCCACAAACAGTCAAAGCTGCCGCAAGCGGACATCCCCAAGAAGCAGAAAAAGGTTCTATTTCTGAAGCTGATGATCATCGCAAGCGCCTAGTAGCATCAAAACGGAGGTTACAGCGGCCGCTTACATTGCACGAAACTATATTTAATTTTAATTACAATATGGTATCACATATTACACTAGATAAAAGGGAGTAAACAAACCGATTTTTCTGAAGCAGTATTCACTTATGGAGAATAGACCTTGTTCACGGTTTTCGACGCCATCTTGACGAGTAGGCAAACGCGTGAGAAATTACTAGAAGACCTAAAACCACGTTTTGAAATTTTCTATACATTTGTCTATAAGAAAGTCCCGGGAAAATTTACAGACAAATATATGGAAAATCCATTAAAAATTATTTGACATTAGACTCTCATACAAACACTGTAATTTCTCACACGTTTGCCGACTCGTCAAGATGGCGTCGAAAACCGTGACAAGGTCTTTACCAAATTGTACCCGTGAGTTTCCACTACGTACCCTTTTTAGTCATCTCAAACTACAGAGTTTTTAGGAGTTAGTTCTATGGGGTTTTTGTTAAGGCAGCCATAAACAGAACTCAGTGGGCCGTTTTAGGCCGCTTTTCGTTCCGACACGAAAAACTATCAGGTATAGTATGAACGATATGAAACTCCTCCACTTTAGAGATCTTCGCGTCCCGTTACAGAAATCGCGCCGAAATCACCGTTCTTAGGGAGCTTTAGCAACGACGACGGCGACGGCAACCAGGACGTCAAAAAAGCAATAGGTTTATTACGCAAAACAACAACGTTGCACGTGCATCACGCTTTTTTGTACATTTCTTTACCGTCCTTGCACAACTACGACGTGAAAATGCCTAATTGCGAGTTTTTTTGAGGACGTAAACAAGCGACGACGAATCTCTTTTTCTCTCTCTAAACTTGAGTGCGGTCCTCAAGAAATCAACTCCAGGGAAATTCGCCTACACTTGCCATTTTCAGCAAATTGGAATAAACGCGACAAAGATTGAAAAAACGGGAATTCATTTTAAAACTGACGTTTTCGCTGCCTTTGCCGTTGTCGATGTTAAAGCTCCCTCTTATATGTGAACAGAAGCCTTAGACGGTATGGTTCTCGTGCCGGTGCAAAACAGTATCAGGTTTAGTGTGAACATTCCCTATTAAAGAGAGCACTCGTTTCTGAGAGTTTTGACTTTCACTGAAGGAAGAAAATGAATGGAAAGTTTAATGTTCCGTTTTTTCCCACGTAGAGTTGTTAAGCTTGTTTTGATGGCCTCTTAGCGTGTCAGCATACAAAGAAACTCAAAATTTTGTTAATTTACAAAGCGGGTTGTCTGTTGTGCCTATGAGCTGGCAAAGTTTACTAGTTTATATGTCTAGACGTTAGCTTACCGTCTCGGTAACTATCATAACAGATGCGCGTAAATCCCTTCTTTGTCTTTTTGAAATAAACAGATTTAAGGGATTCATCTGTCAATAAATAGCCTAAGTCTGTCTTTGGAGCTAAATCTGTGTGCACACATGACATGTGAACTTTCTAATAAAATGATTAAATGCTTTCAAGAAAACTAGGAGATATATTTTGACTTATACATGTTGATATATTTGCCCAACATCAAGAATAAAAAGCCCATTATACAGTTGAACTGTAAAAAGCGCTTTTAATTTTTTTTTCACCGAAATCAAAAGCTTTAGTTGGCGTTTGTTTATATTATAACTGTCAAGTGCATTGAACTGAAGTACCACCTATCACAAAAATGAATAGTACCAACAAAAGAAGGGAAAAATGAAAATTAACACTGAATTTTTGAGATGGTGAGCAAGAAGGCATGAAAAGTAGTAACAACAACAAAAACATGTGGAAGGTTCTTACGAGAGAAAGGAAAGAATATGTTCACGATCCCTGGTTCACCAGTGTATAATTTATTACGAGCATTCCTCTGAAAAGAACTAAATAGCGTAGCAACTAAACAATGACGCCGCAAAATTAGATATGGGAACCACTTGAAAATTGCCACTTTGAAGTCTTTCGCGCCGGAAATTTTACGAGCGCTTTCACCTGTGTAAACATAATTCATTATGCTAATCTGTTAGCCTGAATTTCATCCGATTACTTCGAGTCTTTAACAGCCTGTTAAACGTCCGAATCGACTGGCCGTTAATGCCGTCCAGTGGCGTCACTACTCCTTGACCATTGCTTTAATTCATGCAAAAAGTAAAACACGATTTTCAAGTGGCAAACCGAGAAATATCGTTTGGAAATGTCTGCATGACACAGAATTGCTTTATTTTTTTTCGATCGTAATTCACGTGTAACATTCAAGGAGTAGTGACGTCACTGGATGGCATTAACGGCCGGTCGATTCAGACGTTACTGAGGGAGTAATAACGACTCCAAGAAATCGGATGAAATTCAGGCTACTAATCTGTGAGAAAATGACGCGAAAATGCAAGGGACATCATCAAGTAGGACCATGGTGTCTCAATAGATTTGGTCCCAGACTCTAAGATCGCCAACACTCTTGGAAAACATATTAAAATCTTGCGTCACAAAAATCAAACCTTCCCACGCTTGGCGCCCGCGACAAATACTTAAGTTAACATCTCATTGGTTCATTTAATTGTCTAGCTGTACCGTGATTAGAAACATTTTCCCGCGCTTTTTCGTTCGGCTAACTTGTGATGCTCTCTACGCGTGTGGTGATTGGCCAGAAAAATTGGTTTTGTTTTCGAAAACTCTCGCGACAAATTTCTCGTGTCACCATCAAGACCAATCAAAAGTGACAACAATCGCGACTTTCTTGTATTCGCTTTGAGACTTGACAGGCTTACTTGATTGTCCACTTATGTTGCAATCGGTTAGGAGAATTGGGTTGGTTTTAAGACACTTATCTGCTTACCCTCAATTTGTAGTTCTCAATAACTTGTCTAAGAAACACGGGGTTATCTTCTGTATCAGTCAGCAGAGTTTTTGCCCATTCACGACAAAAACGGGTTGTTACTAGAAGAGATTAAAAAGAAGCTCACAAACACTTTCAAGGACTGTTTAAAGTTAAGCTTTTGTCTAGGACCTGTAGTTTACTCTGTTGTCTGGGCAGACCCAAGGGAGCGGCGGAAATCAAGCCTGGTAGCTACACCTTGCATGGAAACTGAACAAACATTTTGCTTCCCCTGCCTTAGCCTGCGTAGCATGGCGGTTTTGTCGAGCCGGGCGCACGAGCGGCGAAGCCCTGAAATTCGCGCGAGAAGCGCGCTAGAACGAGTGGCGAAAAACTTGAGTTTCTTTGTGTTTAGACGCCCAAAAACCGCCATGCTTAGTCAGTGAAAAACTTGAGAACGGGACTAAAAAAAACTTTTTAGTCTCCGGGGACTGGACCGGTGATATTGCCCAATTATCTCGAATCTTTCCCAAGTTTAAACGACTTCAAGGAATTGTGTTACTGGCCTTCTTTACATCAGGGTGTGGGTGATACCCCCCCCCCCTTCTCGTATAAATGAACAAAGTACCTTTGTTATCGAGGCTGTATTCTACACCATTTGTTTTTAAGACAAGTTCTGTGGGTATTGCTGCAGCACATTTGCATGCTAAGCTTTCTGTTTCCTAAAGAAAAAAAAAAACGGTATAATTAATTTGCATCACAGGGAAAAGCTATGGCAATTTAGTTTTCTGGGATATTGCCTACCTACTCCTCCCCTAAGCCAACATTTACATTTATTTCTCATAAAGACTTCAGCTCTTGGGCCATTGATGTTTAATCAGAAATAAAACACAAACAGCAGTGATAAAGATTGTGAGCTTTCGCATTTTTATATAAACATAGGAAACGTCGAGTCACCGTTTTGGGCTATCAAAACAGAAAATGTGGTCGGACACAGCCAGGAACGCATTATTGTCCGTGGTAGGTGCGGGTTTGGCAGATAGACTGTCTACTGCTGACAAATCATCACTGTAATGATGTTATTTTGCTGTTATGAAATGGATAGTTTTTCTGATTAGTTGAAGAAAATTCCCCCTGTGCCACGACCAATCAGAAGGACTACTCAGATCTGGGTTGTAACACATTATCAGTATGGAATTTCTGTGCTTGTTCCTCAGACATCACTGATTTCAAACACGACAAGCCGGCTGTTTTCCCAGGCTACTAATAGATACATTCTAGTGTTCCTGTTTTCGTTCACTTGAAAGAAATGAATATGCCATCATAAAGGCTGAAATGTTGAAGAATGAAATAAGTGTCCTCTTCAATCAATCACCACCTTAATTGAAAAAAAAAGAAATAATGCACCCTGGGCGCTAATTCGAGCATTTCCAGTAAAGTTAAATTCCTTGGGGGGGGGGGGGGGGGAACTCCACATATGAAAGGGGTGGGGATGCTTGTCGTCTCGCTTAAGGGTGTAAATTTTGGATTTTGGTCTCACTTAGGGTGTTCTGGGCAAAACGCCATCATATTTATCTGTGAAGGTCTCGTTTAGGGTTGCAAGTGAAAAAACATAAAAAAATATATATTGTCTGTGTTTTAACATGGTCTCTTTTAGGGGTCAAAAAAAGCTTGGGCCATGCCCAGATTGGTCTCCTTTAGAGGTTTAATTCAAAATTTCAGACGAGCATCCCCATCCCTTTCATTTGCAGAGTCCCCCCCCCCACGGGGTTAAATTACCTTAAGTTTGGAAGTGTCCTGGGCTATTCCCAATGCATTAAATGTGGCAGTACTACAGGCGTTAACAAACCTATAATCCAGCAGAAAGGAATACCATATTATACTACCAGAAAAAAAACAAATAAAAAAATGTCACATAGCAAGCTTCTAAAGAAATAAAATACCAAATAATTATTGACCAATGATACTCTAATGTAATCTTTATGGTCAAATCTTGGCGGCTCAGGACGAGGTACATGTAGCCAATCAGAACACAGAACTCAACTTATCTTGCCACCTCAGAGGATCCCGCTGGGTATTCCAATAAAACAGAAATAATTACCTATGGTGGACAATGGGGAGAGAGAAAAGGCAGGAACCTCTACCATTATTATGTATCCAAGATGGACACATGTGCTTTCTTTTTTCCTTTCTCCAGCCTTCCTATGACACAAAAAGACCTCTTTGGAGAAGAGAGGGGTGAGAGCCTAATAAAACCGTCCTTATGGGCCCGCATAACCTGAGAGACACAGGGACAAAATGGAGGAAATGATGGCAGGCTAAGGATGCACTCCTTGTACCCCTCTTAATGACAACGAATAATGTTACATGCCAGAATCACGCAAATTTGAATGGAAAGTTCTTTAGCTAAGATAAATTTGGTTTCTTTGCTCATTACCATGTTAACTGTCATGCTCTCTTCAGCATTTTGTGGAATTCTCACATGAAAATGCATCGTGTCTTACCAAAGGAAACATTTGGGATGCCACGTTGGAAAAAATTTAAGGATTGAAGTCACCTCTCTCTAAAAGTTGGGACTTCATTGGGACCAGCAATGCACTTAATAAAGAACAGCATTTTTCTCTTTTAGGGAGGTGCCCATCATAGGAAATACAGTGGCCCATCATAGGAAATGGGAGTGAGGGGGCATATCATGAGCTGTGGACAACCTTGGGAAACAGGGTTTTGTGAAGGTGGGTGTAGAGTGTCCTAGACTATGAGAGCTGGCTTTTTTCTGTAGTACGGAATGTAAAAATACAGAGTTTGTGACTGATGAGTTGAGAAAGGAGAGGGGGTTTTGTGAAGGTGGCTCATAAATCTGAAGAAAAAGAGAGACTGCTCGCAGTCTAGAGCTGTCCGCTTATCAGAGTGTCCATTAGGATAGCCTCCAATGTAGTCAACTTTATGAAAAAATATTTTCTCTCATTACTCACATTTTTAGGTCATTTTTCAGTCTGTTATCATCACTTTCTACTTGTAACTTGCCACCTAAAAGACCCTGAATGTGAAATAAAACAAATTTAAATTTGAATTAAAACCAAAGATATATATTGTTCATCATTAACAAGTAAGATCCCATGATGTGTAAATGTTTTACTTCAGGGCTCCTTTTAGCCTGCGCCACAGACAGAACTCTGGTTACTGACTGCAGTTAAATCATGACCCAGGCTAGTCTCCTTTAAACTTTTAATGTTGTGGGACTGCTAAGTAAATCTCATTCCATCAGAAAAAATTTGCAGTTCAAATAACAGTACAAATAAATACAATAAATTCATTCTCTTACATAAATGAACATGCAATTTGATAACCTAAAAACGCTCTATATTTTTAACATGAAAGTATTAAATAAAAAGACTATTTTTACGTCTCTACTGGAGACAGGGGTCAATTTAATAAAACTTTTACAATTGGAATGTACAATATTTATTGTAGCCATTTTTTAAGAGTCTGAAAACAATAGCTACCCTTGTAGATTACAAGTGTAAAAGTTTTATTAAATTGACACCAGGACTTCCATTTCACGTGGTCACCACAGCCACACAAAGGTTTAACTGTTTTCAGGTTAAGGCAATTCCTTTGTTAGCATTGGTCTGGTCCTTTTTTCTCCTGTTCTCCATGCCTTGCCAAGAGCTTGTGAGTGGGCTGTGATCGACAGTTAACCAGGAGTGCTATGTCGTAATTACTTGCTGCACAACGACTTACCAGCTGTACAAGAGAGGCCAGATCCTCTTTTAACAGATGTGTACATCTGCATACAAATCTAATCTGCAAAGGAATTTTAGTGATGAAGCTGAAGTCTGACAAGCCACCCGATGAACAGTCACATAGCATTATTCTAACACTACACATTGACAGTATGGATTCTCATAAGCCCCACTGCCGTTGTGTCTTATAGAGGTAGCATACAGAAGCTACTGGTACATAAAAATTTTCCAGACTGATATTATATCCATACATTTCCTTCAAGAATTATTAGTTTGGAGAATTTGAGAAAAGATGAAAGCATTTTCCCGTCAGTTATTATTATAATATTAATTTTTGTAACCTGTTCTCTTGATTATACATGACATTGTAAAGAAAAAATTGATTAGCTACTCAACAGCAAAACTGTACTGGCATTTCTAGTCAGTATCCTGAAGCTTAACCCTGTAAAATTCCAAAAAGGTCCGTCACTTAAGCAATCTTCCATACTCACATTATCATCATACCATGATTCCAGATGCTTGAAGCTTTCTTGAACATCTTGAGATTCCTTCAAGGACGAAGACACATTACAAGTGAGAAGAAGCTCTTGCGAAGTCAAACAATTTTGTGGAGTTGTAATTGGACACAAATTTTTGTTCAAAAATGTGCCTACATATTGTTCCATCAGAGGTTTCATTATAAAACCAATAAAGAACATTGATACAGTCAACTCTCTCCAAGACAGACACCTTTGGGACCGGCACTAAGTGTCCGTCTAAGAGAGGTGTTTGTCTTATAGAGAGTCAAATAAAGGGAGTAAAGAAAGGCAGGGACCAACTCTAAGTGTCTATTTTACAGAGCTGTCTGTCTTATAGAGGTGTTCATTAAGAGAGAGTCGACTGTTTTCAAGGATCTTACATTCCATGACACATGCTTCAATAAGACTCCTATATCATTGTCCCAACTTACAGAGCTAATGTAGTTTTCAATGTAAGGTAAAAGTCCATTGCTGTAATCATCCAGTTCCTTCTGAAATCTAAGATATTATGGTTAAGGTCTAACATCTACGTCTTTTATGAGACAAATAGCCAGCGTCTGAAGTAAGGTGCGGCCACCAGTCCCTAACACCAGGTTCAACCCTGTTGGAGGCTACAAAATATTACATACATGTAAGTGAAGTGCTGTGAGTAAATACTAAGCAGTACTACATCATTGGCAGCTTTTCATTATAACTTCAGTAAGAAAATCTATGGACAGTTCATTGCAATTTGCACCTTAATGGCCAAATCTAAATCCACTGAAAAAATACACAGACAAATTTTTTGTGATTTGTACCTTAGAATTTTAACAATAATGATAATAATGTCAGTGGAGAAAGATAGTGGCCTAGCAGTTAATGTCTCTCAAGACAGACAGTCTATGATATTTGAGAGTTATTATTACCAAACTTGCACTGCCTCTGTAGACAAGACTCTTTGTCACAAATTGTCTGTCATCTATCAAAGTGCATCTAAAGACTGAAATACACCAATTTATTTTAAAGGATACAGGTCTAATCCACTTTTCCCACCAGAGACAAGACAAACCACATAGTCACTTGAGAGGAAACTTCCAAATTCAGGAGAATCCCTGTGAAATGCAGAAAACCAAGACTTTACTTTAAATTTTAGAATAAAATTTACTAGACAGAGTTATGCCCCAATGGCTGGTAAACACACACCTTCCAGCCATGAGTCCATGCGCCAACGGAACCAGGGACCTGTCACACTGATTTATCAATGGAAAAAAGTAAAAGGGGGGGATGGGGTAAAGGATGATCTAAAGGCTAAATGAAGAGAGTGGCCGCAAGGAAACGCTGTACTTAGCACATGTTGCTGATGCAAGCAAGGATGACTGCGCTTGAGCCACCGCACTGACCGCTGACTAACGCCTGCGCTCCTAGTTGTTAACTGTGTTAAATTTCATCTAACTACATTTTGTTTCCTACAAGAGAAGCTGGGGACAAACCCATAGACACAGGGGGATCTCTGGCCCCCTTAAGGTAAAAGGGTTGATTTGAAGAGGTAGAGTGCACATTAGCTTGCAAAGCAAATATTTTCATGTGAGAAAAGTTCAAATGTTAGTAGCCTGTGTAGCAGGTGCTGGTTTTTTTAGGGTGAAGGAAGAAATCTTGAGAAGAGGAGAGGAGTTGCTGTTATATTGTATTGTTAGTTACACTAGTCTTAATTTTTATAAATTGTAATTATCACACGGCATGTCTGAAAACCAGCTTGCTGAGCCATTTAACGTGTTTAAATAAAGTTGATTGATTGATTGATTGATTGAGGAAAGTGTTTCCCTCGCGCAGCCTGTACATAGTAACCGGCGCCTGCTCTGAAGGCTAATGTTAGGAAAACAGCCAAAGAAAGCTGTCGTAGGGGAAGGGAAAGGGCAAAAATAAAGTCTTTCTTTTCCTCCACTCCCTTGCTTCAGGATTTTGCTCTTGATTATTCTTTTAAGATGGAATTTGTCACCTGACATTCACCTCACAAAAAGATTTTCCAGGTACAGAGCTGGAGGTTTAAGATCACAAGCCTCAGTTGACAGCTGGGGTATACAGTTGGGGTGCATGCTTTTTCTCTTTGTATTATTTAGTTAAAAGACCACTTGCCTGGGCCCTTGCCAATCAGTGGAACAAGTATGAAAAGTTAATTGCAAAGCAGGAAAAACTGCTTGTCTTGGACAACCAGACAATATTTTTTTGAGCACCTGGTATAGGATTTTCATTATTTTATGCCAAGTGACAGAGTCCACCACTTGATCAGAAAGGCATTGCAATAGTGCAAAAAACTAGCAAAAAGTAAGCACTTTACAGTGACTCAAGAGAAGGAACTTTTTGCACTATATTTTCCCGATTTGTAAACCTACGCGTCATGATGATCACTGCATCCTTCATCATCCTCTTTTCCTCCTCTGAGGAAACAATAATAACAAACAGCAGACTCGTCAGGGAAAAAATCCTCCAGTGTGCTGATGTTGCCACTACCACTATACACAGTTCCCCTAGCAAGTCGCTTGGCCATGAATTTCCTTAGCTCTGTTTCTTGTTCTCCAGATAAATTTGTGCTCAAAAGAGACAAACTGTGAAAAAAAAACCAAAACAACAAGGAAATATTGACCAGTTAGAAGCCATACCATAATATCATTTGGGATATAAAAAAGATTGGGCAGTTGTAGATGTTTTACTAGCACCTTTCCAACTTGCGCCCTCACAACTCACACAACTTTGCTGCTCAAATACTCTTGCTTACAGATTTTTGAGCAAAAGAGAGACTGCTCGCAGTCTAGGACAGTTGTTGATGCACAAAATCGCCCATAGGCCTTTCACTCTAGACACTCACTCCACTTTCACTAAGATTTCAAGTTGGCAAAAGAGTAACAACAAGTAGGCTGGGGATCAAACAGCTAGGGATTTCTTTTGGTTCTATTTTCATTCTACATTCCTATGAAAGTAGCTGGGAATCACTTTTATAGTAACCGGTTCTCGCCTGTTAATGACACACCGCCTGATGGAATAGAACAAAATGTTTTAATAAGTGGCTGGTCAGAAGAGCAGTCAAATCCTGTTACACTGGGAGCCATAAAACATTTCCCTATTAATGGGGTGTCCATATGAGCGGGTTGAATTAATTGGAAAATGTAAGGGCTTTCTTTGTGTTGCCCAGGGGCTGGGCAGTTGCCAGCCCCGGGGCCATTCCCAAGCTTTTGTCATGCACGCGGTTTCCTATCAGAATATAACTACATAGATGATTTTACTGAGAAGGAAAGTAGATTGGCTCATTTGTCATGGACAGGAAAAAATTGAAGAGGTTGTAAAGGCATGTTCTTGATTTTATACATGCATTTCTTAATTGCTTATCCAGCCAGAATTACATAGAGAAATCAGGAGCTATCAACGTGAATCAACATTTTTTGGTTATTGAGTCAAATTTCTGCTGATATTATTTGAAAAATGTCCTTTCATATTTATAAAACTATTCATAACATATAACTTTACAGCACTCTATTAATTTTAATGTCAATAATTTTACATCAATACTAAAATTATAAACTGGTGCATGTCATCGCGGCGGGAAGTCTTAATTAGAATCCTAGCACTAAAACAAAGGAATACGTTATTGAAGCAAAAAATCACACATTAAAAATGCTTAAAACAGCACTATTCGACTGTGTGTCAATGAAAAATGTTGCAGTGTTGACGAAGGATGGGGCATTCGCCTTCTTTTTTCGTCCCCACCCCCGGGAATTTGCCATCCAAGGCAAAAAAAATGCTAATGCCTGGGGGCAGCCCAGGGGCGGGGGCTGGGCGCAGCTGGAATTGACTGATGCATAACGAACCTATTAACGAAGGCCACGGTATAAAGAACAAGTTTCTTTTAACACAGTAATTGTAAAATATATAGCAAAGAACCTTGAAATAACGAAACCTCCTAATAGCGAACAAATTTAACAGTCCCCTGGCCCTTCTTTATATCATGGTTTCGTTGTACTCTTTTAAGCTTATTTAATGTAATGTCATGTATATATTTTCATGCGATGTACAAATAAACAAAATAAGATAAGTCTTATACACACGACACGGACTGGGAACAGTCGTAGAAGTAAAAAACACAAATACCTTACCTAAAGTCGCAATTAGACGTCGCCTCTTTTCGAAGGAAATCCGCCACATTCCCCTCTACAGCTTTACTGCTTACACCACCATCTCCGCTGTCGCCGCCGTTTCTGGCGACATCAGCACTGTTGGGCCTAAAATACCGAAATAGTTACATACTGAATAAACACTCATTAACATCAATGGGAGCATACCTTCGTGCTTTAAAAGTGTAAAGGGCAAATCCGTGGAAATCAGTCGGCTTTTTCGCCTTAATTTCAATTTCATCAGCTTTTTGCTCCTTGTCGGCCATATTGAAAGTTGCTCTGGGGCCAAGCCTTGTTGTTGCGGTTTGGCTACTAAGCTCCCAAGATGGCGGGCATTTCGCGGTAAAAGTTTCTGGTGAAATTATAGGGTGAAGCCTGGGGTTCGCTGCATTTTCTCGCCCATGGGACATGGCAAAAAGCAAATTCGAATATGTGCGGAAATTCGAGCAAAATGACCAATGTCTCCTTAACTGCTGGATTGTGATTCGCATTGATGGAAGAAACTTTCACAGGTACTCGTGTTGAGTAAGAACTTTCTGTTGAAGACTTCATGAAATGTTACTAGTCAATTTGAAACCTAAATTTGATTTCAAAATACTACCCAGGTATTTGAACTTTTACAGAGTCAGCTATGCATATTTTAAATGATGTGCAAAATACCTGACCTTATTATGGTCACAGTAGGAGAGGGGTTCAAACCCAGGGGCCCCACTCACATATTTTAATGACGGGAGGGTCCGACAGAGGTTCATATTTTATACTAAAAAAAATCCCAACTTCAGAATTTGTTTACCCAAAAAAATCCTTACTTTTTTAGCATACCCAAAAAAATCCCTCAGTGTTTTTGCATCAGCAAATTTTATTATTTATCTTCTGGAAAGCTAAAACATGCCAACTTGAACTTTAGTTTTGGTCAAAAACAAAACTATAAATTGCGCTTATGTTATTTTTTATTTGAGCTGATGAAAAATACAATACCCAAAAAAATCCCTGTGTTGTTTTCGCGACCCAAAAAAATCCCGGCGTCTTTCATAGACCCAAAAAAATCCCTTTTGGCCAAAATGTCAGACCCAAAAAAATCCTTTGGACCCCCCCGTCATTAAAATATGTGAGTGGGGCCCCTGCGGGTTCAAATTTGTCTTTATCCCTGGTAATTTCATGGAAAAAAGTCATAAATATTCTAGATATGTATAAAGTATCAATTCAATATAGAAATCAACTTGCCACCTCCCTTCTAGTATCCCTTCCGACATTTAAATTGCATCTGATAAATATTTAATAATATTCAGATTCTCTAAACTGAGCTCCATATGTAAGCTTATGTTTTTAACTACAGTTGTGAGAATCTAGGTCCAGATCAAGACTGTTTCCTTGGCTGGTATTTTAGGTTGACAGTGTTTATTAAGACTTCAAAGAAGACAGATGAATTTGTGCCACTGATAACTTGATTTACAGATTTTCAGAAGCTCACGGTTTTGAGAAGCCAAATGATCAAAGAGCACTGCAGCTAATGAACAGATGTGCTGAAACAGTGATGAACGAATTCAAAGACATCGTAATTGCATATGGACAAAGCGATGAATACAGGTGATCAAGAGTTAGGCTTCTAAAAGTGTTCCTCAAAGGAAATCTTTCACAGCACAACAACAACAAAAATCTGCCTAGTTTCTAGCTACTGAGGCCTACTTAAGAGGGGAGGGGGGGGGGTCTATACACCCAGGGGCCCCACTCACATTTTAATGATGGGGGAGGTCCAACAGAGGTTCATATTTTATACCCAAAAAAATCCCAACTTCAGAATTTGTCTACCCCAAAAAATCCCTACTTTTTTTAGCATACCCAAAAAAATCCCTCAGTGTTTTTGCATCAGCAAATTTTATTATTTATCTTCTGGAAAGCTAAAACATGCCAACTTCAACAAATTAATTAATTACTTTTCACATAGATTACAATCTCAGAAATATCCCGTAATACCACACAAGCAGTAAATTGCGCTTATGTTATTGTTGATTTGAGCTGATGAAAAATACAATACCCAAAAAAATCCCTGTGTTGTTTTCGCGACGCAAAAAAATCCCTTTTGGCCAAAATGTCAGACCCAAAAAAATCCTTCGGACCCCCCCATCATTAAAATATGTGAGTGGGGCCCCTGGGTCTATACATGTATGTTCCTAGTCTTAATTTCATGACTGGTGGTTATGCATATTGAGGAGGAGGCCATGTGGCTGGTTGGTATTTTACTATTGTATTTGTGATTATACCCCATTGCTGTCGCGTCTTCTCCTGATCTCCCTGTTGTTTGTGGCAAGTCCATCTGTCTAATGTTGCTTTTTCAAGGCCATGCCACTTGTCAGAATAAAGCAAACAGGTCCTCATTACTGAGTTTGTGTAAAGATTTCGACTACACATTGTAATTCGTAATAAACCTTCAAAGCTTAATTTTATGTTCTCCAACCTTTTTCTAGTTTGGTATTTAAAAGAAGCACAACACAATTCAGTAGAAGAGAAAGGTAGGTCAAAATCTCAATGTGATTTTTATCAATATGATTGTAATTTTTTTCAATGTTTTTTTCCCTTTTATTTTTAATTTCTAAATAAATAGGTAAATAGCACAACCACATAGTGGTTCTTTGTGTACCATTCCTGGTCGAATTGGAATTTGGAAATGTTAGTTTTTGTGGAGAAGGGAAAACTGGAGTACCCAGAGAAAAAAACTCTTGAAGCAAGTGAGAGAACCAACAACAAACTCAACCCACACATGTTTTCGACCCCAGGATTTGAATCAGCAAAAATTCATTCAGCAAGAAGACATTTTTCTCACGTTAGTTTTTTCCTTTTATAAACATATTTAATTCATTTAAATGTATTGGCCGGTCAAGCAAGTTGTGAGTAAGCCCTTGGCTTGGGAGACTGGTTGACCACTCCTTAGCCTACATGTTTATGTTTGAGGTTAAATTTGATTTCAGGTTAAATTTTTTTAGCCTAGGTTGATTCTCAATTTCGTTTGCCTCCTAGCCCTAATTATTCATGAATTGGGGCTTAAAGAAACAAAAGAAATTCAGAATCAACCTAGGTTAAATCAAAACCTGAAATCAAATTTGACATATGATCGATTTCTAATAAACATACAAGTATAATCACCATTTATTATTATTACATATTTTAGTTTTAGTATTATCTCGTAACAAGTCAATTTTTTTTTTGATTCTTCTGCAGTAAGCTGGTGACTAATGTGGTGTCATTATTTTCATCATCATATGTGTTTTATTGGAACCAGTTTTTTGTATCTCAAAATCTCCTCTACCCACCCATGTTTGATGGCCGTGTTGTACTGTATCCAGCAGAAAAGAACCTGAGAGATTATTTAAGCTGGAGACAGGCAGATTGTAAGTAGAGATAGAGAAGGATTCAAGTTGATTATGGGGATGGGGATCGGGGCCATGGCCTACAACAAGTGCATACAGCGTGTTGATCGAGAAAATATCTGTATTTCTCCTCTGAGGGTTTGTTGAATTGAACCTCCCACCCCCCTGGGTATCACAAAGATTTTGGTCTCGAAGACCGGCTCCCCATCAAAATTTCCAATGATTCACTAACCCAGGAGGGGAGGGGGTGTGGCTCTTGATCAAAGATCATGTAATCAAATTACAGGACTTATGAAGACATTGCACTAATACAGTGTACTTCCTTTTTCAATAAAATAATTTGAACTCCATAGGAGCCCATATTTCAGAATTCCGGAGGTAGTGGAATTATAAAACAAAATGACTTAACAGCGATGATTTAAAGACCCAAATTCTTTGTAAAAAATATTGTTAAATGCGAGTTCTTAACAGCCTTTTTAAATTCTTAACTGTAGTTTTTTTCCTAGGTCATATTAACAACCTTTACAATACATGCTTCTGGTGTCTGGTTCAACAATCAGGTCTTACCACAGACCAGGCTGAGGGAAGACTTAACGTAAGTGCTTTTAGTAATCATTAATGCTGTTGGAATGACTATAAGTTTGTTAACGTAAATAGGTTATTGTAAGTTACTCACATAGAAATTATCAGAATCAGTGGCATAACAGAAAAATGTGAGTGGTTTTTCTGTACACTAAGTGTTAAATTGAGTGGAGAGTATTTTCCAAATAAGGAGGAAAAATTAGCTATTCATGGCGTTACTATGACTTAAAACTCCCTATCCAGCCACCAAAAAAATTATTACTTCAGATAGTGTAAAGGAGTAACCACTTGAAATGTCCGAGACCAAACACTTCTTGTTTTTCCTAAAACAAAGTCTGAAATTTAAGTTGTTTTGTAATTTTAGCCATCTTGATGTGTGGTATTCAAAGGAGCCCACTGCTTCTGATCGGTCAGAGTTCATGACAAGATTTAAAACTTGCATCAATCACTAAATTTTTATGTTCTTCCAGGGCACAGCATCTAGTGACAAGAATGAAATCCTTTTTTCTGAATATAACATCAACTACAACAACCTTCCTCAAATGTACCGCAAAGGATCAGTCCTTCTCTGGGAGATGGTAATCATATCTCATTCCTTTTTTTTTTTTTGGCACTGTAAACCTCTAGCCCCCTACAAGTGACCAACATCCCATTTCTCTGTTCAGTTACACTGTTAAATCAATCGCAAAGGTCACAAGAAAAACTGAACTGTTCAACTAGTTAAAAAGATCTTGATTGTTTACAAATTCTTATCATCAGTGTTGCTGTACAATAGGCATGGTGCTAAAAAAACATAAACTGCCACATATAAGTCCCCCCCCCCCCCTGGACCCAGATATAAGCCCCCTCTAGCTTATGATCCAAATATATTGAAATGAATTCGATTTGTTACAATATTTTGAAGTTTAATTTAAAATAACAGTAAATGCAAAATGTATTTGACTAGCAAGTACTGCTTGCAGCTTTCTCTATTCCGGTTTTGAATGCCCTAGGATATAAGCCCCTCAGTTTATAAATGGCAGGTTATGGTTGTTAGCTTTCATCCTTGTTTTATTGTCAACTCAAGAGACCAGGATTTGCATAGCAAGTCAGTTAATACGATCAATTCTGTAACTGTAATGATATTAAACAAGGCTTAGAGTGGTCTCAGCTGTGTGATTTTCCTGAACTAAACAATCAGTATAAAAAATGTACAAAGTAGAACAGTGTGGAGAATATACGTATAAAGGGTACCATGCTGAAGCAAAACGTCTTTTTGAGCCGCTGTGTTAACTATAAAATCATTTATGTCCTCTCATTATAGATCAGTGAGGAAAACAACTTAGATCAAGCTGGCAATTTTCAAAAGACAAAGAGACAGATTGTAATATACCACACTGACATTATTGGCGACAGCTTTTGGATTGAACATCCAGATATCTTAAAAAGCTAGTGATTTAGGTAACACATACATTCCTACAGCTTCAAAGATGGATAGCCTTTCAGAAAAGAGGAAGGAAATCTTACTTCTAACAACTCTACCTCACCATAGCCATTTCAGTATTGTCTCTAGAAAATGAGTTGATTTCCAAGAAGAAAGATCCGCCAAGGAGAACAAGATTATAAAGTGTTTGAGAGCCTTTCAGTACAGGAATTGATATAGAACAGAATATTGAACAACTTAACATGTCAAAACTTAATATAAACTATTATTTAATGCTATTTTATGTCAATAGCAAATCCTCTATTTTATTGAAAATAACTCTTTAATACTTTAAAGCATAATTCCAAAATTGTAATATTGTATTTTCTACTTCCCCTTTCACTTTCACAAATATTTAAACATGGAGGGAAATTTCTCAAATTTGCATTACACCTACCCTACACAGATTTAATTACATTGTCTACCTAAGAATAAAGTAATCAATGCTAGGCTCTTGTCTAGTGGATAAATGTAAATTCACGAGGAGATACCATTGGTACCATCTAACACATTATTATGTTTGTTTATGTTAATAGGCAATGCACTAAGAGGTTATGTGACATCATTTTTATGAAGATAAAAGTTATATGATATTGCCTTCAAAAAACCATTACTGGGTCGTATCTTAAACAAAATAATAGTGATTTAGTTTTTCAAACCTGCACCATAATTTTCTTAAGTAAGTTCGTAGCTGGTCACATGACCAAAATGTGATTTTTAAACCTATGAATAATTATTATCTCTTTCTGAACAGAAATTTTGCACTTAAACTTCAAGGAAATTGTTGAAAAGATGATGTGGTAAAGTTTTCAGCACATCTGAGCATACACTGTAACTATCAAACGTTTAACAAGATACAAGCAAAAAGTAGTTTTGGCTGCCATGTTGGAGGGCAAGAGTATGTCCTCCAACATTGCGGCAATACAAATCTAGCCTGTTCCAGGCTCCGAGATGGCTGGGTCCACTGAATTGAGCCTGGAACAGGCTAATACAAATTACACTACTTTGTTGATATATCAAAGTGCCATAAAATGTCCCCCTTAAATGCGTTTCCTCTCAAATTTTGGGAGTAAGATAATTTTTATACGCTGCATTAATTTTTGGCATCAGCAAATTCCAACTCATTGTTTAAACGAAGCATTGGTCACGTGAGCTCTTAGGTCAACTGGCCTATTGACCATCAGGCATCATTTTGAAGTAAAAACTCTGTTGAAGTTTTAACAAGGTGAGTGTTGATTAGCAAGAGCATACCGTGTACACTGGAGTTTTGATAAAATGTTTAAACATGAGGTGCTGAGAAACTTCACTGAGGCACTAAGACCCTAATTTTAAAATCTACCGCTTTGAGGTAAAAATGTCCTGAGTTGTATATAAACATGGAAATCGGAAGAAAATTGACACCATCACAAATACTTTTGAGATTTTGAGATTTTTTATCAATATTTTCTGTGACCAAAATTTTCTAAAGTCCTATTCTCCACACCTTTCAGTCTGTTTGAAGAAGAAATGGTGATGATAATGATGACGATGAGGAAGAGGATGATAAAAATAAAAGCAACAAGGGACTTTTATATAGTCTCCTATGCAGCCATTCTTCACATTGTTATGCACCACTCCTCCCTAGAAGAGAGCATTGTGTGTTCACACAAAGAACAGCTGTGTGGGAGACTAACTTTCGCATTGCACTAAATACAAACTCAATTTTGTAATTTAGAAATTTGGGACTATAACTAAGCAGGCACCATCTCCGCCTCTCTCTTGTTTTTTTTTGCCCTTGGTGGTCTTTTCTCTCCTGTTAAAAAAAAAATAAAACAAAACAAAAACAAACAATATTAAATTACTTTTGATGACAGCAACATCCAGATACACGAGGATCCCAATAGGTTTTTTAGGATCAAGGAGTTACCTTTGTTGAAGGATGGGATTTGGAATTTTAGAGGAAAGGCAAAAAAAAGCAACATTCAGGATTGTAGAACTTAACAACTAGGATGTGGGAGTTGGAAATTTTATGATCTGGGATTTCAGAAATGCTGTTCAAAACCCAAATATCCAGTAAGCACTTGACTTAAAAGAAAATGCTCTGTCATTTTCCTCAACCACACATGGCAATTTTTACCTTGTCATAATTTTTACCCCACTATCGTCCACTGATTCTCCTCAAATGAGAAACCAAGAACCCCTATAAGGCACTTTTTAGATATGGTTGGGATTGGGATTAGCTGATGATAACTGTCAGGATCACAGGACTGAGGGGAAAGTTTTGGCAGAATAATGGCATTGAAAACCCTGTTGGGGACTGTTATACATACTGCAACTTTGGCTTGCAATGTTAAGCCTTATGAAAAAAATAATGTTATACAACAGCACTAATATACAACTCAGCTATACTTTATTAGAAAAACAATTTTCCCAATAAATGAGATTGTACTGGGATGGTCTCTCGCATGAACCATCTCATGACCTGAGATTACACTACAAAATTTTAAACACTCATGCAGTGATGTCTCCACTATGAGAATGACCTCTGATGGTTATATTCATAGAAGACAAAAGAAAAACAGAACCAAAAGAACTTCCCAGTTGTTCTGTTTACATAACTTGATATCTTAGTGACAGTCCTTGTTATGGAAGGTACCACAATGGCTCCAATGAATTGCTTAAATTGAACAACATATTGCAGGTAACAATGTGTAAAAAGAATTATAAAGCTTGTGTGTTCTATGAGGTGCTTTTCATTTTTCTTCTTGGAAACAACCACCATAATATTGTGAATGAGTAACATTTAAATGACGTTATTAAAGGGTATTAAGACACATACCAAGTTCCTTTGTTGGTTCTTCTGGTTCTTCTGTTGGTACTTCAGGAAGGTTCTCAGTAACAGACTGAAATTCAAACATAAGCAATAAATAACTTGTTTAGGAACTTGCAGGCAGCTATAGAGGCAAATGAAAATGAAGTGATACAAAAACTTTAACTTGCTTGTGAACATCCTCCCTCATCCACCCTATTAAACTCATCAACAATAAAGTGTGGGGGTGGCGCCTGAGAAGCTGATCCATGGAGCCCAGAATTGCAGCCAAGTGCAGTGTGTAACGATGACAACCCTGTGAGTGGCATCCACCCAGGCACCATCACAAAGCTAACCAGTGGAAACTAAATATACTTACCCAATACTTACCAAAGGGAGGGCCGGAAAGGGAGCAGAAATAAACACATAATGTATCACAACACGTAACACAAGCGAAATGAGATGACATCAATAAGATAGCCATAAAATCCCAGATGCCCCTGCGAAAGACCCATGGCCACCCCTGTGAATTCTAGGGAGAGACAGCTGGCCAGCATTGTCTCAAGTCTAACTTTGCCTAAATTGCATTCAGCCACATTAAAAATACAATGTTGACACCGACAGGACCCTACAGTGTAGACACATCCTTGCATGTGTCTGCTTAGCTGCAGAGGGGGCATTGTACTGAGGTGAGATGGGTGTGGGAGGAAAGTTTCTTCTTCGTCATCCAAATATTGAGACAATGCTTGTTTTAATACCAATACTTTTGTTGACCCATGAAGTGTAGCATTTTACCTGTGTCATTTCCTCCAGTTCTTGTAACACTGCATCTTCATCTTCCTGAGTCAAACTTCCGCTCAAAAGTTCATCAATTTCCTGGAAAAATGAATGAATCATCTTAATGCAAGGTTCAGTTACATGGCCCTGCAATATTATTTTCATACTCTAAGGTGACTGTTCTGTGCATATGTTGGTTATATCAAGTTGGGTGAGAGACGGAATACCCTTCCTATGCTACAAATTTACACTCAGTTAATAAACACTTCATGAAAAGTGAAAAACTGATTGTTTTCGATAACAATAACGTAGCCTCCTTTAGGAACGAAATGGGCTATTTTCAAGCAATGCCCCTCAGAGAAATAACTTAATCTAAACAGCTACAGAAAGTGCAAGTGAGAGATAGGCAGATGGGGGAGGGAGGACCACAAGGCAGTCAATCTATTTGTGACTGTTATTGTTGTCTCTTTGTAAACTTTGTCTTTATTTTTTTCTTCTTTTTTCCCTACTGTTAAAATATTTACCTGTTTTAAATTATGTAAGGTAAAGTATTGTAACAGATAATAATCGACTTAATGTAATGAGTCATAACTGTCTGCACTGAAATGCTAGTGACTTTTAATTTTTGACAATAAATAAAAAAAATTGGGTGAGAGACTGAATGATTTTTGCACAAGTCCTGCTGAAGGTCATCTTCAGTGTCTGCTCCCTGCAGAACATGATTATTCTCTTGCATCGAGATAATTATACATACTCTTTGATATTCAATGCCTTCCTGTGTCTCGTCCATTATTCTTTCCACATCTTCTATTGACATGATCTGTAACAAGAATGTTAAAGTAAATAAAAAATAAACAAATAAATAAATACAATAGAATCTCGCTAACTCAAACTCAGGATTTAGAGGTACCACACGGACCACATAGCGGTTCTTCATGCACCATATTATTAATAGTATTGATGAAGGGATTTGAACGCGGTCCATATTGGTAGGAGGTGAGTGCTCTCACCACTGCGCCACCCTTGCTCTCTGGCCCTCTGCCAAATAAAACATTTTAACTAACTGGGAATGTACAATATGAGAATTTTCCCCTAGAGGGAAACTCCCAAGATGGTAGTAGCTGAAAGCTCCTAGTCTTGCTTAGGGGTATAAATCCACATACTTCATGCATTTTTTTCAGCGCTTCATTTCCTTGTTTCAATCCATCAGCAACTTGTAACTGGATTTGAGCAAATTCAACATCCTGGACCTGACAGGGTATATGCAGTTACAAGTTAGTATTAAGTTTTTTAAAATTTACTTAGGTTCACCAATTCTTGGCAGGGTCACCGCAACACGTGGCGCCAATTATGGTCAGCCCATAAACAGTCCCTCCCTCATGAGAGGACTATCCCCTACTCTTTATGAGCAGTGGCTGGGTCCTTAAACATCCCACAGAATTTACATGTGCAAGGGTTGTGAGAGGAGGCCTATGGTTTACTTGAAGGTAATGATTTCAAGCAGTTATTCTTGGATAGATAATAAAATTAAGAGTGCTTTGATCTCACACAGGGTATCGATCATCTTCTTAGAACGAATTATTAATAAAGTGTTGTACAATCATGTAGTTTAGATATCACCAATAAAAATAACATTGAAACTTGGGGGCTTTGGAAAGTGTAGAGAGTAAACTTGTCTAGTATAGAATAAGGTCGCAAACATTTACTCAACATGAATTGCTATAAACCTAAATAAAAAGCAAACCATTTTTTCCAAATTTTCCAGCTGATTATCTGTTCTTTCAAGGGTCTGTTCCTGATATCTCTTCTTCTTTAAAAGCAGTTTTGCTTTACTGAGTTTTAAAGAGGAAAAATTCTCGTCGTTAGAATAAATTATTTTTCTGCCTGTTCTGTAAGCCTTAATTCTACAAACATCACAAAAACATGGTGTGTCATCCAAGTCTAATATTTGAGTCTGTGGATACAAGTTCATAGAGTTTGCAAATATAAATGAAATGTCTTTGACATAATATGTGTAGATGCAAATAAACCCCGGAGAGGGGGAAGGGGGGATACAGCTCTGTACTTGGGTTAATGTTTGCTGGGTATGTGCTGCTGACCTCTCAAAGCTCCTACCCCATTATAGTCTATTCTGTGGGCAATTATAGACCCCATTTTAGTCACCTTTGGGCAAATGTAATTTTCATGATCTCAACTTAGTCACTTCCTATTGATGTATCTACCTTATCAATCCCTAAATAGGCCATACTAAAATTAATTGACCCATTTTTTAAACTGAACGAAGAACACTTTACTTTTCACCTACGGTACAAACATTCTGGTACGTTTGCTAACTGTAAATATGAAGAACAATTAACTTTCTTACCCCAAAAATCTGAAAATGTGTGACCCCATTATAGTCAATCCAGTTGTGAAAATGCGACCCCATCCAGCGGCACATTCCCATTAGCCTCTCATAAGAAAGTACCCACCCTCCCCCCGAGATGAGCTTTCTTAAAAATAATAATAAAAGTTGACTTTTTATAGATCATATTCATATTCATATTCATTTAACACTCTGATCTTATCTTAACAAGTGCCCAGAGATGGGCTGTGTGTGGCTTAGTTGCTTTGGCGATCTCCTTGCTACAAGGGGATTTCTGCTCTCTTCTCTTGCCATTTTTGCGTCACCAACAGTGTATTATACAGAACTTTTATTGGCTAAGAGTTTGACATAAGTGGGTACCAACTCACTTCTTTTTCCCTTCCTTTAATAGCTCCTTTGCAAGCTGTCTTTCTTTTTCAAGATTGAGTTGGATCTAAAATAAAGAATGAGTACAATTTGTTAGGACCGTAAATTCATTTACAACCTGGACCAACCTTAAGTCTTAAGCTTTGGGAGAGATTTAAATATGTAACTCCTCTGTTTTTTTTTTCCTGGGTAAAACTGAAAAATCTAGGGAAGGCCTCCCTATTTTAAGTCTATTACACTGCCATTGCCTAAGATACTTTGTTTCAGCGAGAGAGTGCCCCCTGCATCTTTGTTTGGAGGTCTGGATATGCTACTGAATCTGCTTCTGGAACCTGATCATTTACATGTAGACAATAATTTTCACATTGATCATCATTATTTTGTAACATGTAGGGTTTTGGGATACTGCCTTCTTGTTATAGTTATGCTATGTAAGGTACATGCAAAGCTGATTGCTCCATACCTTCTTCTGGTATTGTTTGAGTTTATCCCTCTGCTGTTTAAGTGCCTGGAAGCCAAAATATTTATTGACATACAAACAGTAAATAACTTTCTTATACCAGAAAATCCATATGGTTTCTACCAGTGAAATAAAAGTTAAATTTGATTAAATTTGGCCAAGTGTGTTATTCATTTGCATAAAGGTGCAGAACTCTTTTAAAGATAGGAGCTAATGAGCTAACAATAAAAAGTAGTGCACAGCTGGTATCTCAGGTCAGTTTGTTATTAACAACCTTCAATCTATGAATTTATTCCAATTTTGTTTTAATTGAATTGGTTGTAACCTTGATATATATTGTAATAATGAAACTGACTCTCATAGTAATAAGCAAGATTTTCATTAAGAATTCTAGTGGCAGGAGAAAGGTGTAACGTTACAGGAGAATACTTTGAAAGAGGCTCCATGTCAGAATAAAAATCAGTCAGAGGCTATTGCACGTTAGCCGAAGAATCCTGTACAACAAATGGAGAATTCTCCAATCTCCGATGCCTAATGAAAACCCTGAATAAGAATTCTTGCAATTCAAAATACTTCCTCCCCTCCATTATTAGAGAACAGTGCTATATAAGTAAAATAAAATTGTTTTTACCATTATTAATCATGGCCCGCCTGGATCAGCAACTGTTAGAAGCAGGCCAGTCGATTGTAATGGAATAATTTATTATTCCTAAATAAAGTTGCAGTTGGGGTTGACTGACATAAGATGTTCGCTAAAATGGATGACAGCAAAACATCTCATAAGCCAGACCCGTAGCAAGCATAAAATGACTGGGGGGCTGAGCGAGTGGCCCACATTAACTCTTCTTTCCCCACCCACATTGCCCCCCCCCCAACCCGGTCCCTCGGTTAAAGCATACTTCTTAGTACATGTCAGATCACTACATTTGTCTACAATACCTTCCGGGTTGTTCTTTGATTCGGATTGTTTCTTCGACTACACCAGGCTCTGTGTCACTAGTGCATGGTTTTACCCACGATAAAAGTGTTCCCTGCTTATTTTCAATTCGTTTGGATTTCTTTTTCGGCGGCTCTTGCGAAGACATTGTAAGACTTTCAACATAAATGCACAGAAACCTAAGTTTTACTCTAGTACAGTAGTATATTTTACACTGGCGAACCCCTTAGGAAAACAATAAAGTTCAAGAGGTCAAGTTCAGGGATTGTCATTGGTGCATTTAGATCCATTTTGCTTCTGACTATTTTGATGCTTAATTAGCAGATATTTTAAAGCTGTTGGTTGTTTTTGGCAGAGCAAAAATACGATTTCGTTCATTTACACAACAGTACATAGGTGGTTTTCACGTTACGTCATCGCCGCCATGCTGGTGGACAGTAAACAAAAGGTCGCTCATTAGCTCGTTTTGTTTGTCCACCAGCATTTGTTCATTTCCTCATTGTTATTTGTGTATCCCGAGACTGGATGAAAACCACCTATAATCTTACTATGATCGACAATACTTTGAAACTTTTCCTTCCATTGACAGCTGTCCATTTTAGTAGAAAAATTCCACTTTTGTAGCAGAATTTAATTCAAGTCTGAAAATTTCTGGGGGGGACTCGAGCCCCCCCTGCCCCTCCACCTGCTAAAGGCCTGAAAGCGAAACAAACCTACTTTAGCTACATGCTCCCCCCCTCCTACCCCTTACATGTACCTGCTGCATGGTCCCAACTCCCGAGTTCACTCTTTCGAGAAAAATAAGGGTGGAAAAGAAGACTGACGATTAACGCTTTTAACAGTAGACAACACACCACCTAAAATACTTGCTACCCTGGCCTTGTTGCATTAACACTGAAAAATCTTACCAGAATAGCTTTGTCCTGTTCAGTTATTTTTGGTCTTTCTGGTTCTTTTTTCTTGCTAAACAAGGATCCCATCTTGCCAAATAGAAGTCAAGATTGCTTTTAAACTTGTAATTAGAATATTATTATTTGAGTGTCTCACCACATATCAGGAAGTGATCGGCGCCATTTTGAATTTACAAGCAGCTGACTTGCATGAAAGTGAGGCAATCAGCTGAAAAATGCGTGAAAGCGAGGCATTCTTTCGGTATTCAAGATGGCGCCAGGCGCTATATGAATCTCTTTGAGCGTGGATTTCTTTTTTTAGTGGAGAAGTTTTCATGGCAGAATGAAATGGAATGAGTGGGAGACCACAGGGCCGTGGTAGGCAAACACGCAGAGATCGTTCTCAGCGAAACAGAGGCCGAGACCACTCTGCAGACTCAGTCAGTAGCACTACAAGTACTCAAAGTGAAAGAGAAAGAGATCGGGATCGCGAACAACGAAATGGGCGGAACTCCAGACGTCGCCCTGAAAAGAAAGAAGAACGAGGCAGACGAAGAAACGACGAAAGTAGGAGAGATGTACCTGAGAGAGAGGGTAGTAAAGCTAACGTCGTTGAAAAGGATAAAGGAAAGCAGCGCACGGATGGTGAGAAACAACCTTCTCGCGGTAGGGGAGAAACCAACCGAGATGTTCCCAGAGAGTTGAACCGTGATAATTTTGCTACTAAAGGCTCGGCTAATGGTAAGTCACGGTACACTGATAGTTACAGAATTGACTTTCCGCTCTGAAAAACAATTAACAGTGATTCAGCTGAACTGAACAAACGCTATAGCTTCAAACAATCAAGCTTATTATAACCTTGTTTGTTCTTTGGTTCCGTTGGCCAAATTTGAAAGTCGCAATTCAGACGTTCGTTTGTTTAACGAAACGCGTATTTTTTTAAATATATATTTTTAGTCGTTTTAATTTTTGTTTCAATTGTCCAAGTTATTTTTTTCTCAAAGAGAATGCAGATAACCAAGGTATAGCGCTCGACATGTGCAAGAAAATGATGTCCCCTCTCTTCTTCCGGCTAATTTGCTCGGTTTACATTCTCCAAGGCAGCTTAGTTTATACATAATTGGACTTAATGGCATAATCTGCCTCCCACTGCGTAAAATTCGGTATGTTTTTTTGTGGTTTATTCTACAATTGGCATATGCATATGAGCATATTATTTTATTAAAATGTGCAACTTCATGTTCACTCTATACCAGCAGGCTAATCAGTAGCTCACTCGCTGTCCATATTAATACAGAATATTATTATATTGTAATGATCAGCAATAACCGTAACATATTCAGGAATTTAAAAACTGTAGACATTCAGTTATGAGCTATTATGCTTCAATCTTGAGTACACCAGTAATTGCTGGATGGCAAGGAATATTTACTTCTGCACAACAGGCTGAAGGGTTACAAAGGAAAAGGTCCAAAGTGACTCCTGATTACAGGTTGAATTCTCCTACAATTAACAAACAAACACAAGACAATTAAAACGGGAGAATCTAGAGGTAAATCAGAAGTCACTTGGAGTCACTTTAAACTGTCGCTTTTATTAACCAGCCCCTCCACTTATATTATGAGCCCCTTCCCAGGTATAGGCCCATCCACCCATCAACAAAACTGCATCTGATTCATTGCTCTCATCAGACCGAGGCATTGCAGCATTTCTGCACTTTTTCGGGGAATGCTGCACAATAATTCGCTTAAGGGGTCGCAAGGTACATAAAATATACGTACACACACATACATTTCCTTATAATATCAGCCAAAATTTAATTGTTGATGTCGCCTTTACTCTAACTCAGAGCAGTAAAATGTTCAGTTAACTGTATGTAAAAATTGGATGTTTATTATCTAAGAAAGTACAAGGGATTTACTCAAACTCAGACCTGTGAGTTAAACATTGAGTTAACTGTACATGTGTCTAAAAATTGTGACCCGCTTTAATTTTCTCCCTCATGACCCCCTTTTAGCTTCTCTATGGGTCCTGTGGACCCGAGGGTGGAAAATTTAGGTAAGAACACTGCCGAATATTAGCCCCCCCCTGGATATAAGCCTGCCTCTAATGCTGTTCCAAATGTGTTGAAATGAATTTGACTTATTATGACGTTTAGAAGCTTAATGAAAATGAGCTTGAAAAGAAAGGACATTAGCTTTTTGAATGATCTAGGCTCTTTGTTTTTCTTGCCCCACTGTTTCCTCTTCCTCACCAGAGTTTTTTTGTCCCATGTGACCATTTCGTGCAAAGTGCCCATAAAAAACAGTAAATCCAAAACGTATTTTGATTAGCAATGCTATAGCTTGGTTTTGAAGCAATTTTTTGACTGCAAGTATTAAGCCCCAGAACAAAGCCCCTTTGTTTAATCGAATAAATACGGTAAGCCCAGGGCTTGCAAGTGACAGTTTATGGCATTTTTGCTCACCATACACTTAAATTTCTTGATGGTAAATCCTCAGATTCAAAATGGTAGTATTTTTTTATTTGACCCATCTATGTACTTGCTAGGTACTATGTGCATGCTTAGGGTTCATGCAAACCTGCACTGGACTGACTTCAAAACCTGGAGGGTACAATATTTTTTATAAGATACATTTTTTGTCTTTTAGATCGAAATAATATGTTCGGGGATGATTCTCGTTTATCACATCTTGTAAAGAGGATCACCAAAGATTCTGAAAGAGACCGTCGTTTAACTGCTGTTCAACAGCTTGAAGAATTTCTTAACAATGCTGATAATCACCAGGTAGTCAATATTATTATTATTATAAAGCAGAATATCAGATGTGCATTGTATTTTGTTTATGTGGCACTTTATCTTACATTAGATTTACCAGCTTCTCCCTGGTATAAAATATCCTGCCTGCATCTGAAAGAGGATTGGTGTGCACTGATTTTTTTATCTGCCTGGCAACAAAATAATGCAGTTTTAATGATGTCATTTTCCCTTGTAACTCTCCTATTTCTTCTTGTAAGACATATTATGAAATGCAATACAGTGTACCACTGTACCTGTACAAGGCTTTAAGCAGTGCCCGGTCAACCCTCGAGCCCAACTTTTGCTCCTTGGTGGCAAGTAAATCTTATTTTTTTCATAGAAGGCATATGCTAGACACCCGGATTTCACAGGTTCAGAGCAATGGGCTCCCTTCAATTTTTCTTAGATAGAGTATGGCTTTGCTGTACCTTAATCATCCATTAGTGTACAGCTCTTTTTGTGTCTCCTGCATCTCTTTTGATTTACGTCCCCCTGAACTCAGTATCTTCGTGAATTTTCAAATTGAGTACAGGGTTTTCAATGAGAGCCGGTGTCCGGCAAAATTTGGTGGGTATTTCACATGAACTCGCCTCCTGAATAAAAAAGCCAAAATTTAATGTCTGTGTTCTGTTCAAACACTCTGATTTTTGCTCCAGAATGCTGGACATACATTCTGAGAGGCCCAGGTTTTCAAAATTTTTTCCAGAAACTTGCACCTTTGGTGCTCACAAGTTGGCCTTTGCCGCAACTTTTTCCTTCTCCACCTACTGCAAAGCTTTTGCTACCTACAGTAAATAGAATCTTATTGAAAACTTTGGATTAAAATGTAAAATGTACTTGAGACAAACTTGATAATAATGAAGGGATGCCTGGACAAGCAAGAGTGCTAGCTAGTTGACTTCACATCAACTTATAGATTCTGTCTTGCATTATGTTTTCTTGGAGGCACACGCCATAATTTGAAACTTGCATTTCATAGATCACAGCAATAAAAATACATTATTGTGACCAATAAATAGTGTTTTTTTTATACAAATCTTCAAACTCTAGGTGATAGACAAGCATGCTGAGAGTCTTTTTACAGCCTTGGAGGATGTGCTGTTTGAAAGGTAGTTGTAAAAAACTTTCTTTCACTAAATGGTTCTTTAAAGCATAGTATGTTTGTGCCAAGAATATACTTCATGGAAACAATAAGTAACATATCCATAAAAAGTTTTGGGAATGTTTCTGTGATGCATTATTTTTTTCTATTGCATCATTGTGTATCACACAGCAGAAAAATACAGAGAAAGGTTAATTTCTACCATCGCAATATTTTTAGGGGCCAGCCAGAGCTGAAAGAGAAAATCGCATCCTGTGTTGGTGTGATTGGTGGAGTTCTAGGCGGTGAAGCAGGAAGGTACGTGTATATTGTGCTCAATATAACTTACTTGTGTTCTATCCTTTTTATAGTTACATGTAAGTACATTCTGTGAAAGGAGAAAAATTTGAGTATTGTGAGCAACATTTCATTGGATGGTTGTCCACATTTCATGGCATTTCAAACAGGAAAGGGTGGGTATTCAGAAAAACTGAGTTCACTTGGTAAGAAGAGTGCTCTCTGGGAATAGGCTGTTTGCAGTAAGAGGTCATGTGACATCATTTTTATGAAAATGAAAGTTATATGATTCTGCCTTCAAAAAACAATTAGTGGGTCATATCTTAAGCAAAATAATAATGATTTAGTTTTTCAAACTGGTAGAGCGGTTTTCACTTGACTGTCGAAAGTAATTGAGGAATTGGTTTGGTTTTGGTTTTACTACGCCCTTTGGTTGGCTAGTGTATTTACTTTGGTTTTGGGCTCTTGCTCCAATGCTGTGCTTTGTGTAAGTTTCATGCGATAGAAGGTCAAATCGTAGGCACATCAGATTGTGTATGATAGAAGGTCCAAACAGTAGATGTGATCAGATTGCATTCTATTCATACCAGTCATTCTTAGTGCAAGTCCAATTGAATGCTCGGTACATACATTGTGCTCATGCATAATAGCAACTTGGAGATTAGGATTGCGGGCTCCTCTGGTTTCCCACAATAATATCTTACATGAGGGACCCAAACAGGTGTATGTTCTTCGCTCTTGGCCTTGTGGGCCAAAATGCTTGATACAGCACTTTTCTCATCCCCTTTTGTTCTTCTTAGGTTTTTTCAATGGATTTTTACCAAACTTGAGTCTTCTGTAGCTGACGAAGTTAAGATCTTGCTATTGTCAGCACTGTCAAAGGTAAATATTTTATTTACTTGTCTGTTTTAAAACAGTTATGAGTCAAACATGCATAGAAACTGAATTATGAAAGTTGTTTATATTCATGTGCAAGTAACTGTTTTGTCTGCTTTTGAAATGGTGTAACAAGAATTCAACTTATTCTGACTATATTAGTAATTTAAATTTAAAAGGTTCGTGACAATTTTGTATTTTTTTGTTTCAACTTCAGTAGATGTTAATCTCTTAGATTACGTGTTTTGTGTGTTTAATAGAGGTTTCTTGGACTCTGGATGTAATAAAACATTTTCTGTTTTTTTCTCATATTCAGGCAATTCAAGTGGATACAAAAAATAAATACTTTAGAGATTTCATGATGGTTAGTAAAAAACTAATATAAAGAAGTGTAAATACTCTTCAGCCTGCCTTATTATTAATTATTCTAAGAAAGTGTGTGGGTTTTTTCAGTGACACTTGAACTTATCATGATTATGACTTTTTTTTTCAGAATGTCATGAGCAGCTTGCAGAATATGCTGGAAAATGTAGATTCCTCAGGTATACAGCAATGTTTATCAGTCACCAAAGTTCATGATTTTGCGTCATAATCCTGCTTGATCCACAAAAGCTATTAGAGAGCTTTAGATTCTACGACGAGGATGGCTACAAGAACAAGATTTTCTCAATACTAAGTTGTCCTTTTGCAAACCAAAGTTATTTTGGCGGGAAAATGTGGTAGCCACCGTCAGTCTACTACAAGTTTTAGTGAGAATGTCATAGTGGCAAAAACAAGTTGTCAAATGTTAGAAATTTTATTTGGACTTAACCTCCTTCAATGAAAACACTGGTTATGCTTTGAGAAGAGATATACTGTAATCTGTGGGTATTCTTGAAGGGAAACATCATTTTTACCATCTATAAGTGGTGAGTACTTCAGACTTGCAGAATGCATGACTTACAACAGAATGCTATCTGCAATACCTCCAGTGACAATGGCTAAGGCCAACTATCACCTGAAAAAAAAAAGGTCAACCTTGCTCAGGGTTAGAAGAGAATAGCAGGAGGAAGTTTTCATCTGCCTGTCCTGAAGTCACTTATTATTGATGGTGGTGATAACTATTAAAATTGTACAAGTTCAAACTGAACTAAAATCTGCAAAACGGGGATGATTTTCTTTGTTATAAGTTTGGACTAGACAAGAGAGTAATAATATTCTCTTTCCGCTATACAGCTGACAATTTTGTTGTTGCTTGACAGACTTGTTACGTGCAGCCTTAAATGTGATGATGCCAATTGCTTTGGATTACCCACATGCATTTGCTGGACATTTTAGGGTAAGTTCCTCAATTAAGTTCAGCTGTAGTGGTCTGACTAATCCTTACTGTGATAGGATGGTATCTGTGACAAAGACATCAACCCAGCTGTGGCATTACTAATTAATTGATTCATTGGTAGCATGACCTATTTGCGAGCAGTTGTTCTAACAAGCTTTGGGGGGTAATAATTGTTCATTGGAATCATGAGAATTCTCAATAAATGCAGCTATATATTTAGACTCACTATAACAAACTGTACTTGTTCATGCTCCTGTGGTATTCTGATGAAAGGGTTTCAAACTCCTATGGTCTTTCCATTTAAATGAAACTTCATTGGTCTAACTTTTGCAGAATTTGATGAAAAATACTTGTGCTTTTTGTGATTTTGTTTCTTCAGTGAGTATTGCGAGTGAAAGGGGTAAGTAGATGTTAATGTACTGTTATTCACATTGTGTTTTTATTCTTATTAGGACACTGTTGACATTCTTGTCGGGTGGCACATTGACACCTCCCAGCCAGCATCCCTTACTCTGTACACCTCAGGTTTGTTGTTTAAGCCAGTGTTTCTGTCTCTCCCTTTCACAGACAATATTATTTTTTTGTGTGTGTAGTTGACAGTGACAATGGTATGTAATGAAGAAAAAATTGTATTTGTGGTTTTGGCAAAAGTGAAAACTTATTCTTTATGTGACTTTGCTGCTTTGGTGGCAAATTTTACTCATATCACTCCAGCAATGTTCTAGCTATGTAGGCTAAAAATGGAGTGGTGGGAGAGTCATGATTACAATCATTCTATCTACATGCCAAGGGAACTGTCCTATGTCTTATGTTAGTGATGGTGCACATGTAACCAAACTATGGTGTGATTTGTAAAGTAAATTATACAAGGTACTTAATAATGAGCTTCATGCACGGTTCTTCACAATTTTACAGAATGTCTGGTAAAGTTGCATGACTACTGGGCCTCAGACATTGCCTTCTCTCTGACACTCCTGAGTCAGTTTTTAGAAGATATGGAAGCTTATGCTGAGGTAAGGTTGGCAATGGAGTATTTGCTTATGTTTAAACATTTTTTTCACGTATTTAAATATTTAGGAATTTGGAGCAAAAACATACATTCATGCATTACTATTTCTCTTTAGTTAGTAAACTGCATCAGAAATACAGAATGTCCAGATAATTTTATTAGCTGTCCTGTCATTTGTTTAAGGTACAGTAAAATCCCGCGTATAAGAACCTGGGTTTTAAGAACCTGTTCGGCTAAAATTTTCATTTTAAGCCACCTCCACATAAGAACCTATTAAGGCTAAAATTTTAAGTTAGGTTCTTATCAGTGGAGTTGCTGTAAAAGTGTATCAACTTTGAAATAGCATTTCAGGGAACTGACTATGAGTTAGTTTGTTATGTTTTGTTAAGGACATACCCGCACTGTAATGCCTTTAGGCATTATGGTATAAATGATTTATATTGTATTATGGGATGATATTTATAATATACTGAAATGAAATTCATATCAAAATATAAGAACCTTTTTTAAGAACCTTGGTAGTCTGAATTTGCTTTAAGTACCATTTATATAAGAACCTGTTAAGGCTAAATTAAAAAATCCAGGTTCTTATAGGCGGTGTTTTACTGTATATTTCCTTCATATGAGGCACTCAAGGCTGTGCTCTAAGGAAAAGTGAAGGGAGCCCAGTGCTGTGAAACTGTAAAAGCTAGGGTGTCCAGCATATGATTTGTATGAAAAATCTAAGATTTTCGAGTCGCCCGAGGGCAAAAGTTAGGCGCCAGGGGCCACCGGGCTCTGCTAGAGCACAGCACTGGGCACTGTGTATTGATTTGGTTTGAACCAGAACAGCACCCTGATGAAGGGTGTGAAATAACTTTTGTGGTGTGTACACTAATAGAGAGACTTCTTATACCAGGCCTTGTTGACCCTTTGAGTCCCAAGAGTGACTAAAGTGAAATTTCTCCTAACTATATCAATACAAAATCTAGAGAAAAAGTGGTGAGAATTAATAAAATGATCATCTGATGTGAAAAGCTTTGATGAACAAGCAAATTCTCTCAACCAGTTCTTTAAGGAAATGTATGGAGATCAGTCTGGAGAATTTGTATTTGGATATTAGGGATTAAAGGGTTAACTTTGTATACTTGTGATTTCAGGAATTAGGCATGTTGTCTAACCAAGTTGTGAGTTCAGATGAAATTCCATTACCTTACGTGTCTCTTCCAAGATTGACAGCTTTAGTGAGGTATGGTTAATAATGGTCTGGTGGTGTGTAGTTGTCATTGTTGATACTCTTGCCGTACTACGAACACTTTCGTAAAGTCTTGACAAGAATAATTTTAGCATTGGAATTAGTGGCCATGTGAGGCAAACTGTTATGTTTGTGGTATGTTTTCAAACTTGAAGCTAAAAACTGAAACTGAAAGATTCAAGAAGATGAAAAAAGTATTGCTGTTCTGTTTGTAACTTCTCCTAAGACTCTGGTTGTGCTCTCATTAATTAGCTTATAACACCTTCAAGTACCTTGCATTTTTTTATTTTTTGAAATCTTCTTTTCAATTTTTCGACAGAGTGTTTACTACAGTTGTTAACGGTATTGGACCAAGCTTTTCTCCAAACAGAAGTCCTTCCATTACACCATCTTACTTGACTGAGGTAGAATAAAAATTCTTAAATATTTCTGTTATGTTCTTTAGTAAACTTAAAATGATTACTACATGTTTGTATTAGTCTTCTCCTAAAGTGTAATTTAAACACAAGTCATTTTCAATAGTAATCAGGGCCATGCATGCTTCTCTTTGAGTGTTAATAAGAATAGATAATTATTGGTCTCTCTACAAAAATGATTATAGCTGTAATCAAAAGGCTGTAGGCTTTCCACGACAAAGTTTTGTTTTGCAGCCTACCTCAATAATGTTTAAATAGTTTCTAAAAGTGGATCACAATGGTTTAGACCATAGGTTAGAAAACTGTAATAGTTTATTGCCCTTCCCTCTTAAAATAGAGTTATTGTATTGTATTGTAGACCTAATTTGACAAAGTGTGACTCAACTAGATTTTTGTCCTTTTCAGTTGATTCAAAGAATTATTCAGTGCATTAACATGTCTGGCTACTCCTACTACTATGAAAAGCTGTTTGTATCAGGTACAATATACTGTTGTTAAGGTTGTATATGTAAATTTTGTTCTTGTTTCAGTATTAATTTCAGGCCAGATTCATGCGTCAGTAATGATTATGATGTAATGTTCTTGCACCTATTTCAGCCAACGAGTGTTTAGCATCCATGTGTTCATGGCTTCAGCCTTACTTTTCTTGCTGCTGTGAAATAACTGCAGCATTTGTGATTCAGCAACTCCAGAGTGCCTCCTGTGTAACCTATCCTCACATTATGTCTGCTCTTCAGCTCATAGAAAAGGTACACAATTCCTGCTTTTGCAAATATCTAACTGTACATGTAGTACAAGAGTTTCACTGGAATTTTTTTTGTCAACTTAAGATGTTCTTTTTTTTGGTATTTTTCTCTGGCCTGTTTGACTAAGTTGTGCTCAGTCAGGTTTTGAGCGATCTCCTCTTTCCGCACAAGTAAGGTGTCAAAGTTGTCTTTGATAGTTAAAATTGATTATGTCACCAGTGATACAAGGGATGTGGATCCAAGTTGGTATGGGCAGTTCATGTGTGAATGGGTAAAAAGGCAGCAAGGGAACAAAAGAATTGGAGTAGAGTCAAGAGTTACAAATCTCGTTATTATTTTATTTTATTACTCAGTTTTCTGTTAGCTAATCACATGTAAATATCATTGCAGGTAATAGCTCATGTGAACACAGCTATTCCTGCAGCTTTCATTCAACAGCTCTTGGAACCTGGTTGCCCTGTGATGAAATTGCGCTTTTCTTCTGACCAAGCAGTAAGTACATTTGAAACATGACTTTTTTGTGCAGGCAGCAATGCATTGTTGTTCTTGTGACTCAGTTCCTTTTCTCAATCTCTGTCTCAGCCTTCAGATAAAGCCTAGGTGCTGACAACATTAATTATGCAAAAATATTATAACTGACCTTTGATCTTGCTATTAATCTTTGTAGGTTTTATCATCAGTGATGAAGATTTATCAAGGTTTTCTTGGCATTCATGATGTCCCTCTTCTGGAGACTGCTTACAAGTAATCAAAGATGTTCATTTTTAAAAATACTGCTTTTCGCATTGCAATGATTAAGTTGAAAGTCGAAAAATAGGGTTGTCATAACGGTCTGTAACCATGATTATTGTTGCTGTTGGCTCTTTCTCAGTTTTGATTTAGTTTTGTTTTTGTTTGTTGTCGTTGTTTTTTAATAGGCCATTTTACAGTTGTGTGTTTAGTGCCTGTTTTACTGTTGTGTACTCAGTGCCCTGGCCTTTTTATAGAAGTGAGGCTGGTGGTGACCTTGTTTTGTTACAAACTGTCCTGCTTTTCATGTGCAAATCATGGTATTCTCATGTTAATAAGCCTGTGAACATGATCATTTACATATGAAAAACAAGGTCACTGCCAGCCTCGCTCCTATTCAAAGGTCAGGGCACTGAGCACATGACTATAAAATGGTCTACTGGCGAAGGAAGTTATTGACAGGGATAAAAGGGGTAACAGGGGTAACACAGTTTATTACTGGTAACCAAGATGTTTACACTGTGGGCCATAAATAAGGATGGAAACAAACAATTAAAAGGAACATAACAAGTGAAAATTCCAACGGATGGGAGGCAAACCAGTTAGCCACCTGTATTTATAAGCATGACCAAGGAGTTTATTTTAAGACTGTGGAGAACAAATCCAGCTTGTGGTCAGAGTGGTGACTTGAACTCAGGGCTTCCAGGTTGCAAATTCAGTGCTATAACTGCCATGCCATACTGCACGCTAAAAAAACACTGAAAACTTAAAAACAAACAAAAACCAAGGATAAAAAGAAATCCACAGCATAGCCATTGACAGTTTAGTGCATGATCACTTAAAAAGACGTTTAGGTTAGTCTTACGTCAAGATTGCGTTGCTCTCCTTTTGCAGCATCGCTGTGACAGAGCTTACTGAGAGCTTTTCCATTCTGAAGAAAATGTTGGATGACCAAGATGAGACTGACGGCAAATTAGAGCCTCCATCAGGCAGTGATGATGAAAAAGAAACTTCTATTGTTCCAGAGGATAACACGAACAAAATTGAGGCATCAAGTCTTGTTGATAACACTCATGCAAGTAGCTTGGTACAATACCGCAGTGTTCATGAGCTGGAAACTATTCTGATCTTTGACTTGTGTGCCCTGTCAGAAATTGCAACATCCAAATCAGCAATTTTGAGGGTAAGATTGAGACCTTGTTCATGAGCATTTTGAAGGAATTTTCATTTCTGCTGAAACTAGTTTTCATTCTTTTAGGCTGTGAATGTGATTATTACCCAAATATAAAAGTAATGGATTTTATTTTAATGGTAACCACAAACATTATGATTTTGAAGTGCTACATCCACTTGGTAGCTTTTATTTGAATAGCCACATTTCCGGCTTAGTTTGCTATTACTATTAATGATCTCGCAACTTTCCACATGACTTCAACTTCTGATTGTGGACAAAGAATGCTTGTAGCATGTATTCTTGCTCCTAGACATAATGGTAAGCTCCGAAAAATTACATTAAAACATTATTGATTTTTTAGTTGTGGAAGCTCTCTCCCAGCCCTTATCAACTGCTAACTCAGCGTCTAAATGCATGTCAGTGGAGGATTGCTGTCTGCCACCCATCTGTACAGTACACCATTCTTCATGCGTTATACACATATTGTCAGAGGTACATGTAAATTTTTTCATTTGTTTGAGAATTGAATCTTGAAACTAATATTCTGTGGGAACAACAAAACGGCTGTCTAAGCCTGGGACTTGACATTGGTAAAACAGTGAATTTTTTTTTGTCATTGCAAAAATGATAAATTGTGATGCTCTGCTTGCCCAAATGGAGCACTGCCGTAGCAACGTTATTGTTAGTATCCATTTGAATGATGCTTTATCTGGAAGCTATGCAGCAGGCTGTCACTACGATTTCAAGTTGCCAGATTGATGTGATTTCTAGGCAGAAAATTGAACAGCCAGGTTCTACTTAAATAGGTTCTATTTTACTTTTGGTTTCCTATGAAAGTAACTATGGGTCGTCATGCTCATCATACCAAGAAGAAATCCCAAGGCCCGGGCCCTTACTGACAGCCCTGTATGTGGTGAATTATGCTGTTATAGGAATTTCCATAGGTTTTATTACTCCACTTTCTTTGGTCAACTAAGTCCAGCCAGCACTAAAATAAAAGCTTTCCTGTTGTAATATTGTTGGTTCAAAGCCATAGCTTGTGTTATCTTTTTTCAGGTACAACCACTTTCTTCCTAATTCTCCATCAGAGGGAATACGAGTGTCAGACGATGGAGACATTGTCACAATGTTTAGCTTACTTTCCGAAGTATTAAGAAATTCTAGCACGCCACAAGATTCAAGGTAAACAATATCCCCTCAAATTAATTTTCTAAAATTCTGAATGGTAGCTCAAGCTGTAAATAAACCCATGGCTTATGAAATCTCAACCATATTCCATTTTTTAATCTATCAATAACAATATCCTTTTCAAGATGGATTTAAATATTCCTTGAGCAACAGTTACTATTATCATTATAACCCGTACAGTCCCACATGCAATTTGGTTGGAAAACCATATGAAAAAAAGTCCCGTCCCGCCCTCCCACTCAGTCAGTAAGTACATAAAACAGATCATATCCTCCTTACTTCCTTCTTCTCTGAAAATACAAATATATGTGCTTTTATATATATGGCTAAATGTAATTTAGGTAAAGTTAAATTGCAAGCCAATGTGGTCAGCAGTCTCCTCCTCATGCGTACGTGATCTGAGGGGTGTCCGCAGGGGCCTTTTGCTTATCTTGTGACTTACATTGCATCTCATGCTGGCATTTTTGAGCTGATCTTTACGGATCTGTTGCTTAGCGAATCGTTGCGGGTTGCCATGGATACCTCCTTGCTATGCCTGAGGCATTCAGGCTCCCGTCCAACCTTTAAGGCACCAGTTCCCAAGCTCATCTATTGGTGATGGGTTTAAAGGAAATATTGTGATGTCTGACCTAAGTTCTCCTTTTTCCAGTCAAAAAGTGAAACATTTGCTGTAATGTATTTTTTAAAAAAATTTTACAGTTGAACCTCCCATAAGCGACCACCCAAAATGCAAAGATTTAGAGGTCGCTTACAGGAGGTGGTTGCTTACAAGAATCAAACCACATCGGGTCCCTTTTGAGAAGAGTTCCCTACACATCTACTTTTTGGAAGAGAATTATTATTATTGCATGCAATTTCTGAGTTCCATGTTGTCACTAAAAGTTCTTGGTATGCTCTGAGTAGTGAAGTACATACAGTGAACTAAAAGATCAGACCATGTGTAAAGCAGATGCTTACAAGAGGTTAAAAACAATGGAAAATAATTAAACTGTCACCCCTAAAAGTGGTTACGGTTGCTTACCAGGGATGGTTATTTACAAGAGGTGGAAACCACAGGGCAAATTTGACTGAACATTTTGATGTTTTGGATCTGTGGGGTCTTATGGGAAGTGATTGCTTACCAGATCAGAGGTGGTCGCACACAGAGGTTTGACTGTATTTGCAGCCCAGCGGTCTTCATTTTTGTTCTTCTTCCTTTCTTCGTTTTAGAAAGTTGTGTTTGGTGTGGCTGGTGGAGGTTTTAGACAGAACACTGGGCAGTAGTGTCCTGACATTAGTGACCAAACATGTCAACATGGATTCCATAGCGCTAAGCATTTTGCCCTCAGGTAAGCACCCCTTCCCCAGATTCAATAAAAATCTTGTTTGGAAAAGGAGTTTTTAACAATGTGTTGTTAACTTGGACATGACACATTAACAACTTCGTCGCTCAGTGGAGATGGGTGGCCGGGATGTCCAGGGGCTTCCACCTCACAGCCAGCCCCTAGACAGAGTTACGCCCCCATGGTTGGCAAACCCGCGCCCTCCAGCCATGAGCCCCAACGCCAATGGAACCAGGCACCCGTCACACTGATTTAACAGTCGAAGAATTAAGGGGGGATGGGGGTAAAAGAATGATCCAAAGGCTAAACGAAGAGAATGGCCGACACAAAAACACTGTACTGAGCACATGGAGGTGATGCAAGCAAGGCTGACCGCGCTTGAGCCAAACGACTGACCGCTGACCACGCTCGCGCTCCTTGTTGTTAACTGTGTTAAATATTTATTTAACATCATTTAATACCCTATTAATTTGTGATGCTTAATTTAATCATGGGATCAGTGACTTCTTCACTCTTAGATGACATCCTTTTATTGAGAACTGATGCACATAAATTTCAATAGCTAGTATTTTCATATAATGAGGTGTTGAATTGGCTTTATCCACAGCCTTTGACCACAATCCTAGCATTTCATTGGAGATTTCTCTTTGTCTGAATATCTTGGTGGATCTGAAAGTCTTATCACGGGAATGCCTCAGGAAGTGAGAATTTTTTTCTGATTTATTTATTTGTTCATCTGATTTTAAAAATTTTGGGCACTCAACATGACCAAATATTAATGTATTATGATACATTTTGTCTATTCTGTGTCTTATTTGTATTTTTGATCCCAGAGAGCATTGCTGTTATTTAAAGTTCACCAAGGTCAAAATATGCTTTATTTTGGATAAAATGTTTCAAACACAAATATTCTAAATTTCATGAGGTGCCTCTGTTCTTTTTCATGTTGATGTACTGTCAATACATTCACTAGACTTAACTTCCTAAACTTTAGCATAAGATTGCTTAAAAAAAAAAGAACAGTAAACATTTTGCTAGTGACGATAGAACTTAAACCAGGTTTTTTTACAGGGTTATTATTGTCATGCTGTTTCTCATTTTTGTCCAAACTCATTTCTGGTCCTCAGTTGTGCTGTGTTGTTGAAAATAATATTTTTATCATGTCACTGCTAGATTTTTTGAGGATTGTGCTATCCGTTTGATGGATGTGACCAAGGATGTCCGCGATAGCTATCAGCAGCTCATCAAAGCTCTGCCAACAGACCTTTTAACAAGGTTTGTACCAATGTTCATTTTAGGTCTATAGCATAAATTGATGTTTTCTACTTTTAATTATTCTATGGTGCTGCAGTGCTTAATTATTTTGCATTTAGTGTTTAAATAAAAGTAAGTAGTGAGTCCTTTTCCCTTTTCATATGCCTTGATGCTACCAAATTTGTATTGCTAAGTGTTTTTACCCTGATAGAGACGATCTGCTAGAAAATTATTTATTCAAAATCACGGCCCAAGATTGCAAAAAGTCCACCTTCGGTTGACGTGCGTCGCTCAAAAGCATTGTTTCTTAGACTCCCTATTTCTGTGTCTGAAACCTAGGTTCTTCTACATAAATTACATTAAGACTTTCTTTCACTGCAGTTCCCTTCATGAGAGCCTCTTTGAATCCAGAAGAAGTCAAGGACGAGGGAATGGTGTTCACGTTGGGAAACCCTTGATTAGCAGCTGCACTGATGTGTGGCTGGCTCGTAAAGGCCATGCTATCAAGGCTCCGACTGGCTCGTTTCATTCTCACGATTTCCAAATGGTGATGGGATTTATTTTGTCTGGTGTATTTCCAAGGTAGCATGTGATTGGAGTTTATTCATAGTTTAGCCATAGTTTTGTTGTAACTGTTTGATCTCACGTCTTGCTGAAAATATTGCATTATTGCATTTCTTTGCGCCTTTCAAACACAGTTTATTGGAGAAATGTCTGTTATTGTAGTGACAACAATATTAAATATCCCTTTAGATTCCTACTTGAAAATTGTTCATTTAGAAGAGAAAGTTTTTTTTGAGAAGATTTCCCTGTTAAAAAAAGATTAAAGATGTATGTTACAAAGTCAAGGAGAACTAATATGACCTTCTCTAAGTCTACTTGGTTATTTTTATTTATTTTCTTGCAGCAAAGACCTGAATGTAGACTGGTTAACAAGGCTGTTTCACAGCTGTAACAGAGTTCAGAAATATACAGAAACAGAGATGACTCAGGTAAGCACGTGTAGTTGTACAGGGAAGTTACGGCATTTCTTTCCTCAGGCTCATTCAAACTGACCCATACCTATTACAAAACAACTGTTAGTAGAAACCCTCTAAGCTTAAAAACTGCAGTCAGGGCTTACTTTGTTTTAAACAGCCTAAAACTGGCTTTCTTTCATTTATTTTTTGATTCTAACCCTAACTAAAGTAACTGACATCTATTGCTTCCCTATCCCTGTATCAAACATAAACTTTTGAGAATATAAGAATTCATCTCTGAAGGTAATGTTTTGGCTTTTGAGAGTGTCCTCATTAGTTTCACACAGAGAAAGAACATGGTGGATATTAGCACTTAAAGTGTCCAAAAAATTTGATGTAGTTTTTCTGTTTAGTTTAACAGATGTGAATCTTTGCTTTGGTTCTGGGCAACATGGGAAGCTGCTCAGTTTTGTCTTTTGTCACGATTGCGTACTCCTCTTGGAAGAGCACAAGAAACATTTCAAGCAATTGAAGGTAGTGCTATACCCATATTCAGTCTATTCACTTACCTTGCCAAAATTATAGAGGATTATATAGAGGATATTACATGGCCGCGTGGAGATACAAAATGTCTCTTCGAGTGTTGAAACACAAGAAGAGAAATTTCGTATCTCCAAGCGGCCATGTAATATTCTATTTATTATATAAACACCAATGAACTACCGAACCATTTCACTTAAATAGTTTTTTGGTGTGAAAGGCACGATTTATTATGTAACCGTAGCAACGGTGATATTTTCACATGTGAAGATACCAAGTTTTCGCGCAAAAGCTCACTTGGTATTTCATTGGTGTTTATATGATAAAGTGATTTATTTGCTGAATGTAAAACTTAAAAATAGATATTTTTTTAAACTTCAGGTGCCCTGCAGAAGTTTGTAAATGGTGCAAATGGAGAAGAAGAAAGAAAACCGGTAATTGCAAAACATGAAGAACCGAGTCCTATGGAAGAAGAAGAATGTGAAACAGGTAATGTATGACTAGTATAGACCTGTTGTAACTGTAACGCATTATAAAATTACATCTTTGTACCCTTAAAAAGGAGGAACATCACTTTAATGTTGTTATGCTTATTGTGGTGATGATGATGTTGTTATCATAGCTGTAATTCTTGCTTCATAGCTAAAGCTGATGATTTTTGTAAGTTGGAGTGTTGTCAGAATTAATTTTACAGTTTATGAAGGTTCGCGAGTTCAGTTGAGAATTCTACTGCTAGTCAATCCTATTTTTGGGATTAGGCTTATTCTGACAGTACCCAGAGCCTAGGTCCACGATATAAAGGACATAAAGTTTATATTTATGGATGATCATTTTTGTGTTATTTCTCTAAGCTTTGAGTTCAAGAATCCAATAAATAATTTACAGTGCAACTACTATAACTGGGGCCACCTTATTGTTGTTGTTGTTGTTGTTGTTGTTTTTATGAGCTGCTGATTGGCCCACAACCAACTTTCCTGGAATGTATTGTTATTTTCCTGTAATCCTTTTGGTCAACTTTGTTTAAGTTGCCCCAGTTACAGTAGTTGCACTGTAATAACCTGGGGAAATATTCTTGTTGTGATGCAGGTAAAATATTTGTTTCTGTAATAGGCAATACACATCTGTAGTATTCCAAATATAAACCATGCTATTTTCAAGTCCCTATAAACCTCTAAAAGGGTCCCCCAAAAAGTTAAGCCCTGAGTGCTTATTTTTGGAATTTTTCAAGGAGATAAAATCTCTGTAGTTTTATGTTAATTTATCAAATCGAATAATGATTTAAGTCACCAGGTTTTTTGAGTGGAAGGGGTCTAACTTTCAATATACATTTTTCTTTGTTAGCTGCTGGGTCTAAGCCTTACATGAAGCAGCTCCAGTGTGTTTTACTGCTGCAGTTTATAGAGAACTTAGAAAAACTGATGTACAATGGCTATGAAGGATGTGTAGTTGGTCTTCCTTCACCACCTAAGGTACAAGAACGGTCATCTCTTTAAAAATAGCTTATTTTTGATCCAAAAGCCAGAAGTCAAAGGTTTTACCATGTTTGCAAATGAAAAAAAACACTTAAGCAGAAACTTAAGAATTTCTAATTGGTTAAGTGATAGTACTGATGTCATTGCACTATTTATATTGACTGCTGACAGGGTGTTACATATTTTTTCCTACACTTCCTGCTTGTAGGCTTCTAGTTACTTGCAGAGTTGCTATGGATACCTCCTTCCCCATGCCTACCCCAGCATGTTTAGCCCAAGCAGGAGGTTGCGGATTCAAACCGTGGCTGGACCAACACTCACTGTCTTATTATAACTAAAGAAAATTCAATGCCTTTGTTATGACATCTAAAATGGTTAGACATTACTCCAGTCTTCTTGGATAAGGAGGGGAGAGCTAGTACCAGGGATATTTCTCATGCAGTGAGGGAAATATCCTGTATGTCCTGGTGTTTGTAATTTCTTAACTTGATACTATCATGTTTTACAGGCTGTTCGGGCATTTTTCCGCACAAATCGAGGCACATGTCTTGAGTGGCTCACAAGAGTTCATAAACCAGTGATGAGAATTGGTTTAGCTTGTGGCTGTCCTGCCACAACTGTTTGGCATGGATTTCAAACTCTTCTAGAAATGAAGACAGCAGAGAAGACCCAAGTAAGTTATTCAATTTTTGCTTTGAGCTTTGATTATGCTTTAAAGGAAAACACGTTATGGTTGAGGCAAGTCATTTGGCAGATTTAGCAGAGACAAAACAATGAGTAATATCTATCATAAGGCAATGAGTAATATCTATCATTAGATCTGCACGTGCAGTTGTCACTGTCATCACATTTTCTTTGCTAAATCTGCTCAGTGAAGGAAGAGCAATGGCATCCTCTCCTGATATCCTGGGAAAGGTTATGTTTGTTACTGGTCAAATTGGACTTCCAGGATACTTTTGATTTAATCTGGGTTAATCTCCTCTGTGAAATTGAGAATCAACTTTAGTTAAGTCAAAATAAGGCTGAAATCAGGTCTCACCTTCAACATATACATAAACTCGGCAACCTCTAGTTCCTTTGATATGTAACTCTATACCTTGCTACCCAATTAATTTTTGCTGTAATTTTTACTTTTGTAATCCTGTTTTTACTTCATTTTATTGTATTAATTAAAGCAAGACACTTACTCTAAATTAACTGGGTCCAGTTCCTTCAACGATTGTTTAGTTTAGCAAGGTTTTTTCTGAACCAAATTTTGTTCCTTCATTAGTGCTATTCGGCCTTTGATGGACCTGGCCCAGATTTTTATCCTATCCAAACTTGTCTTGTGTTAGAGAACTTTACCATGGGATGTAAGCTATAAATGTGTTTGATTTCAGGGTGAAGAGTTTGACAGAGCTGTTCAACAAACAGCTGAAGCCTTGTGTGAACTGAAGAGTGCCCATGCAGTTGCGGGTTTGATGGCCTGGTGTGAACAGGTTTCTGGTCAGATATACTCCTGGATGAATGGTACTGTTATGAAAGCAAAGGGCTGGTAAGTTTTGAGTTCTAAAGGACAGGAATGTTCCCTAGTATATGTTATGTAAAATTTTTCTTTGCACAATATTTCCCTTTTCAGCTGCACATAGCAGTATAGGCCAAGCTTTAAGTGACAAAATATTTTGTTGATTAAAACATCATTAATAAATTATTTAAGTGCCAAAATTCATTCTTCCTCCTGGAATATCATATTTGTTTATTCTAGGTATGAATCATCTCTGACTGAATACAAGTCATCTTTGGAAGAGACAATGAAAGCTGTGGCAGAGAGAAGTCAAAATAAGGAAAACAAATCAAGTGAAACAACAACATCTGCTTCTGCTGCTGCCACCTTTCTTGTTAATGAGGTATAGTGTAGTTTTTCTGGTTAGTAACATCTGCAAAGCAGCACCGATATCCTTTCTCTTGGCCCCCAACGGACTCAACGAATTTTCCTACAACATGACTAGCAAATTGATAATGGCTTTCTTAACAGGCCAATCCTAGCACATGGTACACAGGTGGGGTCATGGAACAAGGATTTAGGTGCTGTTTTGTGGGTGGACTTAGCCATAAGTTAAGTTCTGTCTGTGCTGCAGGCTATAGTTCAGTGGTAAAAATTAGCTGACCAGGCTCGACATTCACCCCTTATCACTATTTGCTACTGCACTGATCCCAGCTGTGTGCCAGGCATCTCCTGTAGCCCAGTGGTGGGAATGCCCAACCAGCGCCTGGGAGTCAGTGGGTTACTTCTGACATGGCGGATATTTTTTAATCTTCGTCAACTTTTTTTTCACAATCGGAAATGAACAATGTCACTTTCAGTCAGTTCAAGCGCTTTATTGCTTTTATTTCAATGTTATCCTGTATGTGAATTGTTATGTAATCCTCCTACATCCTCAGGGAAAGCATTGCTTGATAACCTATTGTGCATTCCAAAAGTTAGAATCGGCCAGCCAGACCAGTAATTTTGAAAGTGAAATAGTTTTTGCTGAAAAAAACCATCAATTCCTTGCATGTTACACGTATGTAGGAATTGACTGATTCGGCTGGACAGTTTTGAGTGAAAGTGAAATTCCCAACAGAAGAGGTCTGGTCGGCCAGTTCTGAAAAATGGAAGCAGTGAAAGAGTCCCAAGAGCACTCTCAAGATATGAACTGCAACATTTCTTTGACTTGTAATTATTGTTTTTATGGTGGAGAACTTTACTTTCCTATCTGATATGCTTTTTTTCTCTGTTTCAGGTTACAGACTGTTACATGAAGTTGTCGTCATGGAGTGAAGTGGCGGAGTGGCAGAAACATGTTGGTAGCCTCAGGAAGCAGTGTTCGGATCCTAACATTCAGCATGCTCTTATGGCTAACATTGATATGAACTATGTCAAGTAAGTCATCACTGTTCAGTAATAGATGTTGTGGTTCAATTTTTATTTTCTTTTGCTTTGGGGTTTTTTAATGTATGATAATGAGTTTGAAACAAAGTAAAATAAAAATTAAACCAAGGATAGAATTGAACCACAGCACAGATTCTTGCTTATTCTTTTGTTTGTAACTTGTTAATCTGTGTCCGTGAAACCACGACTGTCAGTGTATAAGGAGGCCTTACATTTTCTTCCGGTGTCTGTGTTAATACAATCACTAGTAAGGAGATAGACAATGAAAAAGGAAGTTGTCATGTGTATAAGGACACAGAAAACCACTATCCAACCAACTTAGACCTCTTTTTATCAACCTCTACAGCGTGCAAAGAAAGTAGTGTCCGATAGCCCGGGGCTAGTGGATTTTGCTATCGGGCTAGTGAATTCTGTTTTTAACTTGCCCAACGCTCGAGTGATATTTTTTTAGGAATTCAAATAACAGAAGAACTGTAATCAATCCTGCTCATCAAATTTTTTTTGGGCTAGTTGAAATGACTTTCGGGCTAGTACATGTTAGCTACAGCTTGCCCAAATGGCAAGCTGTAAAACTGACTTTCTTTGCACCCTGCTCTATAAAAAAAAATCATAAGGTAATAAGGACATGTTTTCTTTACTTAAGCTTCTGTCATTAATCTTTTCTTAGGGCACTGAGCAAGTTTGAGGAATCTGACTTTCCTTCAGTCCGCAACCATCTTAAGCTGATTCCAGGAGCAGCACTGAACTCTTTGACTGAGAATCTGACCAAATCTGCTTGGTCAGTTAAGTTAAATCATCCTGACATGACTTTCACTCCAGTCTGGGATCCAGAAAAGATTGAGCAAACAGCTGAGCTGTCACTGATTCAAGCAGAGACATTGTTCTTCACTTCTGGGTCTCCAAAAGCTAAGTCAAAGGACAATAACACAAAAGATCAGAAAATCATGTAAGTGAGGGGTACAGTTTACAGTTGTTAATAGTGCCTTACTTTAGAAAACCTGTTTAAGATGTGTAATCAGCTTGTCACGAGCCTGGAACAAAGAAAACACTTCCCAACAGGATTCAAACCTATGATATCCCAAAACAATGCAAAGAATAGTTGGCCAAAAGAAAGCAATGTTGGCGATGTGTCAGCTAGGGGTATTAGGAAAGATGGTGGAGAATGACCAGTTGAAGTTACAGAGAAAGGCAATCCACTAAGTTCTTGGTTAAACGCGTCAAAATAAGCAGCAGTTAAAGGACTTTCTGAATAACATCTACCCATTAGGGGAAAGCATGTTTACTAAATCTTGAATGAAATGTTTGCAAAGTGAGCTGTGAATGTGTTGCAGATTAGAGGAAAGCAACCTGTCCTCTTTACATCATATGTTTACAGTAAATCTGGGACATCAGCATAGAGGGCCCACTGGCAGCTGCTATCAGTGCAAACCAGCTGTTCAGCACACCTTCATGAGCTGGTGGAGTGGCGCTGTGTCTGTGTGTTCCAGGTTCGTATTAATATGACTGTGCAATAAAATGACTTTCGGTTATTTTTCTTTGCAGTCAAGCCATAAAGGAGTGTGTTCATCATGCAACATCGCTGAGCGAGGGTGTGCTTCGAGTTGGGACTTTAGGGTGGCCTTTAGACGTACCAGCATCTCACATATCTCAGTTGCAGTTTGCGGCTACATTGGAAAAAATCATGGATACTGCTAATCATCAGGTATCTGCTTGAGGATGATAATTAATTTTACGAATGATTAAAACCTGACTCAAGTTTGGACAAGACGTATTTCGGCATGAATGCAATTTAAAAGTATGCATCATTTTTCGAGAACAAAGAGCCAGTTGTGAGCAGTTTTGTTTCTGCAAGAAAGCAAAGACCAACTTACTGATGATGTCTGCAGTGGCCATTATATTGTCTTTTAATTTTCTGAAATGGTTCTGGTAACTTGTGCAGCTTCTGAACGAGATGTTTTCTGATCATTTACCAGTCATACATTGTATAGATTTGTAATGTTCTGAAGAAAATGTCCATTAACCTCAGTGACGTTCTTGTAAGTTAGTAATAAATAGCTGGCCCTTGTTGCTGTGGTAATGAGTTTTAACTTATTAGCATTTTTTAACATGATGCTTTCACTTCCCTTCAGGAGCTTGGTTTCCTATCATTTCTGCAAGGAGATGGAACTTTTACTGTAGAACACACTCAACATGACTGTGGAGCCATGATCAAAGCACTGAGGCTCTGTAGAAACCTTAACTATGTGGCATCTTCCGTGGGAAAACATCAAAATAATCTGAAAAGTGAACTGATTTCACTGCAGCTGGCTACAGCACAGTTAGCAAGGAAGCACCATAATTTTAGTCTTGCCCAAAGGCTTTTAGTGAAACAGATATCTTTGCTGGGAAATCCTGTGAAAATTTCTCAAGATATGAACTGCAGCAAGAAATCAATTCTGGAGCCATTGATGGAGAGCTTAAATGATGCATCTATGGCCTCAGCAAAACCAGTTGATGTTATGCAAATACAGCGGGAGTGTGCAAAGTTAGCTCTTGCTTTAGGTCAAAACTCAGAGGCTGTCTTTTTCCTGTCGGACAGCATTTCTCAGTACTCAAACTTAGGTGACATAGACTCAAATGTTGGTGAGCTGAACTCGAGGTCATTACTCACACTTGCCAAGTGGTTGCTTAATGACCGCAAATTGCTCACTGCAGTCACAAAGATAAATGGAAATGGTCTTTCTCTGGCCATGAAAATGAATTCACTGTGCGAACTGGAAGCCAGTTATGTCAGTTTAGGTCATAGCACCCTCATTCCTACACAGGATGAGGCACCAGAAAGTTCTTTGAATTGTAACGCTGTCCCCAGTGTGGCTTGTGGCATATCTGATGCAGAGGCCGTTTGTGGACAGCTTCTACACTTAGCTACTATGCAGGCACCAGATTTGGGCAAGGCATGGTTTAATTTAGCAGGATGGTGTTACAGATGGGGAAGAAAGACTGTTGAACAAGCTAGGTATGTGGAAACGATAAATTGTTATAATTATGATAATGCTGCCTTTTACAATGTAGTGTAATAAAATAAATAATTCCATTATTTACCTTCCGCAGTATCTATAGCACTTATGCTAGTGGGGCCGAGCAAGTGCCTGAAACAAACAATTCAAATTGAACTGACTTAACAGGGTTAAGAATCCCAACTGGCCGGGGGCAAACCAGCTGGCTATTTCCAGGTGTGGCCAAGGATTTGAACTCGGGACTACCGTGAACAAATCCAACTAGTGGTCAGAACAGGACTTGAACTCGGGACCTCCACATTGCAAGTCCGGCGCTCTAGCTGCTCGGCCACGCTGCCTGTGTGTGTCACCTTCATTGGATAAAGACTAAACCTGAGTCTCTGACAAAACTCATTCTTGTGAAGTAATGAACACATCATCATTCTTAAATCACCACTGATCTTACATCTTTTCTTCTGAATGATTTTTTGCTTTTAGCTCAATGGGAAATGTTGACCTACTACCGAAGGAGAAAGAAACAGTGCATGAGAATCTTCCTCAGGTAACTAGAAGGAGTCATGTTGGGTGATGAAGTCAATGTAGTCAATACAGTGGTTGAGTAATTGAAGTTAATGAAGTTTGGGTAATCAGGATAGTAGACAGGGTAGTCAGGTCTGCTTAACAGAACCTAACCACTGGAAGGAACAAGGCAGCAAGGAGGGTCGTGTTGGTTGGTGTAACCAGTATAGTCAGCTTAGTCACTGTGTTCAAGTACTTGTAGTTTCCCAAAATCTTGGTTCCTTAATAAAGTGGAACAGCAAATCCCTCCCTCCCCCGCCCCCTCTGGAAATTGTAAAAGGATTTGATACGAGTAGAACTGAGAACACAGCACTTTAATCACTACAAGACGGACTAATCTATTCTGGTACAGAAGCTACGCATGTGTTAAACCCGGAGCGGTTCAGACTGGTTTTTGAATTATCCACTTCATATATAACAGCATGAACTGTCAACTACGCAGTCAAGAAAGAAGCGACCTAAAAGGCAAACACGCCATTTTCCTGCCAACTTTGATTTAGGGAAAGGTGATCTAAATTTTCCGTTTGTTTTGTCCAAGATTGTACCAGGTGTAGTCAGATAGACAACTGCATCACTTGTAAATGAAGTACTGTACATTCAACTTACACTAAGTTACAAGGCTGTGCTCAGTAAAGTGTCGCAAGGATCCCAGAGTCTTTGTTGTTTGAAATCCTTAGTTAAGTGCCCACCAGTAGAGTTATATGCTTTTAGTTAAAGTAATTTCTTATAGCCACCTAAAGGAAACGTTAGGAACCCAAGTCCCTCAGCACTGTTAATGACAGTCCTTGTACTTATATACTACTCTCACATTGGTAAGAATAGGCCATTTGCACTAAGAGGTCATGTGATATCGTTTTTATGAAGATGAAAGTTATATGATTTTTCCTTGGAAAAACGATTAGTGGGTCATATCTTAAACAAAATAATAATTTGGTTTTTCAAACCCGCACCGTTTTCTTAAAATAAGTAAGTTCGTAGCTGGTCACGTGACTAAAATATGATTTTTAAAATAATGAATTTTCTCTTTCTGAACACAAATTTTGCACTAAAACTTCAAGGAAAATGTTGAAAGGTTGATGTAGTAACGTTTACAGCACATCTGAGGGAAACTATCAAAGGTTTAACAAGATATAAGCAAAAAGTAGTTTTGGCCACCATGTTGGAGGGCAAGAGTATGCCCTCCAACATGGTGGCCTACACAAATCATACTACTTTGTTGAAAAATCAAAGTGCCATAAAATATCCCCCTTAAATGCTTTTCCTCTCAAACTTTGGTTGTAAGATAATTTTTATGTGCTCTATCAATTTTTGGCATCAGCAAGATTCCAGCTCGATTTTTTATGGAAGCATTGGTCATGTGACCTCTTAGTGCAAGTCGCCTATTCAACAAATACCCTCTTACCAGTATTATTTCATCAGTACATTTACACACAAAATATTTCTTCTTCTCGTGTCCTCCAGACTGCCCGCCCTGCTGAGGTAGAGTCAGTTTTGCTAGTACTGGGTCAGGTGCATGTCACTGCATATTTCAACCAGGAAGAGGATATTGGAGAAGAGGACCAGGTAATCTGTCTGCCTTTCATTGTCTTCAGTGTATTCCTCACTCCATCAGATACCCAGTAAATAACTTGTGTGACCTGCTGTGCCTTGCTCATTGAACTTGGGTATTTAAGTTATTCTGTATCAGTATTCCACCTGATTACTTTTTCATCTCCTTTTAAATGCATGTTAATTAGTAATGCGGGCAACATCTGTCAAAGGTCAGATTGCTTTTACTCCAATGCTGTGCTTTGCATAAGTTTCATGTTACAGATGGTCGAAACACTTATGATCAGATTGTGAGTGATAGAGGATGCAAACATGCGTGATCAGATTCCATTTCATGCACCCCTTTTATTTTCAGTGGAAGTCCAAACGAAGCTAGTCTGCTACGCTCCTCCCCACTAGTGGTGAGGAGCATTGCGTGACGACACTAAAAACGGCTGTGTAGCAGACTAAAACGAAGCTGGTTTCATATGCATGATAGCAACATGAAGATTAGGATGGTGGGCTTCTCTTGTCTGCCACAATTAACAATCACTTTAACTTATCTACTTTTTCTCTGCAGCTGTATGACGATGGAGTAGAAAACACTAGAAAGCAACTTTTAACAGTCTGCCCAGGATTACAGGATACCAAACCTCAGCTAATGGATAATCTGCTATCTATGTGGAGAGGTGTTCGGGACAGACTTTTTAAACACTACCACTTTGCTGCTAAGGCCTACTTCATGTATCTCAGAATGGGGACCGAGGTATGTAGATCCTTAATTGCTCCAAGTTGTGTAGATTCTACACGTGATCTGTTTGTAGACTGTTTTTGTCAATTTTGTGTTTAGACACCACAGTCTCTTCTGAATACGTTCAAAAGATATTTCAAGAACCTAACCAGGAAATGACTGTTGCAAAAAAGAGCTTTACATGAAATTTTATAATGGTAACATTAGGAAACTGTTGCATAATTTTCCTGATGTTCGAGTGCTTTGATTGAATTTTGTCTTGCAACTTCCCTTAAAAAAATTATTTTTCGGAATTGACCTTGCCAATTGATTTTCGAATTTTCTTAGAATTGTGATAAATCATCTGGTGCCGGAAAGGATGAAATTGTGAACAAAACCTGTTCTAAGAGAAGTGATGATGATAGTAATGTGACAGCGACCTTGAGATTGCTTCGTCTTGTTGTCAAACACGCTGGTGAACTCCGCAGTGAGCTGGAGAAAGGTCTAGTTAACACTCCTACAAGGCCCTGGAAAGGTAGAAACAATCTTTTCATTTATTCATTTTCACTGCTATTATTGCACGCCTACTTCTTACCTTAGAAAGGTATGAAATAATCTCTGATTATTTTTTGTGTTGCTAAAATTGTACACTTTCTAGTTTTTTTTAAGATTAATGCTGTGGAAGGTAATGGCGGTGTTTTATTATTTAAATTTGAGCAGCTTCAGTTACTCAGGACAAATAACAGTAATTATAAACTCATCAAAATTATATTTTAACACACAGTCTTGCCGTTAATGGTAGGCATATGTAGTCACTGACTCACTGATGAACACCTACCATAAACTGCCGCTTTTAAGCCATGGGCCCGCTTATAAGCAGAAAGGCTTACATCCTAGGGGGTTTATAACCGGGCTAGAAAAAGCTCTTTGAAACGAGCTATAGCATTGCTGATTAGAAAATCGAATTCATTTCAATACAAGCGAGAGGGGGGTTTATAAGGGGGGCTTATTATCGAATGTATTTTTTGTTTACAAGAACTGGGGGACTTATGAGGGGCAGTCTATGTTGCTAGGCATTTTGTAGCCTGTGTACAGACCTCCCTTCCCTCAGCTAAAATCGTTTTTTCCCCGAGGGGGGGGGGGTGGGGTCTGTACACGGGCTAGACACTTTGGTGCAATATTGTGTCAAATTTTTGGGTTTTTTACTCGAATTTGTATATTACTTCAGACGTTCTATTTCTTAAAATTTAATACACATTTTTCAAACTGCCTTGGTTCCTGACAGACATCACCCCTCAGCTGTTTTCACGACTGAACCACCCAGAAAGCTACGTGCGACAGAGCGTTTCCGAGTTACTGTGTCGTGTTGGACAAGATGCTCCACATTTGATTGTTTACCCTGCAGTTGTTGGCTGTTCCACATCTCTTCCAAAATACCTTCTAAATAAAGGCAAAGAGGGCGAAGGTAGGGAGAACTGCCATTAGCACACATCATGATAGCATGTTCAAGGATTTCACATGGTGAAGTGTAATGCAAAGTTTAGAAGCAGAGAAAAATTAAGGTGTTCCGTCCTCACAATCTGACACCTGGGACAGGCTTATCATGTTCAATTTAGTGAATTTCTCAAAACTTGAAGGATGCCTTCATTGCTTGTCATTTTTTACATAATTACCATAATTACCTTGCAGAGTGCTGTTGCATTTATACTATTTGGTGCAGCGCACAGTGCATCAAGAACGTAATAAAACTTAGTTTTAATAACTTTGCCCCTTTCCAATTTCAAATAACCTACATTAAAAGTAACCGCAATTTCAACCATGTTAGCATGTCAGCATTAACCACATCAAAATCTTTAAGCAGCGCGTTTTTGCGTTAGGATGCGGCGCTTATTCCAGGACGGCGCTCTTTCAAGAAATATGTTAATGGCTTAATTTTTACGTTTAGTGAAGCTAGCCTAAAGAGAGAAGTCTCAGTCGTGGAGAAACAACAGCTGAGTGTATGTTATGTTGTGAACTGTGTGTGTTTACTCCCCTACTCATCATGGACACTTTAAAAGAAAATTTAACGCAACAAGGACAAACCCCATTTACTCTGGAGGGTTGATTATGAATTTTGAGTCCATGAATCAGGAATTATTCAGTAAAAAGGACATTTGACTCGTCCCATATAAGGGAATCCAAGCCAGTCTTAGATTCTGGATTCCATGCTGTTGGTTCAGGATTCCAGGCATTGGATTCCTGATTTTTGGTAAGTGGAACTTGGATTCCGGATTCCAATAGTTAGTGGGTCCCGGATTCCTTGAGCAGTATTCCATATTCCAAAGCCCAGGATTCCAGATTCCACGAGGAAAAAAATTCGAGGAATCTGGATCCCCTTATATGGGGCGAATTGTGATCTTTAGTGTTTTCTACAGGTATTCTGCCACTTCTTGTGTCAAACCCCACTGACTCGTCAGAAAGCAGTCAAAGTCAGTGCAGTCAATCATGTGACACTCCCAACAAAACAGAAAGCGATGCCCTAACCAGCTGTTACCAGACTATAGTGGAGTCTATCAGAACACACAACCCTCAGCTGATCTCTGAACTGCAGGGATTTATCATGGAATTACGGAGGATCACTCTGTTGTGGGAAGAGTTGTGGCATGGCTCACTCATGCAAACTCACCATGATGTTACACGAAGACAACAGCAACTGGAGGAAGAGATAAATCGAGTCAACAGTAACCAGAATTTGACAAGTCAGCAAAAGGCTACGCTGATCAGAGAGAAGCATATTGCTATTATGAAACCAGTAAGTGTTGACGTAAACGATCATGAGACTGGTGAAAATGTGTGATATGTTCCTGGGATATCTCATATTAACCCTTTGGAGCATTATACGTTTCTGGGAAACTGCCCACCTACCCCTCCCGTAAGCCAACATTTTGCCCTAAGTGAGAAGGAAGTGTGAATGTTGGCTTAGGGAAGGGGTAGGTGGGCCGTTTCCCAGAAACGGGGATCATTACACGTTTTCGTCCTTTTAGCCCACACTGTCCATATCCATTTAATTGACCTGCTATTTCAAATCTGGATCAAGTGGAATATATTCCAACACTCCTTTTTAAACTAAAGCTCACACTTGCCTTCACATCAATTGATTTCCAAAAGTTACGGTCCAAGTTTGTCATTTAAGACTATATTTAAGCGCTGAAACTGTTTCCTGTCGTCTGTTACAAAGGATGGCAAGGGTGGACATGTATTGTAACGTGAGAAAGTTTGTCCAGCCTTTTGAAGTTGTAGTGCTATGCCTGCAAGAATCACCTAAAAATTATCTTGGTTATTGATCCCTGATGAAATTTGTTTGATCTTCTTCATAACTCTACAGACGTATTTTTTTGTTATAGGTAATACCTTTAGCTGAGAATTGACCTATTCATGACGTAGCCCCTTTAACAAGGTTTGATTATACTAGGCTCATTCTAATTCTCTCACTTGAATAGGTCGTATTTTCAATAGAACAATTGCACAAAATAACGTGTCAAGAAACTGCCACGCCACACGAGCAGTGGTTCCAGACGACGTACAGTACTGTCATTCAAGGAGCTCTTGACTCATTACAGAACCCACCTGATCCCACTGATTACAGATCTAGCTGGGAACCATTTAAACAGGTAAATATCACAAGTGGGTTGTTGAGCAGAGGTGACAATAGACGGCTAGAAGTCTGTTGACAAACTAAATAGGTGGGCTCAGAGAGACAGCACAAGACTTGAGTCAATAGACTAGGACACCAACATTGTTTTGGAACACTAATATGGCCGCCGTGACGTCACTAGTGAACGGTCTATGGGAATCATCTCCATTGGGTCTCGTTATGTATGGCTGTTCATTCAATATGCTCACCAACTCATTTTTTTCAAGTACTAAGCAGGGTAGCTTCCCACGTAGACATTCTTTTGGCTCGTCACACAATCCTCCCCAGCTACTATCCACTAAAGAAGAATTAAAGGCTAACGAAGTTCATGGGGAAGGAACGCGTGACAAAGCCCTAAGAACGTCTGCACGGGAGGCTATGTTAGAAGTTAAAGTACCCAACAGTTAACCATATGCTGCGGATTACCCTGCGTTTCATGAAACTCCACCATTCTAAGGATGGGGTTGTTAAAGATTTTTTCAAAATTACTTGCAACGTAGAAGACTAAAAACTAAAAACAATATTCTTATTTTCTCAGCTGCTTCAAGCACTGCAAGCAAGGTCTCAAAAGCGTTCAGCATTTGTCCTTCGCATGGATGAGATTAGCCCTTCATTAGCCAGGTTGAAACATTCAGCAGTGTACATGCCAGGCCAGACGCATTTCAGTGGAAAGGTAGTTCAGCACGTCTGTTACTCTAAACAACATTGATTATGATTGTATATTTGGTTTTTACGCCTTAGGTGAATTTCAAAGTTCATTCTCAAAAGGAAACTGGAATGTAAAACCGTTGTGAATCGTAATCTGTAATACAAAAACAAACAACTTGTGATATTGACTCTGTCCCCCGGCCTAAAGTTTTAACTGGTCAACGTTTTCTTTCCTTGAATGCGGCACAAAATGCATTTATTAGTTGAGCACTTCACCTCAATAGTCAGCAACTAGCTGCAACTGGGAAATTGCGTTAGCGAAGTTTTGACCGTTTAAGCCCTAGGAGTGATCAGCCTTAAATTTCTCCTTGAAATATCACTGCTTTGTAAAACAGAGCGGTCATGAGAAGTGAAGACCAAATCACACAAGACGAATCTAATTGATACGTCAACAAATTCTCCCCACGACTTCTAGTGGAAAGGTATAGGGATAACAAATGAGAGTTTGGATTTTGATGATAGGGTCTAAAGGGTTAAGATAAGGAAATTAACCACAGCCCGGATAAGCGGTGATGGGAGGGTGCGGGTTGAGACTCCAGCCATACCAACTCTCAACGTCTTAAAATGACTGAGGAGGATATGCTGCCTTTGTTTTGACATCTAGAAATAGTCGGTCATTCTAGTCTTATCGTAAAAGGAAGAAAACCGTAGGGCCCACTTCGCAATGAGCTCTTTCACAGTTTTGTTCATGTTGGACGTAAAAGAACCCTTACTACTGTACGGAAAGAATAGGTGACGTACATGTGGTCAACCTTGAACAAGGGTGCGTCTATGTGTGCATTGCTGTAGCAGGTCAACAGCACTTTTCAAACTGTTGTATATAGCCTACTTTATCAAATAACATATTTTTCCAAAAATATTGATGATTATTATGTGAATGAAAATAACGATAATAACGATGACTGTTTTTACTTTTGAACTGCTGTCCCTTATCTTACCACATGATGAGGACATACATTTTTTCTACAGATTGTAACAATTGACTCCGTGATAAACGAAGTTAACATTCTGCCAACTAAGACCAAACCGAAGAAACTTGTGTTCATTGGTTCAGATGGGCAAAGGTAAAAAAAAAACAGGCTATCCAAGCGTTATGTCTAGTCTATTCAAAAATCTAGTCCTCCAACTAATCTGTAATATTAATCAACTGGCACACTGTTACTGGCTTGTTTTTAAACGTATTTGTAGTGTCTGGGAGAGCTTACTGAGGTCCTGGGAGTAATACAAAAAACACGAGTATTTTATCACATATCAAGTTAAGAAGAGAGTTGAGAATGTGACTCATAGCAGAGTATTTTTGCTGAATGTGGAGATGTTTAATATTGTAATGTAACACTCTGCCTCTTGTTTAGTTCAGTCTATATTATAGATACACTATCTAATGCGTTATGGTTTCAGTGCTAGGGGATTTTTCACGTTGGGGCATAACCCTGCATAATAATTTAATTGAGTTATTTAAGGACCGTTTTGTCACTTTGTAGTCAGTAGCATTGCTGTCCATTTTAGGTACACATACTTATTTAAAGGGCTTGAAGATCTCCACCTCGATGAAAGAATCATGCAGTTTCTCTCCATTTGTAACAACATGTTTGCCAGAGTTGACAGGTAACATTTTTTGTTCAATCAAACACTTGTACACCTCAGTCCAAACTTGTGACATCATTGCTTTCTTGTATATCTCATGTTGATTAGCTGTCTTTGCTACGATTGTATCCAAAAAATTGTAAAAGAAGATCTTGAGAGACCTCTGCATCCAGAGAACTTGAAACGAAACACTGAGGGCCAGTTATCATGAAGTGAAAAGAGTTAATAAATTTCCCACCATTTTGGAAAAATGGTGTATGGTACAAAATGTTAGAGAATGGGCCCTTTTCACAAAAGCATCATTTTACTGCAAAATTTAGCGATTTGAGTAAAGTTTTTAAAAAAGTAGTGCTGACTGCATTACACTAGAAATTCAAAGCCCAGAAACATTCTCTTTGTAGCAGTTTTGAAACGAAAGTGCCTTTGAGAATAGCAGAATGTAGCCAATCTTGAACATTATACTTACTAATCAAGAAGACTAAGACCATTCTACAACTCTGATATACCCATTTTTCTTAGTTATAACTCTTGCTTGAGCCTGAACCTCTGTGACGTTTGTTGTGTTACAAGGTGCAAAAAAGACACAACATTCGATCAACGGTAAAAGAACCTTTAATCCGCAGAAACGTGTCTCCGTGCCCTCATTCCATGAAGCACCGTATCTCCCTTACACAGGAATAACACCCTCTAACAGTTTGCATGTTCGTTTCTGTTTTTAGCCACAGTTCTCCTTTGTTTTGTGCTCGTCATTACTCCGTCACTCCTCTTGGCCCTCGGTCAGGTCTTATTCAGTGGGTTGATGGTGCTGTACCCATCTTTGCTTTATTCAAACGCTGGCAACAAAGGGAAGCCCTGGCTGCTGTACTGGTCAAATCTACACAGGTACTAAAATTAAAAAAAGGAATATATAACTGAAGTTTGTGTACGGCTTGGCCTACCAAGTCTTGTTACTGGTACATGTCGACTGACAAACGTCCGGTGAATTTGTGTGTCAGGTTGTAATGTCACCTTTCTGGAATTCCAAGGCAAAGAATTTGGCTTGATTCCAGGTTGTTGTGCCATGTAGTAAGTACATGGAGCTGATGCAAGCAAGGCTGGCTGAGCTCAGGCCACCACTTTGACAAGAGACAGCGCTCCTTATTGGTAACAATTTGATATTTATTGGAACATGTTAGTAAGGTAAAGTTTTATCTCCATTCCAGGGTGCTAATCAACCACCCCCTCCGCCAATGAAGCCAAGTGAACTGTACTACAGCAAAGTCACTCCTGCCTTGAAGGAAAAGGTGACAACTTATTTCTTTGATAAGAGATACATGTAACATGCTATTTAGACAAAAGATATATTTGTGACACCTGGGTGTGCTTTTTTTCAGGGTATCACTGATCTGTCCAACAGAAGAGACTGGCCCCTGTCTGTTATGCGACAAGTATTGGAGGAGCTTATGAAGGAAACACCTGGTGACCTCTTGGCCAAGTAAGTTGACAAGTGCCCCACCCTCATTCGCTGTTTGCTTAGTACATTTAAAACTTACCTTCTTAGCTAGACTGCATCTCTAGTGCTATAAGGATCTAATCTTGTTGCCAAAAAAGCAAGCTTTTGTGCGAGCCTTTCTAGAGTGTGAGGGAGATATATCTACTCCAGGAACGTGCATTCCGCGCACATTGTAAACATTGATTTAAAATTTTTCTGTCTATATGTAGTATGTGCTGCTCGAAAAAAGTCAACTCATTGTCCTGAGTTGAAAACAAAAAAGAAATTTTGCAAACGTACCGTGGTGTTTTACGCAATAAAGCGTAATTCATTGAGAAACCCATTGCATTGCATTATTCATCCAGACTGCATACGTAGAGCAAAAATTATAAGACTGCGCGTTGTGTTGTTTAGGGAGCTATGGTGTTCCAGTACAAGTGCAACTGAGTGGTGGCAGATGACGCAAAGCTATGCTCGTTCTACTGCTGTCATGTCTATGATTGGTTACATTATTGGCTTGGGAGACAGGCATTTAGATAATATGCTGGTGGACTTTACTACTGGGGAGGTGAGCAGCCTAACGCCTTTTGGAAATAATGTATAGAGGTTAACATTTAATTGGTAAAAGATGCATACAGTGATTCTGATACCAATTTTAAGTTCAGTCTGCTGTTTATTAATGTCGCACACAAGTATAAAGACACCATTCAGCTGGAAGCAAAGGGTGGGAAGAGTACCGACCTTAGCATCGCATTATCGCTACTCGCCAGATGAGGGAGGTTAGCGATGCACTAGAAGTAACTGCAACTGAAAGCTGCCATTGACAAGTCTTCACATGCTGTCTTTATGGCTCGTGAGTACATCCTCCTTTCTCTTCTCCCCACCACTGGGACGTTTTAAGAAATGTTGCCAGCGACGGGGAGTGATTGGAGACGTTTGTATTCGCAGGCTGATATTTCTGTTAGTTTGTGAATAGTAGTCTGCTTAATTAACATTGCTTGTACTGTTCTTCTCCTTGTGGCAGTTTCACTCATTATAATTATTCCATTATGCTGGTCATTATCCAGAAATCAGTGACCAGATATGCTCAAGATGTTTGGCTCGTTGATTTTTCAGGTTGTACATATTGATTATAACGTGTGCTTTGAGAAGGGGAAGGGATTGAGAGTTCCTGAGAAAGTTCCCTTCAGGATGACACCAAACCTGGAGACGGCTTTAGGAGTTACAGGGGTGGAAGGGGTATTCCGTCTGTCTTGTGAAGAAGTCCTAAAGATTTTAAAGCAGGGACGCGAGACACTGCTCACTCTTCTAGAGGCTTTTGTTTACGACCCTCTAGTGGACTGGACCACTGCAAATGACACTGCTTTCGCCAGCGCATTCTATGGAGGAGGAGCTCCGGGCGTCGCTGACAACAAAGTGAATAAGAAGGAGATGGAGAGAGATGTGACACAGAGCTTGTTTTCTTCACGTGTGGCTGAGATGAAGGTTACATGGACTAACAATAGGTAAGCACAGTATAATCTGTATTGTCATTCAGCTGATTGTATGCAGTGAATAGTGGATGCACTTTCTTCCATATCGGCGGCTTCTTCACTGAAAATTCCTTGATAGGTTGGGTTACTTTTCTGACAGTCACACTGCAGAGATGGTTTCATCAGTATTTTCCCAAGATTCATGATTGGTAGGAACTGACTATAAGTAGTAAATTGCCATTGTTGCCCAAAGTTGCCCCGATCATAACACTGTTAGTCTGCATGGTTCAGATGATCAACAGTTGAATATTATTATTTTGATGTGTAACTACGAGGTTTTTTTTTTGTAACAGGGATGAACTTCTTTCTGGCATGACTAAGTTAGATGAACAGTTAGATATGTATCTAGGGTCGCTGAAACAACTGAAAATGTTGGACTTGTCGACTGAGGAGCTTAAAGATCAGCAGGAAACTCTACAGGCAGCCATCAGTAACCCTCAACATCCGCTTCACACAGTCCAGGCGAAGTAAGTCATTCCTTGGAATTCTGGGGAAAACAAACCTCCTAAATTCTCTAGTTATTGATATTTTTACGCATCAGCAATAAACAAAATTGCCCTTTCAAGTGGCTTTACTTCTCTTTGTACAAGCGTGTTGAAAGTCACAAGCTGTTATACGTGTTCGGTTTATCATTATGGAAATCTGGCCTTTTTACTTGACATGCTACAAGTTTCACCATTTAAGCTATTCCTTCTATTTTTTTTGGTGATAAGAGTTATAATTGTACTTTTCCCCAAAGGTTTGATGAGAAAAAGAAGCTGTTGACTGATCATGATGCAGTGTTACAAACCATTTCAGAGAAACTTGCTGAATGTCAACAATGGCAAGCCCAACACAAGGTACAAAGACCACTACCCTAGCTAATGGAAATTTTTATTATTCTTGCTGGAACAAGCCGATAAACATAATCTTTCCAATGACACCTCAACTTTTACATGCAGGTCCATGGTCCCTGTACGACGTGTGACGTTGTGACTGATCACGACTCCAGTAATAACTTATCTTGCGTTGTAAATATGTCTGTAACCCCAAGAGCAAAAAAAAGGACAAGTTTAAACGCAGTTGGACCATCTGTTCTCCTTAGAAGACTATTAGGGTTCTTGATTACACTCGACCAGTCAAGTTTTTATTAATCTATTGTGGTAGCTATTTTTATCATGTAATGCTGTGTCCCTTGAATGACGTTAATGTATTAATGATTGCTTTTTTCGCGCCTTGCTCTTGCCGTCTACTGACGAACTGATGTGTTTGTTGTTGAAAGGCTGCAATGGTGACAGTTCATGGACCACAACTGGCATCTCTTGCTAGTGAACTTCTTCAGCCACTGGATCTAGGTACGGTAACACGTGAATGAGTATTTAATACCTGCCTTACACAGCATAGGTAAATCTAAAGTAGAAAGTCATTTACAACGCAAAGCATGAAAGAACTTTCATAAAAAAATAAACAGAGATCCGGCCAGGCAGCAACAAGACAAATTTAAAAGACGGAGTGGCTAATAAGCACCCTGTGTGACATATTTAGGCTAAGATTATTTTTTGAAGATGTGGTGCTAACCAACAGCTATACTTTAAATCCCAAGAATCTTGAAGCCTGCACTGCACATGCCCGGCCCTCCTGGTACATATCATTCATAGTCAGCAATGAAATGACTTAGTTGCAAAGCAGCTGATAAACATAGCTGTCATTTTAAACTTCAGTGACTAAGATCTTTCATTATATTGCCTCACAGGTCTTCCAAGTTTTGCTCCAGCCATCAGTTTCCTTCAAGGTGCTGGCCAAGGGCACATTGTGAACCAGGTGATTGACACATTCAATCGGAAAATAGTACATCAATACATTCTCCCCTCCCCACCCCTCCAAAAAAAGCGATCAAACTTGATAACGGCGGCCGATTCGACTCACAAATTTCAGTATACATCCGTCCATCCCGTCCATACTGCAATGTAACGCTTCGTATTGTAGTAAAAAAAACTTTGGAGTTTGTATGTTCTATAGTAACAACTTTAAACAGGAATGTACCAGCTGCTACCAGTAAACTTCCTCTGATACTGATACTCATGTTTGATGATCAGCCAGGACTGAATCTTGGTGATATTGTCTTTTAACAGTCAAGGACGGACAAGTGCTCCCTATTTGAAAGACGTATGAATTCAAAAATTGTAAATTGATTCCCTTCGTTGATGATGATGATGATGGTGATGATGAGTCGAGACTCAATTTAAATATTGAGTTCATTTAACGAATGGATTATTGAATCAACGAACAGTTGGTGCCACTGATGGGCAATTGTCCGTTAACGACGGGAACCCCCGTCTGGCTTTGACTATAAAACGTTCCTATAGCTGCTCTTTGGTTGGGTTTGTGTTTATCCAATTTTGTGCTAATGTAAGTCTTCTGTTTATAAACAGTGTGAACAGCTGGAAACTGAACTGTCAGGCCTGCTTCACCAGCGACGCACCATGTTCCGTACTTGTCTGGATTTGCTCCATACCTATGCTACTGTGACAACTCTTGTATGTGATAAGATTTGCTGCTTTTTATTTATTTCATTTTTATACAGTAACGTAAAACCTTCTGGGTTTGATGATTGTTATATTAAGATTGTGAACATAACACACTCAGTTAATTAATCTACGATGTGGTTTGTCTGCAGTTTCCGCCAGATTATGTACAACAGAACAGGAGTTACGAGTGGCAGAGCTGGCTTCAGTCAATAGTACAAGATTCGTCCACCAAGAAGTATGAGTGAAATAACATTTTTTAATATTAAGATGATCAGCATGAAGTTTCTCCTTACAATATCAATGCTTTAGAAAAGAAAGTGGTCTTGAGAATTGAGTACATGATCAGGGAAGATGAGTCTCATTGATATTTCAACAAATTCTCCCCACAACCTCTATTGAAAAAGTATATGGACAGTACATGAGAATCTCAATTTTAATATTAGTGTTTAAAGGGTTAACTGGTCTCAACTTAATCATTATCTCCCACGGTAAAGAAATGTGACATGTGACTTGACTGGAGAAAGTTAGCGTGGATAAAAAAATCTCACGGTTCTCCTTTTTAGATGGGTGCTGTATGGTGTCGTTGTCTTTATGGAATGGTAATTGTAAAGATTTATATTTTTCCTGTAGTTGCCAAGCTGTGCTAGAGACAAGTGAAAAGGTACACAGTAAGCCGGTAGCTGACAGTCCTCTGACTCTAGCAGAAGTAACTGGGTTTATGGCCATGGAGGTGAAACTACAGAGTAGTTTGACTGAGCAGAATGCCAAGTTTATCAAGGTAGTTACTGTTGATATTTTTTATAACCTTTCTTTCTTAGACTAAGTATCATCCAGTGTTTTGGGCCCCATTTGCAAATATACGTGTTGAGTCTAAGGTGAAAATCATGGGGCTGTTTGCCTTTACCATTTAAAGAAAACGCTTTCAGCAGTGAGTTTGTTTAGTTCTATTTGGTAAGGATTTTTACAAAATTATATTTAACTTTTGGGAGGTGGAAGAGTTGATCATATGCTATTTACTTCGCCTCAGTGATTGTCTTCTTTTTCTGGACGTAGATGGTATTGTGATCCTATTATGTATTTTCTTAGTTTTCTGAGCGGCGAAAGCAAGAAAGTGTTGAGACAGCATTCCTCAGCAAAGCTGTCGGTGAGGCATATGCAGCGTTGAAGAAACATCTTACTGGTAAGATTGCTGAGAAAATCATTGCTATGTATAGTACAATATACTTGTGAAAATGCGATGAAACACTAGGCTGAAATGAAGATTTCTTATGCCATGCCTTCTCAACTAACTTGGCCAACTTTTCTTTCTGTATACTCCCTCTCTCCTTCCCCAATGTTGAGAATAGCTTTTATTTGCAAATGGGTAACACGTGAATCAACATTGGCGAGGGCGTAACGGAAGTAACGTGACAAGTGTTTCAACAAATGTGGCAAATGTTGTAGATAAGGCAGTAGTCATCTGGAGAAAGGCCAAAAACATCCCTACTATGCTACTTATGTCCACAAGAATCAGTTTAACTTTGTCACCTCAAGTGATGCGCAAATCCTCGATGTATTATCATTAATCGCATAGATTTGGCATACCTCATGAATTTCCCAGTACAGTTGCATTTTGTTATTTAGGAGTGTTGTGGTTCTTGTAACTAACAGATATATTTGACACTGTTTTACAGGGAAGCAGCAACCCACATCTTTTCGATGTCTTGCTTGTGTACTGATTACTGCACTGTGCTCTCTGAATAAAAGGTGTCTGGCAATGGAGAACACAGCAAAAGGTTTGGAAACTAAGAAATATATAACCATTTTTCCAAAAGTTAATTTTGAGGCTCGCCTAGCTTGCTGATGTGGCTGTATTCCTTATTGATTTTGTTGTTCAAATCAAAAATTCAATGCAAAGAGATTTAGAAAGTCCGGCAAAGTTTTCGGAAACCATCCTAATACATCTCGACTCTGAATATGACTACCGCACAGGTTGTCGAAACGTCAGTCACTGTCAACAACAACAGTCCTATTCAGGACTACGTTCACCCGGACGATCAAACTCAACCTATTTTTGAAATGACTCCTGGGTTCAAACCTTTCACACATCTCTTTTTTGTTTTTGTCACTAATATTTGGAGCCTCGTTTCGATTATGAGGCTGACAACGTGCTCCGTAAATAGTTGGGGCGATATTATACCTGATCTAGGGCTAGATGGGTTTCGAAAGCGTGTGACGGAACTATCTAAATTTCGTCGGGGTATGAAGAATTGTTTCTTTTCCATTGGTGGCTCATTATATGAATCTCCATTCTCTTTAGCAATGTTGCGCGTAGTATTGCAGGCAGTGTTGCACTATATTGGGTATTGTTACAGATTCATGTGAATACGGGTCATTATGAGACGAATAATCTTACTTATTTGGTGATGTTGTGAGATGTGATATTAAACAGCATCATTCAGTTGACAACCAGTATTGTTTTTCGTATAGTGGCCAAGGACAGATTATCTGATCTGACATCAAGAGAAGGAGACTGGTTTCTTGACGAGCTTTGTTCCATGAGTGGTAATGTTAATCAGCTTCTCTTGCTGCTCAAGGATTACCCCTTGGTAAGTGAGAGGCAAATTTTTACTCTTGAATTCTTGGTGGCACGCCAAATGAGCCCTTTGCAGTTAAAAGAGGCACGTGTTACGAAAACACTTTGCTGACTTCGTCCGGAACCTTGAAAAGAAAGGAAATTAGCTTATTAAGTGATTCTAGCTCTTTGTTTCCTTTGCCCCACTTCGTCTGTTGCTCTCCGGCATGGTGATTTTGTCCCATGCGACTGTTTAGCTGCTAAGGACCAAATCCCCTCTTCATACGCATACACGAGACAACTTGGAAGGAAATTCTTGGCAGTTTATCTTAAGTCCTCTAAGGCTATTTTCCACTCACCTCTTCAATTAAAAAACCTTCAGAGTTGTAAAACAGAAAAGCTGTTTTGGTCTTGCTGTACCCCAAGAATCCAAAGCATGTACTATATGCCCGTCTTTTCTTTGGTAACAGGAGGTGAAAGAGGATCAACAGTCTTTGTTAAGCCGGGCGCAGAATTCCATGAAAGCTGTCTTGGGAGTACAGAAAGTGTTTGTGGCGTTGCAGGTACAGAAAGATCTTCAATTTCAGGGGTTTTTTTGTTGCCTAACCTTGTGAATGAATTTTCTTTTATCCAAATAATACTATGTTGACTGATTCTGTTTAATCAATAGGAACTGATGACAAATTTCAGGACAATCATTGTTCCAGAGGCAGTGAAAAGTATCTACGCCGAGGATCCAACTGTGTTTGCTGTTGTCCAACAGCTCGAAAAGGTGGTGTGCTCACAAAAGATGAGCTTGAAAGAACTGGCTGACAGCATTGAAGCTCGTCTCCAGGAAAAACATGCAGCGACCGAGGTTGGTTGACTTAACATACAGGGAGAAAGATTTAAATTTATGCTTTTGCCTTCAGCCTACGACGTCAGTTATTTAGAGAGGCTTGAAACGAAGCTGCGAGGCTGTCAGTCTGTAGAGATGTGCACATCTCTGAAAATGTGATTTCTGTTGAACCAATCAAAGGTGATGCTAGTCAAGAAAACAGTCACTGTCGTTCTTATCTCTAAGACGCGTACTGTTCGGACCGGCCCTAAGTGTCCGCCCACTAACTTCGAAAACGTACATCATCCTCCCTCCCAACGTGGTAACGACGCAGTTCCCTTAGACCCGCCAAGCCCCTTAATTCCATAGCTACAATCGGCGACAAAATGAGTTGAGACACTTCGCCCAAAACTGGGCTTTTTTACGTTTTATTAACTTCAAAAGGAGGAAACATAGCTTTCCTCCCCCATCCCCTCCGTGCAATGTTGTGCCCTTGTTCTAGCTACCTATAGAAAACAAAAACGCCCCACAGGGAAGGGGTGCGGATTCTTTTGTTCTCCGAAGTTACCCTATTTAAGTACAATGTCTCAACAATTTTGTCGCCGATTGTAGATTGATCTTTTTTATTCGAACCCATTCTTTAATCGGTTATATTGTCGGAATTGAAGGTAATGCAGACACCAAATTGGTTGTATAGCTCTCTCTTCTGCCATCCTTTTCTCTCGCACTACATCTCTCCCGCTACCCCATATTGTCGTCTTGAAATTTTGGTAACTTACGCCGATTTTGCTGACCCTCTTTTTAGGTGCATAGTGCAGAGGAGGTCGATACAGCAATCCAAGAAATAAGTGCTCAGTTTGAGAAGCTGCTACATACCAACAAAAACTCCGGATCAGATTCAGGTAGATTAGAAATATATCATTGAAAATAACACACCGCCATGCAATTACGTTTTCCATCTACTCGTGTCTGAAGCATCACTTGCCCTGTATGTCCTAATGTTTGATTTTAAGGTGTACTTTATTCTGTTAACTTCCTTTCATAGAACGTCAGTGACGGCTTTAAATGTTAATCCTGTGTTTGAGCGTACTAACAAGGCAATATACAATTTTTTATAGCCCTTGAACCAGCTTGCACAGTCATTTTCAGTTTGCAGTTCAGTTAGAGCGATTAAGTACTGCTTTGTCAGGTTCTCCCTTAATAAGTGTATATAGTGTGTAGATCACCAGTGTTCTTTGCTAGATAGCATTTCACTCCAATCACAAAGTGTCCAGTGTCCGTCCTAAGTGGGCAAATTGAAAAAAAAAATGTGCGAGGTCTTCTCCATGACAGACTATCCGTTTTTAAGCCCGAAGCGGGTGACGGCATTAATCCGGTATTCCTAAAAGTGTTGTTACACGGGACGATTTTTAACGGTGATTTTTAGTCCAGCACAACGTTGCAGTGTTGAAACAGTGTTGTAACTATTCGAAACAATGTCGCAACAATCATGCAACGCTATGTTGCGCTAAAAATCGTCGTCGCAAATCGTCTCGTGTAACGTCACCCTAAAGAGAGGTTCAACTGTAATGGAAATGTTAGTAGACCTTAATAATAATGGCAATTTTCGTCCTTTGTTTTGGGTTATAAGGCGAGGACAGTAGCGGCTCCATGACTTCAGGTCAGATGTTGCTTGCAGGCTTCAATGGACTCTTCACCAAAGTTGCGGGTGAACTTACAGACATGTTCACGTCTTTTGAACAAGTGCACTTCGATAAGTTTGAGCTGCAGTTTGATATTGTTAAAGACGCACAAGATCTTCAGGTAAGGTTTTTCTTAACGTGTATTACACGGGATAAACGTATTCCAAGCAACTTTCATGACTTTGTTTATGTCACCAATTGGTGCAGTGCGCCAGAAGATTTTGGCATGTTTATAAAATTCACTACTGCCATTTTAAATTATTTATAACTGTTCACCTCATCATTGGCATATTGAATTGTTCCGAAGTTGGCACTTACAGTGAGTTATTCTAACTTGGATAAGAAGGGGGAAAAGACAGTAATAAGAAAGAGATGCATTCTTCTCTTTCAAAACCTTATCACCGTGCATCGAACTCACAAGTCCACAGACACTTCAGTTGAAAGAAAAGTACTCGCTTCTGATCGGTTAACGAATTATCAAAGTAAGATTCCCTTTGTCGTGAACATGTCTCGTGACTTGTCGATAAAAGTTGGTTAACCCCCTTTAAGTTCGTTGACTTGTACTGTAATAATTCGTGATGTCTATGTATCTACTACTTGCGAAAACAAACAAGTATGTACTATTTGTGAAAACAAACCAAATTGAGTTAGCAGATAGATTTTATCTTTTTAAATAAGGCGCTAAATCTCACAAATGTACCAACAGGCAACTAATAGAAGTAAAAAAAGACAGATCTGTTACCTATTTCGTGCGACACGTGCTGCGTATTTGAAACGCTATTTACGCTTGTGCTAAGAAGTTAAGATGAGTTGTTTTGCATGCTTTAAAGTACAGTGATGCTATAACTTTAATCTATTCTAAATACTTTTTTCTTTGTCTCTTTTAGCTGACAAATGGTACTAAAAATGCTGAGCTCCTCGGCAAGCTCTTCTTCCTCAAAAGGCTGGAAGTTATCATTTCGTTCTTCAAGAGCTGTAGGCTACTTACACTTTCTTTGAAAGGTACCTGAAGTGTCTCTGTTTACAATTTTGACGTTCTTTCCAAAGTTAAGACAAAACAGTGAAAATTAGAAGGAAAACGTGTGAAAGGGATTGTGCAACCTGTGGTCACTGGTAAGCAAGCAATCTCTAGCCAAGGTTTAGGTTAGATAAACTCCAAGTACTTCAAAGATCTGGGAAAAAATTGATTTATCCCAATTCTTGATATGTTTAACTGAAGAACTATACCCTCACTCAAAAATCTTTTGCGCTCGCTTGTTACAGTTCGTTTTTTTGTTATAAGGACCCATTCGTTGTGGTGTGAGTTGCGAAGATTGTTTTAGCTTCTTCCGACCCGGAAAAGGGTGTCCTTGTCCGCGTACAACGTGTGCCTTGTTATGGGGGTTCATTTTACAATGTTTTAGGATTAAAATATATGGGGACCGCAGTCAATTGTCCTGTAGCAGAGGTTCCACTGTTTTGACCAGAGTTCGTTAATCTGAGCCACAAGTTAATCATGCTCCTTGATTTTATTCTGGTTTAGGTGTGTCTAGTTCAGGGAGCAAACAAGGAGCCATAAATTGTTCAACAAAAGCTTCACACAACTTGTTCGCCAACACAAACAACATATGTGCTGAAACCAAAACATGGAACCCAGAGACTTGTTACAGTGAAGATGATCTGGCTTTGCATGTCAAGCATTTCATAGCTGATTGCGTGCAGCAGTGCATCATGGGCTTGCCATCACAGGCCTTAGCTGTAGTGGTCATCACATTCGCCAACATCCTGGGAAATAAAAATGAGAGTTCCAGGGATGAAGGTGCTGTTTCTCTCGAGGATCATTGTAAGAAGGTACGTACCTTTACGAGGTCTGGCTGACCTGTAAACTAGCTTTATAGCTAAGTGTTAGTCACGTTAATAAAGTATGTTTGTATGTATGAGGACAGTAAGGAGACGGTATGGCTGAATAGCTTCGGACAGTAGATTCCAACTTCCGGATTTAAATCCTACTAGGGTGGGGTAGTTCACTGTTGCCTTGGGTTAAACTCCTCAGTGATGCCTGTCGCTCGCAAACACAATTGCCTCCAGCCTGTTAACATTCCTTCGTGTTGTTTTAAGCTAGCCTTTACCTTCCCTCTCCTCGCGATGTTTTTTACACTTTCCCCAAACAGAGAGCCTGTTCACAGGCTATTTTCAGTTTATTGCAATATTTCTTTCTATCCTCATCATTTTTCATTTGCATACTTCACGGCTAAATGTAACCTAGTACTAACGTTTCTGTTGTTAAAGGCATTCGCTAAGGATCAACTTTGTTTGAAAATAAAATTAACATTTTTCTGTTTGGTTTGCTAGGTTGTTGATACCAATGTGTCCAGTGGGTTCATAAAATCAAAACAGCTCTCCCAAATGAGCACCTTGACAAGTTCCTATGATGTGGCGTGGAGAAAACATGATTTTGCGAAGTATGTAACGGATGTTATCCCTTACAATAGTCAGGATAGCCCTGGTTGGGTTTCATCACAAGTCCTCGCCAGTAAGCTGGCAGTTGTCGTTTTGTTGACCGTACAAACAGGAAGACGTAATACATTTTTCAAAAAGTTCTTTGTCACTTCTTTACCAGAATAAGTGGTAGACATTTTTTCAAAGCTCGGATTTTATTTTACCTTCGAGTTGCTAAGAATGCTAATTAGTAACAGAAGAAAGCTGGCATGAATCCAAACTGTTATTTTGATATTTCTCGTTTACTAAAGAATTTAAAAACCTACACTTTATGACCAATATTTACGCCACAGTCTGAGAATCAGGCTTCTCTTTTCGCTCTCTCCGCGTTTTGTCTTTTCAAATCCCCTCTTTTTTTACCCCTAAGTAGGGCCTGATGTTAAGGTTCTTAATACGCCACAGGGCATTCCAGAAAAACTTGGCAGCTACTTTAACATATGTAGTTGTTAATGAATGTTGTTTCTCTTTCAGACGCCTGGATAACAACATGAACATATACAAAGGTGTCGTACAGAGGGCACAACTTCAACTAGCAAGATTTCAGGTAACGATTATTGTCTAAGGTTGAATTTTTGAGGATGTTTGATGGGAAAATCCATGATTCGTGAACGCATTGTGTTTATTTTTAAAACTGCATCGATCTATTTATAATAATTATTCTAACTTTTACTTTGAAGAAAGGTGGGCAAATGTGTATGAAAATGCATTTTCGAGATTCTATTTCGGTAGTTAGGTACAGAGCGTACTCCTCTTTTTCCCGCATACTAAAAGAACTTTTATCAAGTTTGTCAGTGAAATGAATGATCCCAGGAACTGAGTGCCAATACTTTATAGCTGCTGACTCTAATGGCCCCAGTTACCTATGACCTAACCAGGCTCTTTCGTCCACTTAGTAAGCAAATTTAAGAGACCTGCTAATATTAGACGTAAGTGATAACGTTTCTGCAAAAGCGTAATAGCCCCTTGTAAATTATGTTTGTCTGTGTGTTATGTTCCATTAGTGGCTGTATGAAGATGAATTGTTACAGTGTCCCATGCGTGGAAACAACATGATCACACCAGCTAGAGCAACAGTTATGGCTGACCTAAAGAAGCGTGTTCAAGGGTTGCTTCACATGGACTCGCTTATCAAGGCAGTGGAAGAGAAATTTAATGCACAGGAATCCAGTATAGAACAGCGCCTCAAGTGGGCGGCCGGTGCGAACCCCGCCCTGAATCCAGTGCTTCAGAACTTCGAGCAGACACTAGCTGCAAGGAAGAAGCTAATGACTGTAAGTTCATAGTGCTGTAGTATTCCAGTCAATAATTGTCCAGCCTTAGACAGTGAGCCAACTCTGTGTTTTTATCAGTGTGTGTATACCATTTTTTTTTTTTTGTTCGGCTCGTCATTTTGCAGACCTACCTTGAAGAGGATCTGGTTTTTTTTGTTTGAAGTGTTATGCATATACCATGTATCTAGGAAACGCATTTAAGCGTGATTCCATATTAAGAATATTTATTATTGCGCCTTGTTAGTTTCTAATTAACCCTTTCAGTGCCAAGTGTGGCCAAGGGCAAAATGCAACAAAAATTCCCAAATTTCGTTTTGTAAAATTTTGGAAACAAATAGCACCATTTGAAAGAACAGGTAGAGAGGTTTCATTTGAATGGTCACGTCATAGGATTTTGTCCACAGACTCAAAAGTTTCAACTACCTTAAAAGACTCCAACATTCACTCTGGCAGTGAAAGGGTTAACGTGCGCGTTTCTCGTTTCCAGGTTGAAGGAAAACATTCTTCAGACATATGTAGCTTGTCAAATGCAATTCTACACTGTGAGGCGTTACGTACACAAACAGCAGATGCTCTTGCGATAGATAATGCTATGACTGGCTTGGTCAAAAGGTAATTATTCTTGAGTAATTTGTGCAGTTTCCTTTTTGACGGATTTGACGGAGATTGACCTCTAATTAAATCTAATTATGCGTAACCTTAGATCTCCTAAGAATACCGAGAAAAAAAATTCTCGTTTATTTGCTTGTCTATTAAATTTTGGAAAATTATTAGTTTTACTTGAAAGTTTTGAAAATATAGTAACGTTCGTAGGGCTAGTGCTCACGACGTCCGCTTTTCCATCTCTTTACGGCTGCGTTTTCACCTTGCTTCCGAGTGTGACGTCTTACTGAGGACTTCAGCACCCTTCGACTAGTATGTCTCTTTTTGAACTTGGAACGTTGTTGTTGTTTTGCTCATAAGACGTTTCGTTTTCTGTCGATGTCGTTTTGTAAGCTCTCTAGTGTCATTGCAAATGGGTGTTACTCCAAAGACCATTTTATACAAATGATCACACGGTATGATGTTTGTCCGGTCTCGGTATTAGGTGTCTGCATATAAATGGAGGACTCTTTGATTGAAAATGGTTGGTCAAAAACTATGACGTGGTCTAAGGTGGACCTTTAGGCTGCTCCACAGCCGTTTTTAGTGTCGTCACGCAACGCTAGGGGAGGAGCGTTGCGTGACGACACTAAAAACGGCTGTGTAGCAGACTAAAGGTCCACAATGTTCGTGGTGAAAGTTTTCTGTAAGATCGAGACTTACTCATCTCCTTACTATTATCCGTTAGGCCTGATTGTATAGTTATTTTAGAGTCATGCCACCAAAAAAAGGGAAACAAGAAACGAATATATGTTACTCACCAAAATCTGTTGTCCACGCTCTTTTGCCTTGGATTCGACAAAGGTTAAACGAACTTTATTTTTATTAATTTTATTTATTGCTTTCTCCTTAGATGTCAGCAAAGTTCTGCCGAGCTAGAGAACTGTTCGAAAAAGCTTCATGACATTGCAGAGGTTGCAAAGAAAGTGAAGGTGTCATATCCGCCGGAAGCACCCATTACTTTGGAGTGGATGAAGAACAAGTTAGAGACCGTTGGTCAGGATGTGGCCTCAATCAAGACTAGGAAGTCACAGGCTACCCAAGCCATCATGAGTAATAGAGTAAGTTGATCAAAGATAGGCAGTAAATGAATGAAAGTAGTGAAAAATTATAGATAAAACGATGTTTACTGAAGTAAAATCTCAAATGTTTGGGAACACTTGCTGAACGTTATTAAGAAGAAAGTGGCACTTCCTGTGGCTGCCTATTTACCAGTTGGAGGATATGGAGGATATGCAAGTTGCGGTTAGTAGATTGGGCCTCCCGGAACAAGATAAAAGACTTTCGTGCAGATGTGCAGGAAAACGTCAACTGTATGGAGCCCTAGTAGCTACAGTCCACTTAACGAAGTGATTGTTTGAACACAGATACAGTGGACTCTCTTTTAACAGACACCTCTGTAAAACGAACACCTAGAGTTGGTTCCTGCCTTTCTTTATTCCCTTTATTCGACTCTTTATAAGACGGACACCTCTCTAAGACGGACACCTGGTACCGGCCCCAGAGGTGTCCGACTTAGCGAGAGTTTACTGTACAGTGGAACCACGTTATAAAGGAATTATCTATATATAACGAAGTCCTCGCCATAACGAACGATATTCCTCACCAAAGCAATAGTAAAACATGAAAAAAAAAATCTTGAAATGGCGATCACATTTTACCAATTGGCATTTCGTTATATCGTGGTTCCACTGCAATCATTTCATCTTTCCTATCATCCGCCAGGAATCCATCAAGTCACAGGCCAGTACAGTGAAAACAGTTATGGTGTCCCATCAGCAGCTCATTGGTGAAGTGAAATCCATGCTCACCACAATGGCAAAGGTAAGGTTTTCTTTTCTCGGGTAACGTTCATATTTTGTTGTAATAATTTAACTGATGGAGCCCATTCCTTGTAAGCTAGGTTGTTTCCCTTGGGCTTCCTCGCCATGAGCTTTTTAAATACCTTATTCTAGAAAATTGACAATGCACTTTATTAACGCGATTTTAAAACATTCGCTAGATCCATTTACAGAGGCATAACCTGAACATTAACATAGGTAACAATGACTGCAAATCTTTCTTCTTCTCCTTGACATATATGAATGTTGAGATTTTGTAAGTGCAGCAAATTTGTGTTGAATAAAGTAAGATGTTCATCGAAAAATTCGCGTTAATGTAAACCTAACTTTTGAAAAGTTTGCGTTAATTTAGTGCAACGTAAATTTTTTTCGTGTTGTCAACGTGCATTGTTAATTTCCTAGAAAAAGGTATTTAGATAAATAAATAAACTGAACTGAACGTGTAACAAGAAGCATGATATAATTCGAGTTCCGCAATTGAGAGGCTTTTTTAAATGATTGTTTATATTGGTTCAGGATGAAGAGGCTGCAGAGTCCCGCCCAGCTAAGCTGTTTATATCAACACACAACCGCCAATCAGAGGAGTGTTCTCAGCTTATTAAGAGCATCTTAGCAGGTATGTGCACATTTCACTTCAGCAGTTCCTAGTTACTCAAATCACAACTGGGTAGAGACCTTAAAGCTTGCTTTAGTTTGCTGTGATGTATCAAGTTCCCTAAGAGATGCTTCTTTCAATATTCACGAACTGAATAAATCTCCATGTTGTGTGGTGTTTCTCTATTTTATAGTGTGTTCTGGAAAGGTCAGTGATGGAAGGGACAACTTAGAAGACAACATAATAGAAGTAAAAGCCATGGTGAAGTCCATCAAATCTCTGGTGCAGTGGTAAGTTATGCCCCATCCCTGTACAAAGCAAACCAGTTTTCCGCGTTTTGCCTGCTATGTATCGAGTCGTTAGTTCAGTCATTAATATACCGCATTAGCTATTTCTACTTACCGTTTGTGTTGCTTGTGCCACTGGGAGGCTAATGTTTAATCTGGTACCGAGATCTCTTTTCGACGAAGCCAAACAAGAGATCTGGGTACGAGATTAGGTAATAACGAGGGTGGGGTGGGTGGGTGCTCGAGAGAAACAGGAGCAGGAATCCACTATGATTATCAGACGTTCAAAACAAGTGGAAATCAACTGATTGCAATTAGCTTGATTTGTACATAGCTAAATTCCTCTAAGTTGAACTTAAAATTGAATCACATGTGGTTTCAAGTCGCCTAACGCCCGGTTTAAACGTCGCATTTCTCATGTACCGTCTCTAATGCAAATGAGCGAGAAGAAAACAATTTCCTCACTAGCATTAAATTTGGCACATGTGAAATGCGACGTTTAAACCGGACCTTAAGCACAATAGCCTTTCACGCAAAGGTTTTTAGGGCTTCGTCGCACACACATGTTCCTTCCCTCCTTCCTTCGTGATGAAGGAAGTGCAGAATCCCTAGAACGTCTGCGTCGGAGGCTATAGGTACATTCACAAAATCAGTGAATGTGAAGTGATGAAACTGGTAAGACCTTTCCTCTGTGCAGTTTGTTTATTGGTTCTTAGTTCTATATATACATCAGTATTTGTTTATTATTTGTAGGGTTCATGACCACCTTCTGTCGCTGGCTTCACCTCTTGTTCCTGATGAGTCTGGTTCCAGTGGAGGAAAAACACCCATTGCAGCTCCACCACCCACATTTGCATCAGGTAACTTGAACTAAATTACCTCCCTTTTGTCAGCAAGTCTCTCCAGAACTGTGAAATATATACTTTGTACAACAAAAATGCCATGCTATTCTTTTCTTTAGGAAGAAACCCGCCTAATCCTCTCTCTTTCTCTCTTTCTCCACCCAGCTGTATAAAAGAACCCTACTTGTGGGCAGTAGCCTCATACCTCTTTAAAGCCTAAAAATTTATCGGACCCATTTGCGTTGCAGCTTTGTTGTTTTATTGCTAGGTTCCATTGCTAACTTTGTTCGTTCATTGTCATCCCAACCAATCCTGTGAAGCCTTTTTACTGCTGCGAGGAACCTCCCTTGGCGAGGGATGCTACTAAATGCTATTGCGTCGCGATTTGTCGTATTTAATATCAAAGTAATTCTTTGATGAACTTTCAGTAATTGTTGTTGGCGTTGTGTCAAGTGAATTTAATGTATTTTTCTTATTCTCCAGCTCTTCGCCAAGGTGGCAGTGTTGCTGTACAAGGTAGTAAAGATCCTGTGGCATCAGACAGTGCTGTCTCTTCTCATCCAGTTATCCTACAGAGGGACATGACAGCCAGTCCATCCGGCGGCGCTGGTTCACCAACTGCTTCGTCCAGACAGATGGCAGTGGCAAGCCCTAAACGATTGTCAACCACAAATCTGGCAAGAGACCCCAGAACAGGAAAAGGTACGTGTCTACCTGTAGTATAAGCCAGAGTAGTATTTAAGCATTGCGTTTCGCAATGCGTTTCGCACTATGTGTGTGTATGTTTGGTTAAAAATTGTGATGTTTTGAATGATGATGTTCATTTTTTTTTCTCTCGAACTCGTGAATAATTTATAAAGTGAAAATAAAGAACATCAACGCCGTGAAGGAGATTCATTTAAGCTTTGCTCTGCTTCATTTTTACCATCCACTTCTCGGGGTCTTGATATTGGGAGAAACATTGTGCGTTATGTGTAAAGAGGAAAGTCCTGTTTGCTTTGTGGTTCAGGTACGTCTTGTTAGTATCTCAAGACCGTCTTCCCAAAAATAAAGCTAAAAGACATAGATACTGGTATAAAGCATGATGATAGTGGAGACTGTTTCATAGTCGCTAAAAGGCGACAGTAACTTGTTACATCCGTACCATGCATTTTAGTCAACGCTGCGATGGTCGTTAATTGTGATTTTTTAACAGCTCTTCAAGAGAGGAATACCTATGCCATCAGTGTATGGCGACGCGTCAAGTCTAAGCTGGATGGCAGAGATCAAGATAATAACAAAAAAATGTCCATTGCAGACCAGGTTAGTGAACTGTTCACCTGTCACTTGAAATGTGAACAAACTCTTGATCGAGAAATTTTAAGGGTGTGAAAACATGATTTCTCTTCTGTGGCTAAGATGGAATGGTGGGGGGGTATGGTCGACTTAGCGAATTGGTCAAGGTTACGCTTTGTTCTTGCTTCACTACGCTCTTGAATATTGCTTGCCCATTCACTCATAACAGTGGTCAATATAAAGATTTTAGAAAATTCAGAATTTTTGTTTTTTGAAGAACCGAAATATAGTAGTGCTTGAGAGGATTCGTTTAAAGGGTAACACTATACAGTATTGTATCTAAAGACGCAAACGTTACAACAACATTTTGTCCCTCTGTAACTGACCTGTATGAGAAAGAAGGGGTTAAAATCGCTTATGATCTAAATGAAAAGGACTAAAAATACTTTATTCCGTGATTGTTTAGGTTGACTTTGTAATCCGTGAGTCACGAAGCTTGGACAATCTGAGCCAGATGTATGAAGGCTGGACAGCATGGGTGTGAAACCGCAGTGCCAAAGGAAAGTAGTGAACAAGTTCCTGTCTACCGAGACATAACTGAGATGGCCAACCACAGCCATCGTTGTAGCATCAAAGCGAGCCGTAAGTCGGGAAGCATTACCAAGGCTGCATACTGGAGTGTGGCTAACAACAGCATTTATTTAACAATGCAGACCGCAGGCCCGAGGTCTATTTTTCGATGCTCTTTCAACCAAGATAGATTTTGAAACGAGGTTCCGGCTTCAGTGGTTTTGGCAAACGACTTGGTTGAATTTATTTGAAACATCCGTCATTTAGTGCCTGTCTTATAAGGTAACTTACTCAGTGGCTTGTAACTCATATCTAAATGCTTGCTCCCTGTCACACCCTTTCCAAATACTAAGCAAACATTTAGTACAAGGCAATAAGTTACTTAAACACCTTATAAACGTAAGTTGGTCATGGCCAGCTTCACTTTTCCATATGTTCATCCTTTTATTTTGTAGAAAGCAGAAAATTTCAATACGATTAACTCTACTTTTTGCTGCAGCCAGTGGCCCTAGAAATACTTTGTAGCATTTGCTTATCTTAAGAGGGAACTGGCAAGGTCATCAAAGGATTGAAAAATGAAAACCATTTTTGATGATGCGTTAACGGTACATGGCTTATTAGTTTCATAGTGAAGCACATACGCTCCACCTGTTGACTGATGACAGGGGATTGAATAGAGTATTATGTGAAACACATAATGTTTAGTGCTTTAATAGTAAGCATACTATCTACTCATCTTTAGATCTAAAGTAACTTAAATGCAGCACACAAGTTCACCAGCAGAATACTTGTCACCTTAAGCAGTGCTGCCCAAAAACATCCGCGTTAAAACAACTGGTGAAGTTTTCTTTTATTTTTTTCTCTTGAGAGAGATTGTATTGTCTTGATTCAATTCTTTCTTTGCCGACCTCAAAGTGCGTTGCGCTACGTTTCTAAATTTGAATAGATAGATCAAATGAACAACAGTGAAAAACGCTCCTCTTTAAGTATTTCATATGTGCGGTATTTAGGGCTCGCACTACCCATAGAATGCCGGAAAAACTCCTGGATTCTTGTTAGTCCTAATGAAGCATCTCCTTTTATTTACAGTTACTAACCTTCTTAACTGCATTGGATAAATTTGGCGTAGATTCTGGTAGTAAAAGCTGTTGAATTGTTCTGTTAAGTAATTAATTAACGTATAACAAGCGTCTTACTCTTAGCGAAATATTCAAACTTCCAAATCCTGGAATCTTTGTACGCTGGGAAACTATTCCACCCCCTCTCAGTAGACCATGTGTTCTGTTTGTTTTACCTTCTTTTTTTTTTTTCAAATGAAACGGCGCATTTTTGTTTGCAATTTTACGGCTTTTGGTGGCTACGAAAGAGTTGACTCCAAGACGTTTATTTTGTAAGGTTCGTACTGCCTCTGTGTTGATAATGTTTTAAATATAAATTTTTGAACAAGTCACTTGCTTGAGATGTAGCCTCTTTATCATTCAAACGCAGAGTAACTGTATGCCAGCTTTGTTTTTGTGCGGGGGGAGGGGTCAGGTAGGATGGGGGTGCCCTTTCTATAAAGGCGGTAACGAAAACTATTTGAGGAAGATGACGTCATTGAAAGAATAACGATGTCATCGAAATGTCCCAAGAATTCTTGTCCATTATTGTAGCTTTGATGTGAATGTGGCTTTAGACCGTGTAGAGATCAATGTAAGTGCCTTTTGCCTATAGTCAATTAGTTTGTTGCTTTGTTTTATCGTTTGGCAGTACCAACCGTCATTTATTGTTGTCATTTCTACTCATTTACTCATATGTGTGTTATAGTTATTGGTGAAGGGATTGGCATTTTACAGTATTTACACATTTGGTAATCTTTTTCGAGTTTCCAATATTTTTCATGTTATTAGTTACAATTGAATCATTTATTATCGCTCTTTGATCGCTAATCTCTGGTGAAATCACCCTACTGATCTTGCTTGGTTTGAGCAACCAAGTTAAAAGCTAAGAGAGTTTTTAAGCTGCAGTTCTCCTAAAGTTAAAAACAAGAGTGGAGAGGAGTATTGTTTGACAGTAATTTCGGTGAGATTCGCAACGTGTAGGCTCAAATTTTGAAGACCAATCGGTTAGATTTGCTGTTATTTACTTTGCACGCTAAAATGGCTTGATAAATTTAACCGAAGTTACAATCAATAAGACTTCTCTGCGCATGGGGATGTACTTTTTATCCCCCAAGACCCACAGCTGATTGTGTTGAAATAAGTTACTTCAATATCAGTCTCTTTCTCCTCCCTTGTTTTTTATTATTTTCTCATTACCAACGCAGAATATTTCATTAGTCAGACCAGAGGTTAGCAGCAAAGAACATAAGGCTGATTTTTACGTGTAATGGTTTTGTCAATGTAACCCGCTAATATTGTACTTGTGATTTATATGCATACTAATAAATGTAATGAAAAAATATATAGTTTGCCTTCCTCTCTTCAAAAACTATGTTCTCACGAGTCCAACCTCAGCCAAGCCTTTCCAAGGTTGACAGGCGAGCACGGACTTCAGTTAAGGTGGCTCCGTAATTAATACAAGAGCATTTAGCTGTGACAAATGTTCCGTCACAACTTTTTCGATTTTAACGCGATGGCTACGAAACTTTGCAAAGAACAACAGATATCATTCGGCAATAATACGAAATATTCCGATTTCATTAATGGTAAATATTTCTTGAGAAATTAGCGCTTAAAAGGACCCTACTGTTCAAAGAAAATCGCGTCTAGTAAAAAGTTTTGCTGATATTTTTTACTGAAATTTCTAGTATCGGCTTTAATTGATATAATAAATATGCCAGAGGAATTTCAGAAAAATCGTTGGAGCAGAAGTCCGTAACAAAAAGTCGCTCAAAATTCAGCTGTGAAATTGTTTTGGAATTTCAAAAATAAATTACTATCAGGAAGAAGGAGACACCAGTTTCAATTTTCGGGACAAGTAAATTCAGTGTTTGCTAATTCTGAAAACAGAAGCCGATTGCCTATCGTGCTATTCTTTAGAAGGTATTTTTCAGTTTTAGAAGCACTATAAATTGCTCCAAACTTTGCTCTGACGTCGAATGGCTTGTTCCTCGACATTTTTAAAATATCCCTTGGCAGTTTTGGTTCAAACTCCTGCTACATACATTTTGATGTATTGCAATGCATCCTCAACGGCTTTTCCTGCTGTACGTTGTTTCCAATTCAGGAAAAAGGTATTAGGATTATAAGCTACCTTGTATCGAAGCTCAGACAAAACTGTCGAGCACCTTTGTTTATGACCAGAAAATGAGCACGAGCGGCAGCTCTGCGAGGAATTCGCACCTCAGCTAGGGGGGACGAATGACAATGATGCCTATGTCGGTGAACCGATCTGTATAAACATGTATTGCAGAGCAAAACATAATAATCAAGAAAAAAATACCCATTCATTGAAGGAAGGAGTGACAAAAATTTCAGAGTTGTAAATTTATTCACGGGAAGTATTTTTGCGATAATTTTATTTTGCACTGTGATGTTATTCGGTTCAAAGGCATGGTCATCATTGTCATTCGTCCCCCCTGGGTGAGGTGCGAATTCCTCGCAGAACTGCAGCTCGTGGTCATTTTGTAGTCATAAACAAAGGTGTTGGACAGTTCTATCTGAGCTCTGATACGAGGTAGCGTCCAATCTCAATACTTTTTTCCTGTGTTGGAAGCAACGAACAGCACTACAAGTCGTTGAAAATGCATTGCAATACATCAAAATGTATGCAGCAGGAGTTTGAGCCAAAACTGCCAAGGGATATTTTAAAAATGTCGAAGAACAAGTAATTCTACTTCAGAGCAAGGTTTGGAGCAATTTATAGTGCTTCTAAAACTAAGAAGTACCTTTTAAAGAATAGCACGATAGGCAATCGGCTTTTGTTTTAAGAATTAGCAAACGTTGAATTTACTTGTCCCGAAAATTCAAACCGGTGGCTCCTTCTTCCTGATAGTAATTTATTTTTGAAATTCCAAAACAATTTCACAGCTGAATTTTGAGCGACTTTTAGTTACGGACTTCTGCTCCAACGATTTTTCTGAAATTCCTCTGGCATATTTATTATATCAATTGAAGCCGATACCAGAAATTTCAGTAAAAAGTGTCAGCAAAATTTTTTACTAGACGCGATTTTCTTTGAACAGTAGGGTCCTTTTAAGCGCTAATTTCTCAAGAAATATTTGCCATCAATGAAATCGGAATATTTCGTATTATTGCCGAATGATATCTGTTGTTCTTTGCAAAGTTTCGCAGCCATCGTGTTAAAATCGAAAAAGTTATGACGAAAAATTTGTCACAGCAAAATGCTCTAGTATTAATTACGGAGCCACCTTAAAAACGGAGTACTGGAGACAAAAAGGAAGTGCAAGCAGGGGTGATTCGGAGCAGCACTTCCCCCCCCCCCCCCGTCCCGGCATCTCTCCTTTCACGCCCGCTTTTCTGATTACTCACTAAAATAACCCTTATTAACCCCTAAGAACAAAATTTGAATTCTCATTTGTTGCCCCTTTTCATTTCCCAGAGAAGTGGTGGGGAGAAGTTGATGAAATATCAAGCAAATTCATCTTGTGTGATCATGTCTGTAATTCTCATGACCACTCTGTTTTACAAAGCATTGATATTACAAGGAGAAATTTGATGCTGATCAGTCTTATTGCTCAAATGGTTAAAATAACCGATCGAAATAAGGGTAAAAAAAAACCGATCACGTCCGTCAAATTGGTGTCTTAAAACAATAAAACGGCGGCCATGTTGGTGTCCCAAACCATTCCAGTGAGAATTGAGCTCTTTCCTTGAGCGCCTACCATTGTACGGAAATTTCGGTGAAAATTTTCCATCAAATGATACTGTTTTTTTTTTTTTTTGGGGGGGGGGGGGACACCAAAAACAGGAACCGGATTGAGTTGTACCATTTACAAAATACCCGTAAATTTTTTGCTTTCTCTCGACATGAAGCCTGGCACTGGTAATCCAAACAAATGGTACAGAAAATTTTGGGGGTTTCGGTAAAAACGGAAATACCCCAAAAGGTATTGCTCTTTTTCCGGAAAATTTCCACTGGGATGAGCCGTTCCATTTGAATTCTCCCCAAAATTTTCAGGGAGAAATGGTAAGCGCTCCTTATGAAAACCTTACCGCCACCGCAGTGGATACGTTACTACAAGGCACGCCCTGCTACAAGGGTAATTATTGAGCGCTTACAATAATTTCTGTGGAACACCCGGAAAGATCAGTGATCCGAGATCATGGTACATCAAATGAACCGATGAATCCTTGTCCAGAGTGGATTCATCGGTTCACTTGATTAGCTACCATGATCCGAGTGATCTTGGATCATATTGATCCTGATCAGCATCTTCTCAAAGGACTGAGCTAACAGTAGAACTGGTGTGACATTATGTTTTGCGATAAAGAAAATAACAGGTCAGAACAAGAGTAGTAAAGTAATTTAATTTGAAACACTTTTTGTGGGAATTCACTCTCTTTGTAATCTGTGATGTGTGCTATTAATTTTTTTTTTGTCCATTGCGGTGCTCACAGTAAAAAAGTGCAAATCAGTGAATGCTGTTCATAATGTTAGAAGAAACTTCCCAGTTACCACCAAAGGTCACAGATAAGTTTTAACAACAAGCCTTACAGGGTCGCAAACAAACAGAACAAGCTGGGGTTGTAACCAATATTATAATTTTTCTGCAAACTACATTTCTTGGAAAATAAATTAACATACAAAATGGGGTACATTCCAGTGCCCTACATGACCAAAAATTATTGAAATTGTCTTTAGAGCTCCATTGAGCATAGCAAAAATATTATTACCCAAGAGAAAAACTCTCTTATATTACCTTATGATCATGAGTCTTGAAATTTGCATTTCACTTATACAGTTATAAGTTTCAATTCGGCATACTTCTTAAGTTTATAGTGATTTCCGTCATAAGAGAAAATAATTCTAAAAGTTTTGAAGGAAGAACTGTCCATAATGTCTGAGAACCTCTAGATCTATTACAATCATCCCAGAAGGAACTGTCCTCTGTCATTTTGTCGAGCTTCGTTTAGAATCCTGTTTCCTGAAGTAAGCCTGTAGTCATCACCCATCTGTCTGGTAAGGGGTTCACCTGCAAGAAAGTGGATATCTTTCCTCTATCATTCAAAAGTAAAACAACGAAAAAAAGGAGTGTGACTATTGATTATGGCTTAGAAGACAACGATTTATGAGAACACAGAGACTTCACGCGCTCTGATTGTATAACAAAAAACATGGTTGTTTTACCATTAAATTCATAGAAAAGGTTCAAAAATCCTTGCTCCTACTTTTCATTTACTTGTTTCTTTTTAATACTGGCGTGCTATAGGGTCATCCCGACCTAAATTTTCTCTCAATCTCATAATTCCAATGATTATTTCCCACATCCCAAGCATACGAGGCATACATGCACACAGTAATTTTCAAGGAGCTTTAATAACTCCTCTAGTGGGGTTAATTTAACACCTTACAGTGGAGTTATTTGTTTGGGAGTTATTTTAACTCCAAAAAGGAGTTTAAAGAACTCTTTTGCAGGAGTAAAAATCGCCCCAGATTTGGAGTTAAAAATAACCCAAGAAAGGACTTATCCTGTACCTAAAATTTTTTCTCCATTTTTGGAGTTATGATAACTCCTTAAAAATTACTGTGTAGTAGAATTAATCCTGAATCTCGCCCCCATTTGTCTTTAAAACCCTGGTTCATGAAAAACCTATTCCATTTCGCGACCCTTATATTATAACCCATGCCAATACGAGATGCTGAGAGGAACACTCAAAAAGGCCTTTGGCTCGTGTTGATGTAGTAGGTTTCTGTTTTTTCCTTTCTTCTCTAAACATTTTGCTTGAGTTATATTATGCTGGTAGAAAAAACAGGACGTCCTGCACGCTGCTTTAAAATAATGTCACATGAAGATTGCTGCCTTTACCTGTAATGATGTTGTAAGTGTAGTTTATAGGTGGAAGTCTTTTCACACCAGGACCTCGCTGTCTGCCAAGAAGGTCATGAACCTTGTAATATGTGGTGGAAAAGTTCATCTGTTGATGGAAAAATAACCCCTGGTTGTTCTAATTTCTGCCAGAAAATGTTTATTCAAACATCACAAGCATGGGTAAAATCAGCTAGGATTTGAACCCATGACTCCCTAAATGTCCTAAATACCGTTAAGGAACTTAAACCACATAAAAAGCTTAACTGAAAAGTGCGTGGTTATTTTATGGTCCTTCATCTGCAGGCAGAGTCAGGGCTTCTGATAATTCGCGCGGTCGCGGACCCGCGAAATCCCGCGAAATTCCCCAAAAAACACGAAATACCGCGAAATCCGCCAGAAATATTTCCAAATGCATGTCGGCAAAATACATTTAATAGTTATCTTGGCTATTAGACCTGTGCTATTCACCTCAAACGTCCAAATTTATCTTGAAACTTCGTCACTGCAACGAGTAAACGAAGTCTCAAAACTACCAGGCGTCTTAGATGAACGTTGCGAAAAACTGGGCACTAACCATAATGTTAACAGCTTTAGCATTTGCTCATTTCTCGAGCGAACTGTTGTTGAAAGAGCAAGTGATTATCCCTGTTAAAAAAACGTTAAACAATGCTGGTCATATCGACGCAAAATTGATCGATTTTAGCGAAATTTGCCAAACACATCCAGCGAAATCGGCTGTTTTTTACTGATTGTTTCTTGGCGAAGTTTCCCCCCAAAATTTCCCGTGAAATCGGCCGATTTTTCTGCGAATTTTGACTTTTTTCCCGCGAAAATCCCGCGAAATCGGCCGATTTTTCCGCGAATTTGCCCCTGAAAATGCCGCGAAATTTTGTTTTTTTTTCCGCGAAATATCAGAAGCCCTGCAGAGTAATCTCACAGTCTTCACCATACATATTTTGGATAAACTGCAAAACGTATTTCTCAACATTTTTTTGGCACAGAAAGTCGGTATAAACTACCAAACTGTTTTTTCGTTTTCTGTATTTCCTAATGACGCCCGAGAATCGAATGTTCCCTTTTTTGAGAATTTCTGAAATCTTCTTAACAGTGTCTTAACTTCTTTTGGACTTTGAGAAATCTTTTTGGATAGGTTTGGCCTATTTGAAGTCCTGGCTTTCGGAGGGATCCGAACAACTAGCGGGTTATGTCTTTATCATTCTAAATTTTTAACATACCTCTTCTAATCTTACTGTCAATAACAGTTTTTATTCCTGATAACTGATAACATCACCGATAAACATCATTGCATATTTTTATGTACTACAAATTCAAAACTACAAACCTCTTGAGAGCCCTGATGCCTTGTTGATTGAATCATATCCTCTCCAGCCATTTGACTGTTCCATCTAATGTTATCCTCATGGACCTCTTCAGCCTGTTAAAGTATCATCCCATAAGTAAGTTTGCTGATTATAATAATTATTTGTCTTTTTCTTCACAGGCAACTATAACACTAATTAAGCCAAACTGTTATTCAGTATAATAATTATTTAGGCCGAGCAAATAAAAACTGCCCCCCTAGCAAAAACTAACATGACTTATTTGAGGCTTTTTTTTTTCCTCCTCCAATCTACTACCCTGGCCTGGGGGGAAGTACTCCCTTATATGACCTATATGGGGATGTGCCACTGGACAGATTATGGCTCTTTACCCTAAACAGGGTGTATAATTTTGCACAAGTCTGTCCTAAACAGGGTATACAATTTCGGGCAAGTCTGGGCAAGTCCGGTGTCCACATTCTTTGTTCTAAACAAGGTTATAAAATCGAGGGTTTTGTCCTATTCAGGATCAGGGTTTCAAACCTTTGGCAGCCTAACCTATACCCAAATATTGGCTTAGTACCCCCTCGCCTCCCCCTCCCCCACCACCCCTGCAGGTACCCTGGGTACCAGTGGTTTTTCTTGTGTGTGGCAATGGAGTACAGTGGAGATGTTTTGAGTTAGTCGCTGGTTGGTGTATCTTCAGCCAAAGGCTGAAGCTATGAGCTCCCAGGGTACCAATCTACTGACTTCTATTCACCCCACCCTAACATTTTATTATCTTTACTTACCGGTCTGACTTGATGTTTCACATATGTTGTTCTTGAGTGAGTGTCAAGCTGTTGTCCAGGTAAAATTCCAATACTGAAGTTTGAAGTGTGTTGAGATGGGTACGCTGGTGGTCTCTGACCAGGTGGCAAATCCTTACGTCCAGAAAAATTCTGTTTAAAAAAGTGTACAGATCAGACAGTGTAAATACAAGATAATATCTGACAGAGACCTCTTAGTGTCCAAAAGAGAATAATACGAGCCTGCAGAGGACTCAGCCTGTAGGAACGCCCCCTTCCTAATAATAGGATAATGGGGATTTGCCGCTGGATGGGGTTGCATCTTCACGGCTGGACTGACTATAATGGAGTTACATTTTCATTACAGTAACTAGAATGGGATCGCACATTTTTGGGATTTGGGGAATCAAAAAATTCAGGTAGGTAGCGATTTAAAAATGGGAATATTTTTACTTCATTAAGTTTAACCGATGTGTCAATTCATCTCAAGATGACCTAGTTAAAAGGCTTTATAAAGTCAATTCATAAACAGAAAGTTACTAAGTGGGATCATCAAAATTACAGTTTCCCAGTTGTAACTAGGATGGGTTCTATGTTTGGCCACAGAATAGAGTATAACGGGGTTAGGGTTCTGAGAGGCTAGGGGCAAGACCCAGCAAAAATTAACCCAAGTATCTGGCTATCTTCCTAACTACAAACAAAAACAGGTACAAAATATAAAAAATAAAAACTGCTTTTCATGGAGGCCGTGTTCAAATAATCATACTTTGTTGCCAAGCTCGATCATTTCGCAAATGGAATATTGATGGACTGTAATTTAAACAAACCGATTCTTGTTTGGCGATATCGTTTTATACACATAGGGTGAATCGACTTAGTCTGGGCGAACTGCCATCTGGCGAATCGACTCTCCAACAATATTCCATACAGTCACGAAACCGGATATTGTTGAGTGTTAATAACTGAGCAATAAAGTCATCAAATTTTCCTTTTTGAAAGGAAGGGTACAATAAATGCTGGCGGAAATGTAAGACTGTTCAAGAATGACTGATTGATAGTTCAGTTTCAAGATCAAACACTTCTTAACTTAATTGTTGTATGTCTTCCCGCCTCGCACATCTTCAACATCATGCGATCGAAATTCAAACACAAGACAGCTGTTTAACTATATTAATAAAAGGAAATATTTACTCACCGCTTTCATACAGCTGACATATGAGGTCTGAATTGGTTTCACTTCATATGTAAGCGTTGTTGTATGCATTGGTCTTGTTCCCTTTCTGTGTCTCGCCGACGGAAAAGTTCTCGAATGGCGAGAGTAATATGGCTCGTCTCCAATAATAGTGATGTATTTCGATCGATTTGTAAGCACGGCAGTTGTATCCGTTCCTTGGCCGTAACCAGAAACACACTGTGCAATTGTAGACATTTTCTTTGCGTCAACGCCGAACTAAACTAGGTCATCTTTGATTTATTTCGTCCTTCAGAATTTAGACAACACAGAAAGCATTCGTTGCAATGTCACGCTTGTTTCCATAGAAACAGCTAGACATTCGCGCCTGCTGTTCTCTGGCCAAAAACGAAAACTTTTTTCTCGCCGCTTCGCCGCTGTAACCGGTCGTACCCAAGGTAACGATTGCAGTTCAAACATAAAATGACACTCCCTGAAGGAGTACGTTTGTGCCATAAGCTCATGTTTGAGCGGTATAGTTGCTGTTGAAAATGAAGAAGAGTAAAAATCACTCCATTGAAAGTCTGACTATTTGTTTTGGCCTCAGGCCTGTTTTTGCTTTAGGTACCGTCACTAATAATTGTGTACCAAAAATTTGCTCTCCCACCTCGCCCTAGCCTGCAAAAACATCCGTTTTCCTCCTCGCTCTTCGCCGCTAGGGAGGTTTCCCAAGGAGGAACGCCCGAAACGTCCCAAGTGGCGAAGAGCGAGGAGACAGCAATTTCGTCAGCAAGAAGCGACGCGAGTGCCGTAAACTTCCGTACAACTTCGTAAACGGGTTTTACCGAAGGCTTATATTCCGGGGGCTTATAACCGGAGTAAAAAAGTGTTGCTGATTACAATACTTTTGAATTTGATCGCTTTCCTAAGCTCCAAAAATCGTAAAAAGCCGAATTTATTTCAATGCAAGCAACGGGGGTTATATTCGAGGGGGCTTATAACCGGATGAACTGTATTTTGTTTACAGGTAGATAGGGTATTGGGAGAATGGGGAAAGGAAGAGATCGTGCTTTTCTCCAACCCTGCTAACAAGTAGGCTTTTGTGCATTATGCTTTTGCTTCCCCACTAAAATGCTCCACCTTAATGCTCATTTTTCCCACTAAAATGCTCGGTCTCCCCAAAAAAGTCACTAAAATGCTCGGATAATGCTCATTATACAAACGGTTTTTTTTATTAATTTCAAAGTTTACACTTAGAAAAACGTGCAAGTGTTGCAAGTAACAACGACAACGTGTACAAGTTCATAAATACAGCCAAAAAAACCAGCTGTATTAGGTTTTTTGAGAATTTGAATTCTAGTCTTCATTTTGTTTAAAAAGGCAGGAGCTCATGGGGCATGGGCTCCTGAAAAAAGTTAATTTCTATTTTGTTTTCTCGGAAAAATTAATTTTCCGGGGAAAATGCTACTAAAATGCTCGAATAATGCTCAATGCTTTTGCCTCACTAAAATGCTCGAAAAAAAATGCTGTACAAAAAGCATTGCGTTCGACGTTGTACAAAAGCCTGCCAGGCTAATTCAAGATGGGCGAAGGCGGTGTGCGTCACGTTCGATGCGTCGTAGAGTGATTTTCGCGCTCGGAAAGAGCTGTTTTCAGAGGTATACTATCTTAATAGCAGTTGCGTTACTTTTAAATATTTTGCTTTCTTGAGCGTTTGTGACAAGTTTGAATTGCTCGGTCATGTGCAGGGGCCATGATTATTTGAGTTTTGTTTTCCCCGTTCTTCTTGGATTTATTGCAGGGTTAGCGGATAGGGATCTTGTTACTTCAACCTTTCCTTTGCAAATTTCGGGGCCAGGCGTGAAGATTCGAAACGCGCTGTGAAAACATGTCGAAGCGGAAGCCGACGTTTTTGGTTCCAGGAAGACTTGGATGGGCGATGTTCAAAAAATCGTGTATGCGCCATTTTGAATAACTTTTACTGCGCTCACTTTAATGACCGCACAGACAAGATCGTGGTTTATTTCACTGTTTATTTCTGCGGCTGTAGCTTCGGTGAAACGATTGTCCTGCAGCTGTTCGGCTCTTTCGGTCTGTTTTCCCCTGCCTGATAGAAGATTTAGCATAAGGATTTCAAACGGGCACTGTTTTCAAAATAATATAAAGCTCCCCCTGCTTTGCCGGTAACAAAGTCCATCAAATATATAAACACTTCTAATGGACGAATTTTTTTTTTCTAGTTAAGCAAATCCATAAACCAAACAGTACATAAAATCTTATGACAAGCAAATTGTCGCCGGCTCACCTGGTGGACGATAAATGCGCAAACTAAACTATGAGATTTTTATGTTTTTCGGAAAAAGCAGTGTTTTGAATTGTCATAGATGCGAACTCGAATCACGTGAAATCACTGGTTCCATGAACCTTTGTGGGGTCAACCGCCTGGAGATGATTTTGACGGGAATATTTTGAGTTCGGCAAAAGAATGAACTTTGGACATGTTTTTTTCATAAGCAATTGTCATATGGGGCATTTTCCATCACTGAGCTGATGATTCTGCTAAACTTTTCGGGTCAATGCTGATGATTTCAAACTTTTCGGTCAATGCCGTTCAAATCGAGGAACTTCGTAGAAACACACAAATAAAGACCAGGTAACATTTGTGCCGTGAGAAGTTTACCCGTGCGTTTGAGTCTATTTACATATTTGTAGTTTAACCTCTTTCATGCACGAAAAAGTAAGCTTGAGCGTATCAGTGCAGTTTGTTACAACTGTAATGCTTTATTCACGTCTGATATCTCTACGCGGGTAATTTTGCATGATAAGTATCTCGCTCGCTGAAGCAAGCTAAGTTTAAAACATGTTGAACTGACCTACATGAACGTAAAATAATCATGAGATGAAAAGTTTGCACAATGGCAAAAGATTCTGTCCGGTTCTCTGACATCAGTAATCTAGCAGAAACCTAATATGTTTCCGTCGCTCCTATGATCATTGATTTCACTTCAAGTTGTGTCACGCAAGAAGCCAAGACTTTTAACCTTCAAGGCTACCATTTTTTCGAAGTTTGTAGTGACATGTTTATCTTTTTAACAACAAAGAACTTTTTACGATCTACTTTACATTTTTATCGACCATGCTTGAGGGAGAGTAAGACATTTTAAGAGTAGAGAGTTAATGAGTGAGATATTTTGAAGCCGTATACGCGAAGAACATTTTTTACGAAAAGAATGTTTACCTTTTAATTCATGATCTCTTCCATGATTTTGAAATAAAGCTTGACGACACAAAAGCTAATCTGGAGCTAAGAAAACTCGAACGCACTTATTGATCTATGATTACTACTAGTCATATAAATGGGGGTGGGGGTGGGGGCGAGGGGGGGAGCTCATAAGTGGAGGGCTTATAATCGGATAGCCTGCGTAGCAGGCGCTAGGAATAAATATGGGTGGACGTTTTCGGTAGTTTCCTGGCGATACTATGTTCACTAGACATATTGGCAGGGATTTTCAAGAACATTGTACGTACGAAGAAACATGAAGAAAACCACCGACGAAGCTTCTCTCAGTTCACCAAGCCAGTCAGATAGAGTTGAATCGAAGCGCAATGTCTTGTTTGTTTGCGACGAGTGGAACTCAAGCAAGGGAGGTTTATCCACGTTTAACAGAGAATTTGCTATTAATCTTGCTAAAACATCGAGGAACGACTTCGCGATTCACTGCTATGTCTGTCAGAGCAGTGAATCAGACAGAGATGATGCTAGAAAAAATGGTGTGAACATAATAACAGCCAAGAGTATACCGGGGACAAGTGACCGTCCGGAATGGCTGAGGCTTCCGCCTTCGGAGCTCGCACATCTTGATGTTGTGATCGGCCATGGACGAAAATTTGGCACTCCTGCTTATTGCATTGTACAAAATACCAAGTGCAAATGGGTGCAGTTTGTGCATGTATTTTGCGAAGACCTCGGAAAGTACAAACAAACGGAAACAGATGCAGTAGAAGAGAATGAAAAAAAGCATAAAGAGGAAATCGAACTCTGCAAAGAATCCAACGCCGTCGTCGCTGTTGGTTCAAGACTCCAGCGAAAGTACAGCAGATGTCTCCCAGACACAAAAGTTCACATCATCACTCCTGGAATTTTGCATAAATTTGTCAGTCGTTCAGATCAGAAACTTGCCAATGTTTTGCATGGTCCTGACGAGTTCAGTGTCTTTGTCTTTGGGAGAGGATCTTATGAAGATCTGGCGCTCAAGGGTTATGATATCATTGGCAATGCATTAGGTTCCCTTGGGGAGAAGCTCAAGATGACATTTGTTGGTTCACCGGAAGGCCAACATAAAAGTGTAATGGACTGGTTTCTACAAAATACAAACATAACAAGGAGGCAGTTAACAGTTCGTGGTTACTGTAATCAAGATGAGGTGAAAGAAATGTTCTATGCAGCAGACTTGGTTGCTATGCCTTCTCGTACCGAAGGCTTTGGTCTGATCGCCTTAGAAGCTATTTCTGCTGGTGTTCCTGTTCTTCTTTCCAGTGAATCTGGAATAGCTGAAGCTTTAAAGAAAGTTGACGGTGGAAAATCTGTGATCATTGAATCAGAAGATCCCAAAGAGTGGTCCCAAAAAATCAGAACTCTGTCCAAGAAAAAGCCGGATGAAAGACTCAACACAGCTATTAATCTCAGAGACAGCTACAACAAGACATTCCCTTGGGACACCCAGTGTGAGAAATTCAAAAAGATCATTTTGAGGATGATGAGTGACAACTGCTGTGCTGAAAGTGTTGAAGGTCAGTGTATTGCTGTTCTTGCCTATCTCGCCCTATGCACCTGAGTCAATTAGAAAAGTGTAAAATCCCTCTGGCCCGGAGGGGGGCACTCAAGGCTGCCAAGGCCTTTAAACCAGGGGTGGATCTAGAGGGAGGTACACGGGGTGTGACCCTCCCTGAGATGACCTGTGGCTTTTTAATTAACACTGTACAGTCACTTTACAGTTATACAAAATCTGCTGTATCATTTGATATGTATTCTCAGCAGTTCACATATTTATGTCTAGTCAAAAGCCTTCTTCTTCGTGTTGCTTTTTAAAAGTTGTTTACGTTACCAATTATCAGTTGTGCCATCCCTTAGTGGTGCACCCCTTCCTGAGAAAAATCCTGGGTCCACGGCCTGCAAACCCTCACCATGTTTTAGACAAAATCTTTCTTTTTTCTACCTTGTTTAAGACAAGAGACCAGAGTTACTGATTCATTCCACATACAGAATTATGTACAGCAGTTGAACCTCCATCAAGCAGCAACCTGTTATTAGTGCGCGCCCTCTATGCGGCGGCTAGAAGTCAAAGTTCTAAAATAATAAGTACAAAACAATTTTATGTAAAATCTCTATTGAGCGGTCACCTTCGCGATCTAGATGAGAGTTTTCTTATTGTTGTCATCTCCATTAGTCACCCAACAAGCCCTTAGTTTGGCTTTGCTTTAAAAATATGATCATGAAGGAAAGTACAGTCTTAAATAGAAGGTGGTGACTGACATATATTGGACCACTAAATGCCACTCCAATTTTTTGTATGTTTTTTTATTTAAACAAAGTATAGTTTCTTCTAAAAAGTACTTATGCTGGTTAGTCTTTCTTGTGCAAGCAGCGAGACTCATAATCTGCAACCTGTTTTTCTTCGAATTTATGGCACAAAAGGGGGGTCAATGTGCCAGGCATTCCTAGTGGAGACCGTGGAAACTGGGAATAAGAATCATTGCGTGACCAAAGCCACGCATGTTTTGCAAACAAAGCTTAGGAAAGATTAATTTTAGAGCTTTTCTGAAACATGTCGGTCCACGAATTCTATCATTTGATTTAGTGTTGATTACCTTGGAACAAGTGAACATCACTACTGAGTGGTCAGAAAAAAATCAGGTGTTGTAATTTTTCATTGTATGCAACTGGGTCTTGCATGCGGTTTATTTTAAGCGATGATTGAAATGACGTGCCGTGTAAATCACTTTTTTGATCTCTGGTAATGATATAATTTCTCTGGAATCAAGGCCGTTGAATTTTCGTGCATTTATACACACGTATAGCTGCGACCGCACACTTATTTCAGGTCATCACTAACACGCATACAAAATCAGTTCAGAAACAAATAAAAAGTAAATATCATGAAGAATACTCGACGTTGCTAAAGTAGGAAGTAAATAAAAAACCTTTAGCAAGTAAATCCTGTTTTGTGTAGAATTAATCACCTCTTCATTTCACGCTCTAATCTCCAAGCAAGCGAGACTGAATGCCACTGTAAGAGTGTTCTTGTTTATGGTAAACCCCTACAGAAATGCCAGCTTCTAAGCAGCAACTTGCCCAGTTGCTTAGTAGAGATTCACCCATAAGTAAAACATCATTAAGTCATGGAATAAACTTTTTTTGGAGAAGATTGTTGCAGCAGAAACGTAGACTACTTGTCGCCAAGGTTCACACTCCCATAAAGGCTTCCAGTCTGAAAAGACTCAAGACTTTTAGTACTGAAATTGTGTATTGTGAACTCAAGTTCCTGAAAACCGAATTTTCATATTCAGTGACACATACCTGTCTAGGCCAAATAAGAGAGTGTCCCTGGGAAACCTCCCAGGCATTTGAACTTTTTAAGGCAGACCTGATATTAATACTAGGCTGATTTAGCAACAGAATGGGAATGTCATTTGAAAATGGTACGTGCAAATCAAACAACTGGCCTGACCAATGGCAGAGCGGCAAATTGGGCACCGAAAGTCACGTTTCGTCCTTTCTGCGTGCTTTCCTATTCAACTGAGGTTTCCGTTCTGTTGCTAAATCAGCGCCCCACTTTGTTTTGAATAAGGCAGTGATATTATATTTCTTGACTCTCTATTTCTCACTATTTCCACTGTTTTTGAAAAAAGCAGCTGACTTTATAAGATACCTCCAATTGAATTTATTGTTTGATAGAAGTTGTTTCTCACTTTACATCGACTTATCTATAATTATGTTTGTCTCTGTTCAGTAAGAATGAATAACCTAGCTGGTATTTTGGCAGCCACCTGGACTGACAAAATCCTCATTATGTTGATTGGCAATTGAACTACAAAAATTAGACTCTTTTTTTTTAAATTGCTTCCAAAAATACTGCATAGCTTTTGAATCCTTGTCAAACAATTCATTTACTTGCAAAAGCTGTATCTTCACTTGTAAACTCCTCCATCTCACTATGAGAAAGATTATATCTATCGAACCATGTTGTCAGACACTGGGTCATGGAGAGAATTTAAACTTGACACTTCCAGTTCAAATTCCCCACCCAGGAGAGGGGAGTAGTGAAGTTCTGAAATGATCAGCCAGTAGGGGAGAGGAGAGTTTGTTTCTCCCTTAGTTCTCAGGCCTAATAGCATTTAGCTTAGGGCCTGCCCGTGAAGAACAGAAACAGTTGGAGAACAAAGAGTGTTCATTTGATTTTTCTCTGTTGACATGATTTAACTCACGTTTTAGTACAAAGCCAGTCAAAGTTGTAGCTTGCATTCATGTAAATGTTTTTATCATAGTATTTCCAAATAATTAGCACCCCCTTCAGATAAATGCCCCCCTTTAGGCTGAAAATTTCAAATAATAAGCCAGGGGCACCCAACAAAAGTTGTCTGTAAAATATCTGTTTGGAGAAGTAAAAATTGCCTAGAATTTTCTATGTCTTGAGGAAGGCTAAAAATTTTAGTTGATGGCTGTTCTATTCGTGTACCATTTTCAAAGCTTATCTAATAAATTCCTTTCGATCTTCTGAAGTTTAATTTTTCACTTTTCACTCCCCAGATTAAGCTATTTTTCACAGAAAAAGCAAAAATGTGTGGAATCGAAAATGCGATAATTTGAAAGAGGAATCAGAAAAAATTTCACTTTCGTAAAACTTTAAATTGCATCTAAAATTTTTGCGAAAATATTACTGAAGCCCTGGTAATTTGGAAATGACTCAAGTTGCCCTAGGATGACTGAACAGATATAAATTTTATAGCACCACTTAGAATGTATTTATAGATTCAAAGGTACTCTGGATAGCCTAAAAAGTGTTTTCAATGCATTTAGGAGGAAACCATTGTTGGGTGCCCCTGATATTAGCGCCCCCTTTAAACAGCCCTTCTACAGTATGTTCATCTTCAATGTCAGTATAACATAACATGTACAATACCAGTGAATGACTCATTTGATGACATCACATGGTTGGTCATGAAGGATGCAGCTCCTTTGCAGAACTTAGTCACAACAAAATCTTCAAAGCCACACAGTACAGTCACATTTGGTTATACAGTGTAGATCGTTCTACTTTTTTTAATGTTACAGTTTCCCCAATTGTTCTTTCATTTGAAACCTGAGACAAATGTAATCGTGCAGCTCAAATTCTGAAGAATAAATAAGCAACCCCTTTTGGAACTTCAGTCTCAGTTGAAATTGTTGGGACACTTTGCTGTCTCCTTGCCCTCCCATTGTTGGTGTACAAGATTTGGTGAGTTACCTGCGATAAACAACATTGAAAGGACGAGGAGACGGGCCAGAAGCAAAAAAACAGGGTGAAAGTGTCCCAACTATTTTTTTCTGAGATTGTAGCTCCCCCTTATCTACTCAGAAAAATTAAGACAGAATCCACCAGGACATTGAGTAATTTTGATTTCAGTGGACAAAAATCTTGTACCAGAATAATTTCATTCTTTCTTACATTTTTCAAGGGCTAAAGATGTATTAAATCATCTGTAGTAACACCAAAAAAAATTTCTCATGGCATCCCAAGAAAATAAATGTCAAATTTCACAAAATGATATCTTGCACGTGAAATTTTCAGAATTTTACCTGTGTTTTCACAATTCTTGTGAAATTTGACATTTATTTTCTTGGGCCCCCATAAGGAATTTTCTTTGGTGCTATTACAGACAACTAATTACATCTACACTGTTAGCCCTTGAAAAATGTAAAAAAGATTGCAATATTCTTAAAAATATTCTGGTACAAGGTTTCTGTCCACTGAAAATTAAAATTATTCAATTTCCTGATGGATTCGGTCTTATTAGTTATTTTGGGCAGTTATTCAAATATTTCCCTCCCTCTAGTATTGCTAAATACTACAGTCATTTTTCATGGTATAAGCATATTTTTCTATTGTTTATCCTTTTTTCACTCCTTTCAACCTTTTTTCCTTTAATCCTTGTCCTTCTCTTCTTTCTTCTCCTTTTCGCATTTGGAAATTTTTATCTGCATTAATGATTATTTTCTATGTTTATGTTTTTTTATGGTGTAAGCTAAGTGATTGTCTTAACAACACCTGAGTATTTATTTCTTAATTTAATCATATTTTTTTTAAAGGTAGTAGTCCTTTTTCTTATTGGGTTCCATAGGCTTCCTTGCCTCGTCATCCATTTAAATATTCTATAATTATAATATACATTATATAATAATCTTAATAAGGTGATTTTACTCCTTCTGTAAAACATTATCTAACAACAAGTGTTAGATAGTTACAAGTAAACAGAAAAAATTATTTAGTCAAGTAAAATCACTCCATATGGGAAAACAGAAATAAATATAGAAGCACTCAGTGCAGTTGTAAGAACTAAAGAGTGTAGTGTTGTATATGTAACTTCATCTGATAGTCTGCATTCCATTGCAAGGGTTTCTGTGTGAGCTTTTAAGCACTCAGACACTTCTGGCACATGGCTGTTTTGTTGGACGAAGAGAAGATTCCCCAACTTTATTTTAATCTGAGACTAACCTCAAGGCCATCTATGAAAACCAAATGAATCATAGAATGAACTTCATTATCTTCAAAGTAAAGTAGTATCCAATGTATTTCTCTCTAGCATTCAAATTAATTTTTAAAATTGCCATCCTAGGGCAAAGTGTCACGGCCACATTTATTGACAAGGCTGTTCCAGCTGATTTAGAAGACTGTGCTTCTAAAGCTGAATGTAAAGATAAGGATGGTCAGGAGATTCATGCTGCTGCAAAAAGTGGAAACATTGAGATTATAGGGTTACTGCTGTCTCAAGGATTTGAGTTTGATTCAAGGGACAAGAAAGGTATCACTCCACTGATGTATACAGCTGTTAATGGCCATGAAGGTGCTTTTCAGATGCTGATACAAAACGGTGCTGATCCATCTTTGAAAGACAACCAAGGGTTCAATCTGCTCCACTTTGCTGCACAAGGTGGAAACACATCCATTATCACCAAGCTGTTATCTCTTGGTCTTGGCGTTGATTCAAGGAATAATGATGGCTTTACTCCACTGATGACTGCAGCTGATCATGGCAAAGAAAATGCTTTTCAGATGCTGATACAAAACGGTGCTGATCCATCTTTGAAAAGCAACAGAGGGTCCAGTCTGCTCCACATTGCTGCACAAGGTGGAAACACATCCATTATCACCAAGCTGTTATCACTTGGTCTTGGCGTTGATTCAAGGAATAATGATGGCTTTACTCCACTGATGACTGCAGCTGATCATGGCAAAGAAAATGCTTTTGAGATGCTGATACAAAACGGTGCTGATCCATCTTTGAAAAGCAACAGAGGGTCCAGTCTGCTCCACATTGCTGCACAAGGTGGAAACACATCCATTAACACCAAGCTGTTATCACTTGGTCTTGGCGTTGATTCAAGGAATAATGATGGCTTTACTCCACTGATGACTGCAGCTGATCATGGCAAAGAAAATGCTTTTCAGATGCTGATACAAAACGGTGCTGATCCATCTTTGAAAAGCAACAGAGGGTCCAGTCTGCTCCACATTGCTGCACAAGGTGGAAACACATCCATTATCACCAAGCTGTTATCACTTGGTCTTGACGTTGATTCAAGGAACAATAAAGGGGTCACTCCACTGATGACTGCAGCTTTTTGTGACAAACAAAATGCTTTTG